AGCTCAGACCACAAGTCAATCCGAGTCACTCCGAGAGCTCACAATACCTCATAAAGAGTCATTTTACATACCCTAGTAAGTTTAGGATTAAGTAAGTTTCGCAAGAAGACTCTCAACCCATTAAATCCCATCAACCCATTAAAGCCCATACACGACATGCTAAACTTAAGATAACCTTCTAAGGTAGATAAACTTTCACTATCAGACAAAATGGAAGGAGCGAATCTAAAACTTGGACAAGACTACTTGTTCGCCGAGTCTAAAAAATTAATTAAAAACTTCACAACAGATTCAGCACTTGGCATATACATTCCACAACAAAAACATGCATGGTCTTCGGAAAGACCCACTATGTTTTGAGTACCTTTGAGATTAACCCAACACATGTTTGCTATCTAGTGTAGCACAAACATAAGGTAGTAAATTGGCAAAAAATGAATGCCCTGTATGGTGCAATTTGCAAGCTACGTGAATGTCTTTATTTCTTAAAAAGTTTGAAATCTCACATACTACTACTTCATTTTCAAATTTTGTTTCTAATCTTTCTTGAACACTTTTGAACAATTAATCAACACATAAAACCCACATTGATGCATAGATATAGAACAAATTATTTGTTATTATGAGTAGATTGTACTCTAAAAAGTTCAATTTGCAAATCTATTTAAAATGAATCAACATCAAAATCTTTCACTACCAACAATCTATAATAATTAATTGACATTTGGCATGACAATCAAGCTACATTCATATCAAATCTACATAAAATGAATAAACATCGAAATCTTTCACTTAAAACAATCTATAATAACTAAATGAGAGTTGGCATGAAAATCAAGCTAAATTCATCTCAAATCTATTAAAAATGAACAAACATCAAAATCTTTCACTTCAAACAATCTATAATGACTAAATGACATTCGACATGACAATCAAGCTAAATTCATCATATGAAAGACATCTCTTTTTTCTTCTCTTCTTTGCTTCATAAAGATGCAAGTTCACACCTCATCAAGCCTAAAGGTTTTATTGCAACAGTGAAATAAACAAGTCACAATAATGCATCATACAGAGTTAAACCTCTGAATAGTGTCACCTCTTGTGAGTGACATCATTAGTGACATGAAAATGAAGAACCATTAGTTTGTAACGGGGAATTTTATGCAATAATAGCAGTACGTCACTATTGTTAATAATGTCATTAGAATTTTCAATAGTGACTGTGTTGAGCTTTAATTGCTATCATAATTGTCAAGAGTCTTTGTTTAGAGTTAAAAGTCTTCTATAAAAGCTTGTTGATTGATCTATCCTTACATTTAAAAGTCCAACTCTTGATTGAAATGAAAGCTTCTCTCAGTGCTCCATCATGCTCAAGTTAAGTGCGCAATACAGATCTGTAGCAAGGTTTTGAACTGACGATCAAGTTCAGATATGTTCACAATTTGTATGACATGTTCATGAGCACCTTCATAGTACAGACTTTCTGTCTGTATTGACTCTAGTTTAGATCTTTGCTTTATATTGACTATATCGTAGAACTACCCAAATTTCAAACATAGATATATCTGCTTCTGCTGAAACACGAGCAATTTAACATTCCTATCAAAAGGTGAACATACAGATATGTATATTGACTGGGTCATGAGCAAACGAAGCTATGTCTTGTATAATTCTAAGGTGAACATATGTTCAAAGTTCATATTGTAATTACTTCGTTATTCTGCATGATGCATCTTTTGAGGCCATTCTATATCGGACTATTCTTTACTGCAAACCTTTGAGGCATAATAACAGATATAACTCAAGTTTATGAAGTTCAGAAAATTGAATGTGTCTCCAATTCTGTTTCTCCGTCCACTACAGACTATGGGCAAGCATTTATGAAAAATGTACTGATCAATGTTGTTTCATCTTCTAGATGATATGGCCAAATGAGATTGATTAGTTACAAAGTGAACTTTCTATATGGCCCAAAAACAACTGCTGATCTAAAGCCAATTGTAAGCATCATCTGAATTACATCAGTATCAGGAACGGAAACAAATTTCAGCAATAACAAGCTGAAAGGCTAGTGTAAACACAAAAACACTTCACTGTTCACTTTCTGTAAACACATAAAGTGAACATTCATCCACAAAATCTCAGGTACAGAACTGTACTAATCTCTGTACTAAACATCCATACTCATCATCACTGTGGTGTTAACATCTCGATATTCACGAATATGCAATACAAAAATTTTCATGGAGTTTTAGACGACTAATTAGTTAGCAAGCAAGGTACATATATGGAAACTAGCACTGTTGAAAATTAATTATATCGAATCATAGAAATACAATTTACAGTGTGATTGTCGACTGTCTCAACCTTCTAAATTTTTCAATGTTCTGTTGATGTATCAAAGGACGACGAGGTCTTTGGAGATTGCAAAGCAGCATACTCTATAATTCTGTAGATAAAAACGATTCGATAGAAAATAATTCAATCAAGTCAGTGATTGCTTGATTCGCTTGCTCTACTGTCACCAAAGGCGAAATCTCACCAAAATCATCCTCACTATCACTGTGCAAGAGATTATGTTGCTCTAAAACCGATTTGACAATGCTAATATTGTCAATATAATAATCACCAGTACCATCAACAACATCAAGGTCAATAAGCTCTTCAACAACTACTTCTATACTTGAGTCATCAAGACCCAAGGACGCTGAAAAAGAATCGTTGAGTCATCAAGATCCAAGGACGCTGAAAAAAAATCGTTGAGTCAAATTTCTTGAAGAGTTTTCATCAAATCATCCACGGCCTGATTTGAGCTGCTACTGTATCTATCTATATCATGATTTGAAATTACGTTAGATACAAGAGGTAGATAGTTGGCTTTAACAAAACACATCTATACTATCCGACGCAGATTTTACTCAACCAAGTACATTCCGGAGATGGGTATGATTGTTGATCGGAAATTGAGAATAAGAAGCACATTCACTCGCCTGTCACATCTCATACTCAGACATTAAATGATTAAGCTGAGCACGACGAAAATGAGCTTTAAAAGATCGTATGACATCTTGATCCAGAAGTTGACATTCGCTAGTACTATTTGGAGTAAAAAAAATGATATACAAATTTTCAAACCTGAAAAAAGATTCTGTTGATCCCGATGGGTCTAAAATCTTAGACGCACAAACGTGATACGAACAGTTGTCTTAAAGTACGTAGAAGATGCAGTTTCTGTCCTTGGCAATTTTGTTGTACTTGTGAAGCAGACGCATGTAGGAAGATGTATACTGCCAAGCTTTAGCTTGATGATCATAAATAATTCCAAACGCCTTACTTATGTGAGGAATACCTTTCAAAGCTTGTGGACGAGCACTCTTCGTGATCACCTGCGTGATGAACTTTTCACATGAAGCACTAACTTTAAGCGTCACTGTAATTCGTTCTTTACTTCGCTTCACTCCACGACCATCTGAATTGACTGTGCAGTACGATCTTGATGACGTCGTGCGATGCTGTAAAGCTGACTCGTTAATGTTAATGATGCATTCGAGTGGTACGTCGCATAACATTTCACGAATTTGTTGCAGACATTTCTCCACTTCCATGACACTAATGTTGTTATGTTCTCCACACCTCCTCTTACTCGACGTTGAAATGCGCTTCAAATACTTCTCCAGCCATCCATTAGACGCAACAAATGATTGTAGAGAAAATGGCCACCTAATGGATAACAACAGTGACAGATTGCAGCGAGAGAGGAAGAGGAGCCCACCAAACGCAAATAATGCGAGAAAAAATTTGACATCCTCTTGTGAGTGACACCTCCGAATAGTGACATAAAACCCTAGAACGGTTATGTGTCACTATCGGGAGCTTTAACTCTGTATGTGTGTAAAAGTCATGAAGTGAAGTTAGTGCATCTAAACACATATTGAAAATAATTAGTTGGAAAACAGATGTTTCATATGATCGGAGTCTAGACTTCATGTCAATCTTAATAATAAAATACAAGTACAGAGTTAAACCTCCCAATAGTGACACATAACCGTTATAGGGTTTTATGTCACTATTCGGAGGTGTCACTCACAAGAGGATATCTAATCTTTTCCCGCGTTATTTGCGTTCGGTGGGCGCTTCTTTCTTTCTCAACAAATCTGTCATAGTGCCTTGGGGGCGTTTCTTTCTCTCTCGCTACAATCTGTCGCAGTTGTTATGCATTAGGTAGTCGTTTCTCTCTCAACGCAATCTGTACTTGTTTGGAGGGAGTTTTTTCTCTTTCTTAATCTACACCCGTTTTTATTCACACATGTCTAAACGCAAGCGTTGTTTGGACGTGAAGACGAAGTTGGAAATTTTGGATTTTCTGAATCAACCCGGAGCCACCCATGAAAATTGAAATCTTTCGACTTGTTTTCCTCCTCATGGATTTGGCTCCATCCTGACCAACTTGAAAAGGCGTGAAAATATTCCACTGGCAGAACCGACCTGTTCTTCTTTCCACTCGATTTGTCTCATATTCCTTCCAGCACTCTTCCCACAAGGGTTTAAACATCGCACAACCAGATTGCAATGAGTGAGCAGAGACAGACGTAGACTTCTTCGCTCACATCATTTGATCAGTGACACGGATTCAAGGTCTGAGAATATTGTAACCACTGAGAAGACTTGGGATAGACCAATCAGCAAGCTCCGAAAGTAGACTTTAACTCTGAACAAAGACTTTTGGTAATTATGATAGCTATTAAAGGTCGACATAGTCACTCTTGAAAAATCTAATGACACTATTAACAATAGTGACGTACTGTTATTATTGGATAAAATTAACCTTTAGAAACTAATGGTTCTTCATTTTCATGTCACTAATGGGAGGATGTCACTCACAAGAGGTGACACTATGGGGAGGTTTAACTGTGTAGTAATGAATGTCGATGGTAAGAAGATGTTAAAGGGGTATCGACGTGAAAATTCATAGCCCATGGCCAGCCGGCGGTGGATGGATATTTGATGCTCCAAAATGATTTTTTTTCCCAGTCTCAACGTAGTTCGCATCTCCTCGCGTGGTTGGCTCATTATTGGAATGAGTTTACGAGCTTTTGAGAATGCTTGCTGTTCACGGAATGTGGAGATTGCCCGGCACCGGAAAACAGAGTGACTGGCATGAAATCGTGCAGTTAGAATATTATCGCAGATGTTGAGATTGAGCACGACGACCTGTAGTCAGCGTACAAGTCCTTGGCGCTGGTGTGCTTGAATCTTGCGCAGGGAGGTGGAAATTGTTTGAGTTTTGGGCTCTGGACGATCCCTTTGGCGATCGAGAACTAACCCCAATTCTGTTCAAACTAGTGATTTTGGAATCGTCATGGGTGGTCATGGAGGACTCAATATTCTCCCACAGAAACGATGGAATGTGTACAATTTTGAAAACCGCGAGAAGGTGAGGAAAGATGAGGAAGAAGCAGCTCGGGAGGAAGCCATACGGCAACAGAAAGCCAGGAGAGAAGAAACGGAGTTTAAGTTGGAAAAATTGCGTCAAGGTGCCCAGTCGAAGAGGAGACGAGTCGACGGGGGTCCGAGTTCCATCAATGAGAATGAGAGCCAAGGAGCGATCGTCGTGCGAGGTACCGTTTCGGTCGAAGGGACATTGGCTTCAAAAGATGAGGCGGAGAGGCCACGACATATTAACTTGTTTGCGGAGTATGAAGCCAGAGAGAAAGAAGGGCAGGGAAAGGTTCGGGCGAAGGAAGAAGATCAGAAAGACGTAAGTAGAGGAAAAAAAGGAAAGAGAGAATTTCAGGACCATAGAGACAGGCAGTTGGAGAAGAAGGATGGAAAACCAACCGGAGAACCAGCCGACGATAATTACAGACTAGGTCATGGGGCTGTTGGTAAGAACGGAAAAAAGCCCTGGTACTTGATAAAAAGCTTTATGGTCGAGAGAACACGTGGTGAAAACGAAGTGCGAACAGAAAACAAATCGAGATGTTCTGGTGAGTAGTTTTTCCGCTCACCTTCAGACTGCTTCAGACTAAAGAACATTGTTTGGTTGGAAAGTTTGGCTGAGAATTAGATCACGCTTATCTACATCTCGAAAAAGCCACAAAGAAGCTTGGCACATCTGTCTGATTCCTTGGATAGTTGTTTGACACCCTTTGCCACGACTTTGAAAGAGTTTGCGCACTGGTGTTCCGTTGTGGGAGTGTAGGCTGTAGTAACCTAGCACATGTGTATCTGCATCTTTATCGTGGTCATTTGGAGATTAAGCGATTGTATCTGTGATGTTTGGATGAACCCTACACTCTCTCGAATTTTGATTTTCACAGGCATGTATGTTCCTTCATTCTGACTAAAATTCGTATTGCGTGTTTGAATTGTGTTTACACGGTACTTTTCATTTTAGCCTTCTGGATGCACGCTTACGCTGTCGTCTCTAGCTACTTGCTTTCATTCCTTCTGTCTACTAATTTGATTGGCATTCAAACAGTGAAAAAACTCAGACAAGACATAGAACTCCTTAGTTTCAATTTATGTAACAAATCAGTGATCACCGCTTCCTGGTGGAAAACCCTAACAGCAATTGGGTTATGAACTTTTTTGTGGGGAATACATGATGCCTTCAGTCCTATGCTAGAGCCTTGAAACTCGTTATGGAACTGAAGTTGTACCGATGTATCTACTTTTGGCTTTGCAGATAGTGTGGAGCAACAGTCATCAATGTCTACAAAATCTAAAAAATCCGTAGAGGATCTGAGAGCAGAGAGACTTGTCCGAGAACAAGAAGAGAGGGATAAGGCACGAAAGGTTGTGCGAGCTAAAGCAGGCAACTCGCTCAATAATGGCTATACTCGCCTTGCGGATGGACGCTTACCTCATTATCATGCCAGTTTTGGCAATGCACGGTAGTAGATAGATGTTAGAAAGACTTTCAGGAGGGCGCACGATGCGGAGAAAGTGCTCACATTGGTGCTGTCGTGAATAGTGTCACCAAATTCTTTAAATCTTCAGCAGGTAATGATGAAAACAAGCACAAATTTTTGCTTTCATTTCCTCACTGGTTCATTTAAGAAAACTCGTAGTATATTTCAAGCAGGAAGGTTAGGTGAAACGGGAAGAAATTTGTCCACACAGAAATCGGATGTCTGACCTCTTTAGGGATGCTGTGCTTTGTGGCCATCTGTTGCTGGAGGGTAAGGAAGAGCTGTACTGATGTTCATACTAGTGGACCGTGATGTCTATATGGTGAAGAGCCCTTTCACCTTTTCACCTATATGATGCAAAGAATGAATGTAGCACAGTCTGTTACAAGTTCCTTCTATAAATTGCACTCCTAACCAATTGAGGTGATTGTAGTATTGCTATCCGGAGGATGAGGACACAGGAATACAGCGAAGCAGAAGCTCGAACGAGATTGTTTTGGTCGTTTGAGGAATCATAACGATCCACCTGAAGAGCTGATGTTACGAGCTTATGTGTGTCGATCGAAAAACTTCTGCTTTGTCCGGAGTGGGAGAACCCCTTGTAATCAATATGGCAGGGAATGAGCATTCCTTTCTTGGTTAAATGTAAACGTGACCTATGCCAAGCGTTGACATTTTGTAAAGTTTAGTGAGGAGATTACAGGTTACTGGAACATTGTGGAGAATAGCAAGATTCTAAAAGTATGTTAGGTTTAGATATTGTACCTTTACGAGACGCCTTTGAGGGAATCAATTTATTGCTAAAGGCTCATGTGGTTTTGATCTCCAGAATAAGACTGGAGTTTTTATTGTGTGTTGAAACACCACATTATGTTAGTTCTTTATGTAACAGTCATCTCATTGAATATACGTAAAACTTGTGCCTTCGTGCGTGGCACAACTTTTACTGTTGCCATCCATAAGAAACTAGCCCAACCAGTAGGTATTGAACGACGAGCCTTCATATGTCGTTGTGGCCTCATTGAAAACTTGAATTCATATATATAAATACTTGGATATGCAGAAGTTTCCCTGAACTTTATCATCTGAAGATGATAATGTCATTCGGATCAATTCTGTGCAACCAGACCTACCAATTCATATCCTGTGCAGTGCAAAATCGAATTCCCCATTGTTCAAGTATAGAGAATTATTACCTCATGCGTTTAACCGATTTGCCTGTGTTTAAAATTATGAAACCCACACTTCCACACCTAAGTTTCCGTAAGGAGTAGATGCTTGTGCTTTCGCAGCCATGCGATTTCGAATGTATCGGGGATGTAGACTGCGCTCGACACTCTCATCGCAACAAGCGCCCTATGGCAACAGCTTCTACAGAGCTTCAACAACCCATTCGAGATTGCTTCGCGATCTGAAAAATCACGCCGGGCGTAAGAGGAAGAGGCCAAGAAGAGAGCTTTCACCCGAATACCCTCCACTCGGAGTGCACGTAAATGGTCGAGAAAACTTAAATGAATCAGGACGGGAGGGGAGGAAACGCACCAATCACGAGTTAGCAATACGAAATGGTAGTAGCCCGGCCCGGCCCGGCCCGCGATGCACAGTCGCCCGTGGCCCGCGTATGCAACAATGGTGGAGTGTACTGTACAGTGGGTTCAGTAACTCGTCGGTGCTAGTGAGTTAGAGAATCGCGGAGCCCGTTGCCAGACCCGTACTTCTCTGCGGCAAGAGAGCAGCGAAGCAGAGGGCGGAACTCAGCCCGTGATGCGCAATAGCAACTGAGAGCTTGGGGCACCCGTCATCCGGAGGCTTGCTTCAGTGGCCCGCCTCGACAGACTGCTCATATCGTTCTTCGTGTATTGCTCGCTCTCGGGCAAATTTTGTGGTGCAAGACTCGGTTCGTCGGTCGATTGTGAGGGCGAGGGCGGGGTGATTCCACTTCTTCCGCACAGGAAACTTGGTAGAAGGGAGGGAGGAACGATGGGGTTGGATATCGAAATGAAGGACTCGGGCACTACATCAGCTGCGGATCAGCCTGCTCCTCCGCCGCCTGTGCCCCACATTACCCGTATGTATTTGAGATTTTGAAATACCTGATCGGAGATATTTTGATTGCAGTCTGTTCCATCGTTTGTGAATTGGATGGGAGAATCGGGGAAAATGTTAAAGAAAAATGGACGGGTGTGGATCAAACTCTGAACAAGTCTGGTTTCTTGAGCTGCGAAATTGCCACCGGAGTGTGTTTGAAGTGGTCTGGTTTAGTGAGTAGGAAGTCGTGGAACGTTGCATACAACTCGTCGGTAACTCGTATGAATACTGCGATCGTACGACGACACACCTTTTGAAGATGATTTGTTTCGGAGATGCTTTCGAAACTGACGTCCACTTCAACATCTTCTAGAGCATAGATGGTGTGTGAGCAGCGTTAGGGTTTGGTTGCTTGTTGTCGATCGTGCTCGATGCTCTCAGGTGCATCTTCAATTTTTGCCCATTTTGACCGGGCCACTTGAACCCTTATTTTTCTTTTCCTGCAAGCCTCACGTTGCGTCCATCATCTTCCTCGTGTTTATCGTCCATGGTTGCATGCCTGTGCAACCCGGCCATGGTGCGTCTCTCGAGAGCATAGGCTGAAGCCTTCTGGTGGGAGACGGCTTTTTTCCCAGGCAGTGCCAAGCATGTCGAATTATTCTCACGCGGCACATGCCTTTTGCTTGGAACTGTGTCGTGGCGTCACCAGCCCCTTCTCATAGCTTGTCACGGAAGGACGGATTTAGGTTAAAAAAGAGAAGTATATTTTCCTTCATACTATCGATGTTACCCGTTTTGGATGAAGAAAAAGTTTCTCGATTTTCTGACAGCTTGAGAGTGTAGTCGTCCGGACTTAAGAAATTATAATACTGTCTCTTCCTTCAATCGCAAATCTCGCTCTTCCATTCTGCCATTTTTCGAATAAAAATGGGGAAGGCAAAGACGGGGGCGAAAAGTGAAGCTGGAAAGAGTAGTCCGAAACGCGAAGATGCGGAGGATGAGTCCTCCGAAGGTCAAGGGATGCTCCTGAATTTGTATGAGAGTCTTCAAACAGAGTTGAGAGAGGTTCGAGTACATCTCCTGAAACTGGAAATGGAGAGCCATCTCCGAGAATTGAAATTTTATGAGGACGTTTCAGCTTTAGAGAAATTGGTGGAGGAACAGGGACTTCATATACACCAGTTAGAACAGCAGAAAAGCGCTCTAGGTGGAAGGATAGTCGATGGAAGCGATATACCCGAAATATCTTCAGCTCAAGTATTTAGTTACCCTACCTTTGTACCTGAAGCGCCAATCGAACCTGAAAGTGAAAATAGAGTATTTAAACCAGTCTTGGAAAACACGGTGTTTCTGACTGAAAGTATTGTGAAGGAGGTGTTGCATGCGAAGAGCCAGAGTCTCTCGCGTAATAGCTTCTCTTCGCAGGATGTGGAAGGGAGGAACCCAAATTCTTTTGATGTGCTCAGTTGTTTCGAGCTGGTTATGGAAGGAACTTCAGGAGATGTAGGAGGCGACAGGGTTACATCGCCGCAGGTAGTGGAAACCAAGACAAAGGGAGTCAGGCCCGAAAGTGAACTCTTTGTCGAGACTCTAGATACGGCTAGTCGGGAAGTAGGAAGTGAAAGTGAATGTACTGTGAAGGCGCCGGATTCCGCAAAAGAGGATCTTGTTGATTCCAACATCTTCTTGAAGGAGATGCTGGAAGTTGGGAGCAGTTCTGTGGGGAACGATGAGAGTTCCTTAATAGGGCCAATTGACGATGGTAGGGATATGGGGAGTAAAAGCAGCCATCCAGGGGAAATTGCCGATAATATAGTCAGCGTTGTGGGTGAAACTAGCTGGACTTCTACGGAGGTGTTCTTACCAAAGGTGGAAGTAATTTGGAGGATAGAAAACTTCAGTCGTTCTGATAGCGAGGTTATTAAGTTTGTTGAGGACGTGTTAAACAAGCACGAGGTGAATTGTTGCTCCTCGAGAACTGAAGAGGTAGAAGACTCTCGTGGAGAAGAAGAAAATGTAGGAGATGCAGTAGAAATTGATTCGCTTTGTGATAAGCTCAATGTGAACATTTATCCCGCTGAAGCAGAAAGACTGGAAAAGGATCCTGAAGGCTCAGGAACTGTGACAGAAACTATGGTGTTCACTGAGAAACCTAATATGGACTTCCATGCAATGACAGTCAAAAGGCTGGAAAAGGAACAAGAAGGACTATACAGGAACAAAATCATCCTCTTACATCCAAAGTATCTCGATCCCAGAGGTAGATGTTGCCGTCTACCCAAAGGCAGCCCCGTAACTTGTATGCTTTAACTACCGTAAATGAAATGACTCAAAAGCTCTTCGTCACAGACACAGAGACGTTAGGGATCAGGATGCTGATATACGGACAGTTCGAGCAGACGAACAATTGGCAAGTTCGACTTGACCTTGGCCAGCAGGGCATCTGAACACATCGAGATACCGACTAAGATCTGCAGATCATGAATGGAAAAGGGCGACAAATTATTTGGAAACATATCTGTGTCACCGCACCCATGATAGTTTTATTCAACTAAAGAATGGGCAGCTGGAGACTTTGTTCAGTCTACTGCCAACTGCATGTTCTCCACTGTTGATCTTCATTATGGACTTGTCTCTTCCTTCTGACAGATCTGAAGACACTAGCTGCTCTGGTAGAAAAGGGAGTGGCAACAAAGGAAATGCGGCTCATGGTTCGTGTTATGCGGCACACTATGGCCATCAGGCGCCAGCTAACTGCTTCGACGCTTATTTCATTCTTGCAACAGACTCTACCGGCTGGTTCAGAGCCTTTGTTGCGTTTAGTTCCTTACTTATCCAAGGTAAGGCAGTTGTATTCGATCTAATTGCTTCTTTTGGTCAGAAGACACCTCGTTAACACAAAAAATTTACTAATGAGTACACCTCAGAAAGTCGTGGCAGAGGATATTTTAGGGGTCTTTTTACATGAATTACATTCTTCTTTTGTCGTGACAGGAGGAGGATAAAGACATGGATGTTGATGCTCCATCCCCTGCTGGGCAAACTCAAGCTCCTGCTAAGCAAACGCTCCTTCCAGAAGTAGAAATATATGCTTACTTGTTAACACTCATATTTCTCATCGATCAAAAGCAGTACGAGGCGGTAAGGCAATGCATTAAGCTCGCCCTGCTTATGTCGTATAAAGTGTTGATGATGAATTGAACTGCTCCTCGCATAAGATTGAAAGTAATGTATCGCCTCTGGAAGATCTGAGTTAACGGTCACGTGGGCTACTCTATACAGGCAAAAGCTTTGTCAGTTCTGGCGATAAAGAGAGTGCAGAACTTCAATCGCAGGACCTTGGATGTGTTAGCAGCCCGGCTTTACTTCTACTTTTCCTACAGTTTTGAGCTAGCCGGTTGTCTATCTCAGATCCGCAGGTAGGAGAAGTTTGAGATAGAATAGTTGTTTCATCTGATTCACTTCTGACGTTGATTTCTACTCTCTTATTATAGTTTTTCTATCTCTTTTCTTCGGGAATCTACCTACTTTCAGTCTTAGGTTGTCTAAACCACGTATCTTTTCTCTCTACAATTCGTTCCAAGAAAAGGGTTCCGTTTCACCTGTCATGAGTAGAGAGAATGCGGAGGCTAAATACGAGAAACATCCCCTTTCTTGCCAGTTCGGTGTTTTTGATGGCAACTCATGCATCTTCATGGAGGTATAACGTTTGTTTATCTGTCGGACCCTAATTTCAATCATTGTTTTTTGTTGCTTGCCAGTTCATTATTAGCTCTCCATCGCACTGCTACTTTGAGACACGATGAACTGGGACAGGTACTACCTTTACTGAGCAATGCTTTAAGTAGCTTACTTGAATGCTGTGCGTGTCTGGGGAGTTGAAAATTTGAAACTTGATTTAAACTGTGTGGTATGTGTTTGTGATGGTTTAGGAAACTCTTCTCAACCTGCTCCTTCGCAATTATCTACACTACAATCTGTATGACCAAGCAGAGAAGCTCCGGTCGAAGACGCAGCGTGTGGAATCACATTCCAATCAGCAGGTTTGTGGATGTTTTGGGAGGAATTCCTGCAAATTGATTAGTGAAGCTTGTAAAATGGTTCGCATCAACATTTCTTCAGAGCTGTTTCTTGGTCACTACGTTTGGTGTTTTGTGCGCATTTTGTTATGCGTGTATTCTAGTCTTCTCATTGTTCGCATATATCTCTTTCTTTTAATTGATATCTGGTACCTTTCATTCATATCCTGGTGTCATTATCCGCCTTACTTCCTTTGTTTATTCATTCACACGAATGTGTGTGTAATTGCCTGCTCTGTCGATGCTGCTGGAACTTGATCAATAATTTTTGAGACGGTAACATTATGTCCGCAGCTCTGCCGGTACCTATATTATCTGGGAAGAATAAGGACGATTCAGCTTGAATACACAGACTCCAAAGAATGCCTACTTCAAGCAGCCAGGAAAGCTCCCAGCACTGCCCGCGGTTTCCGAATTCAATGCAACAAGTGGGCAGTGATCGTACGACTCCTCCTTGGAGAAATCCCTGAGCGCACCACGTTCATGCAGCAAGGAATGCAGAAACCTCTGAGGCCGTATTTCGAGTTGACCAATGTAAGTGATGCCTTCCTTTCTGGTAATTTGTTTTACGGTTCTCAGGTTTTGGTCTTGCAGAATTAGATGTAGCTTTATGTAATCTTCTAGCCCCTAATTTGCTTTGTAATGAGTGAAGGGCTCTTACCAGGCCGCGGGCTATATGCTCTTTAGGATGTATGGGCAAAATCTAATGATTACTTTTTATGAAAGTGGTCAATGGAGAAAGCGACAGCGAGGATGCCATGAAGGGTTCTATCTTAGTCATGCAATTCAACCTCTGTTGTTTTTTAAAACTGTTCGGTATAGTCAAGTCTCGGAAAGGCGTTCAGTTCTCCCTGCGTAGAGTTATTTATGGAAAGTGGCCTCAAGAAATAATTCTCTTGCCACCTTGTTATCTGTGTTCGCAGGCTGTTCGAATTGGTGATCTTGAGCTATTCAGATCAGTAGCTGAACGGAATTCAAGCACCTTCCATGCCGATAAAACTCAAAACTTGATTGTGCGGCTGCGGCACAATGTCATAAGAACTGGCCTGCGTAACATTAGCATTTCTTACTCTCGCATTTCACTTGCAGACGTTGCTGCGAAGCTTCACCTTCAATCTGCCACCGCAGTGGCTGATGCCGAGAGTATTGTGACCAAAGCTATTCGCGATGGTGGTATTGATGCTACTGTTGACCATGCGAATGGATGGATGCAGTCTAAGGAAACCGGTGATATCTACTCAACACAAGAACCGCAGACAGCTTTCCACTCCAGAATTGCTTTTTGCTTAAATACGCACAATGAGGCAGTGAAAGCTTTGAGGTTTCCTCCCGATGCCCACAAGAAAGAGCTTGAAAGTGCTGAAAAACGTCGTGAACGTCAACAACAAGAGCAGGAACTTGCGAAGCACATTGCTGAAGAGGACGATGACGAGTTTTGAAGAAAGGATTGCCAAAGCTGTGACCTGCCTCAGGCCATAAATGCAACTGGTCATTGTCGTCCTCACTGAAGATTAGTGTCTTCTACCAGTGCACTAAACTTCCAACGGAGAGAGTCATCAATTTCTTTCCTGAAGTCAATTTTTGCCTCAAGAAGGACCATCTTGGTAGTAGTGTACTAGCTGAGAGGTACCGCTGTCTGGAGATGGGAGATGGTAAGTATTCTTCCAGAGCTAGGATGTGAGCATCATTGTTGGGTTCAATTTTCTTCCTGTAGCGACGTAAAATTTCAATTCTGTGAATGCATGACGTATGGGACTTCAAGTTTGATGAAAGCTTGTGTTCAGTTTCCCGATTTGAAGTACTTGAAGTATTTCAAAAGTGGATTCCAAAAGAATGGCTGTAGACTCCCCTACTTACGCATGATGCCGAAGAAATATTGATCTGTCCATCCAATCATCTGTCTCGGGCCCTGTGGGACGCCGGTTGACTCTCAGAATCACTTAATGTAGATACAATCTGCCATGTACAAGCTTTTACGTAGTAATGGTGAAACGAAATCTGTCATGTGGTATCATCTCATGCTTTCAGGTTGACGTATGTAGCCCTCGTATGCTAGTTCCATCAGCACTAGCAACTTGTACTGAAGACCGTAGCGGTTTCTCAGTTGTGGATGAGATACCAGCTCCATAAGTAATTTGTCATTTGAAGCAGAATGTTGAAAATTTGAGGTGCCTATGTTACTCTTGTTCTCATTTCAGTCGAAGTTTGGAGGAAAGACTAGGTGGAGCAACGATTTACTTTTGTGAGAAGTATGAGGATTCCTTCATCAGATTTATGATTTGAAAAGCTGAACGAATATGATGTGAGGATGAACTGGAGGCGTCGAAAGATTCAAAGTTTGAGGATTATATCCAGGATGGGCCACAAGGTCATTGTAACATTGGTCTCAATATAAGGCTTGTTAAACGGAGCAATATTAAAACCGTAGATGTCATTATATCCTCGAGATTGTCGTGTCTGCTTGATACTGGAGTGGAGAGATCGAGTCTCAGTGGAGGAATTTGAGCACAGAAATTGAAGTCGAATACATGTCAAATGTATTTTGGAGGAAAGTGAGTACTTTCAATTTACCAGCTGAGGAACTTTGTTGGAGGATCCTGAGCATCTGAACATGGAAGTTGTGGCTGTTGTAGAAACTGGAGACACACCCGGTGCTAAGAGTCCCTGACGCAGTCACTCTCTCTTAAGACAAATACGTATAGGAGAAAAAGACAATCTTGAGTCAGCTTAACCATATCCTCCAATTTTTCAAGGGTAATCTTTGTGAAGTTTTGGATGCATAAAGGATGAGGACTTCTGACTTCATAAACTGAGTATGCAATTCACGTCGCATCTAGAAAGGCTCCGATGGACAACTTGCGGATGAAGTACAGGTTGACAGGAATGTCTGTTAGAACCCTGCGCTGTAGGATGCTGCTGTGCAGAAGACGGAATATTTCTCTCAAGTCAGGCTTATCAAACTTCAAAGAAAGAGTGATGACATCCATATCACTACTAAGTTTGTAGAAAATGAGAATAGAATAATTGGTGCTATCAAATAGAATCCTATCCTGTGTTTGTACCTTGGTTCTCTTAAAGATGATCGTGATGATACTCAATATTCATTTGTGAGTATATAGAGCTATCATTAGAAGATGATACTATGTCTAATCTCATATCAGTTTCCAACAAGAGGATAGTCCAAGCTTGAGCTAAAGAGAGGGATCTTGAACTTTGGAACACTGAAGTACCTTCGATGTACTATAAATAAATCGCTTAAAAGTTGTGTTAGGAATATTCGTTGTAAAATAATTGTAAAGTATGTTCACATTATTTTCAAATAGATATAACTGAATATAATTATTTTCAAAAGTAAAATTTGAGAGCAACATCTCAAACGATAATAATATTGTAAAATGAATATGATAGTATATTATTAAATATTATTTTAAATTTAATTTTTTTTTCGATATGTAAGGAAGTATTGGATTTTTTATAGTTTACATAATTTTCCAACTTTATCTTTAGATGCTTATAGTGTTTTCATTTATTACATCCGTCAGGCTGAAACATGCAAAACAACCATAGTTAGATAGATATACAAACATGAGACAAGTGCTAGCTATGTATGGACATGAAGATAAAGTGGTTCATCTAAAGACAGTACTACGTTCACGAGAGAAAATATATAACAATGGCAAAAAGACTTCTTAGGGTATGAGTTCATTGGGTTAAATACCCAAAGCCCTGAAGACTTGATCCCTAATTAAGGAGTATACTTTAGTTCCTAAAGTTACTTCTTAACATCAACAATCTACCCTTTAGTTAGTGTTAAAGAAACAACTCCTTAACCTATATTATTGTTTTCTGATAAATTTAAAAAAAAACTTCTAACACAAGTTTTCTTTTGTCAACAAGAGTTAATCAGAACTAAATCATAGCCATAACAGTATAAAGAAATAATATAAGAGATAATTAATAAAATTAGTAATGTTGAGGCAACAATAAATTACTTAATCTATATAATTATTTCGCAATAAATTTTAGAATAAAACCTTACACTATACTAATCTTTATACCAAAAATTAACTAAAACTAAAGCATAACTATAACAAGATGAAATGATAATATAAAAGTTACATGATAAATCTACTAGTATAGAAACAAAATTAGTATATATAATTATTTCGCTAGAATTTCTAGAAGAAAATTCAACACTATGTTATTCTTTATACCAAGAATTAATTAGAAGTAAATTAGAATAAATAAATAGAGTAAGATAGAATAAATTTATAAAAATGAAATTGAAAATATTATGCTAACAAACTCTAAGTGTGCATATTGTAGTTCAAAACTGTTCAAAGTGCTTCATTCTGTTATTCATACTTTAGTTAGCAGCCAACTAGAGAACACTTTGGCTATCACAAGCCATAGTCCAATACATTGCCCTCCTCATGATCGAAGTGTTCTGCAACGTATGCCAATATAACTGCAACTTTGACTTTCACATGACAGTTTCTCTTGACCACCCATCTCTGCGGTCTTATCGACGTCTATGCTACTACGCGCTGTCTCGCAATCTTGCGCATGCGGCCGCCCTTGCACGCGACCTCTGTGCTTTTGCTAGGCCGCTTGCGGACTGCCTTTCTGTGCATTTAGTCGTGGTTTGATCCCCCGTCTATCCTGCCGATTCCTCGCTTGTTGGGAAAATTTTGATCAAAATCGAACAAATTTTGATCATCGTCTACTTCTGGATTTCATTGCTACCTCATTGTCTCTCGCACTCAAACGTCGCGCATTTGCACGCGGTTGCACACACATGAACTCACCTCGGACATATCATGCAAGTTTTAATTTCTCAATGGATAAATGACTTTGGTTGGTTGATAGAGATTGCTTTGTCTCGCTGTGACTAAGCATCCACTTCCTTTTCAACTGAGTGATTTAGCTCTACTGCTCTTGCACCTCATGTTTGCTTTGCCTCATCGTCATTTGATTGTTTTACTCTCAACGAAAAGCAAGTGATACTCAAGAGCTACAACAAAGATGCAATGAAGCTCAAGAGGGAGAAAAACGAGGTGAACTGCACTCCCGACATGATGAGTTGAGCCTTGGACATATATGTCATGTCGTTGATCAAAAGCAATGACAAGAAGGTAGAAAACACGTGGTAATGGTCAACTTGTTGTTGTATAACATGAGAAGAGATCTTCACACATTGGTAATGAAAAAACTCCAAATGAATGAAACTGGATGCTGAGTCGATCAAAGTCAGGCTCTTGGAAGGTGATGAGGTATATCTCGGTACAAGGCAAGTTGGAGAAGCTATAACGTGAGCTCTAGCTAGAGAATACCAAAATTTGCTAGTGAAGAATTGAGCCAAGATAGATACAATCGGAAAATGCTATGATATTGAGATTTAGGTTGTCAAAATGCTTTCAAAATGCGTAACTATTAGAAAATTATCAACGTTAAATTTTTTTTGGCTTGTCTAAAAAAAGTCATAAAATTTTGCCTTTGACTAGAGACGACACAAACCTGTCACACACACAGGTACAAAACATAACCAGCTCAAATTCTACTTTTCAATCCGATGCACGCAAGATAATCATTGCCAACTGATAGATTAACAAACAAGAGACACAACTAGTGCTAGTAAACCAATATTGTTGAGGTTAATTATGGTTAAGGAGTAACCTCACGTTTAGCTATTTATAACTGTGATTGGGTATATATACCCATGTTCTGTGTACTACCATACAGTATGCACATTATACTATCTATTTCCCCGCGGACGTAACCCTTGAAGGTGAACCACGTTATACGTTTGTCTATCTCATGTTTGTTGTTACATAGACCGTATTGTCAATGAAGGTTCTCAGTCTCTATGTTTACAAGTACAGCATGATTCATCCAGGAGCAAGCTACTTCCACGGCTGGAACACAAGAGAGAGTATATAGCAATGGCAAAAAGATCTCTTACAATCTGAGTTCGCTTGGCTTAAATACCCCAACCCTGATGAATTGACTCTATCTAAAGATAGCTAGGATTCAATGTTACTACTTAAGAGGAGTTAATTTGAACAATATACACCATATAGAATTAAGTTGACTAAATTTTCATTAGAAGTATTCAAGGTTGTGTGAAGATCTAAAAAACATATTTAGAATAAGCTTGATGCAAAAATCACACAATTTAAAATGTTATTCAAGATTTCACTATGAATTGGCTAACATTTTTTTAATCAAAAATTTTCTTTAAAATTTCAATCAAATTTCTACTACATGGAACAAGTGTATTAATTAAAAATAAAAATCCAAAATGTAATTATAAATTTATTTGTTAATATTGGACTCAATCAGATCAGTTATACATACTATGGCTTGAATTTAAAATAAAGCAGTTTGTGTTTGAATATGTGTTTGAAGCATTATTAGTTTTAGTTGTACATATTTACTCACATTTTAGAATAAATTTTCATGTCTTCTGGAGATTATTATTTTTTTACTCCTTTTCATTTTCGAATAAATAATTTTATTATTGAACTATATATATTTTTATTTATACTCTAGCGAATGTCAATTTAATTCTAATGATGATATGTGAGGATTCAAAGCTAGTATCACATCTTGAAGATTGCAATAGTTTCACAAAATATATGCAACTTGAACTAGGAAAGAATTCTGAATATTTAGCGGGGAAATGCTCACTTTAGACAAATTAGTTCCTGATTGAAGAAAATCTAACTCTCCTCTTTCTGAAAGTCAATAAAGGCTGGCAATAAGTGTAACCAAGTTTTATCAAAAATGCATTTATCAAGGCAAAAATAATGACATTACAAGCCAATGAGAAGGATGTAGAGAATGAGATCAAGGATTTAGGTACAATCCTTCCACAAGGTATTGCAACTTTAATCTTTGTGTTGGACAAGAGTAGATTGAAAAATGTGTTCATCTTGAATATAAAAGCAGTGAAGAATTTGCAGTTTTGGAAAACCTTGAATAGCTTTTGGAGTCAAGAAGATTGTTGAAAATGAGATGATGATGACATTCTTACCTCTCAAGCCTTAGAAAACACCGTTAGATTTATATAATTCAAGTCATTTTTAAAGTTGTTGATATAGAGTATCCGTTGATATGTTCCAAAGGTTGAAAAGATGCCTAAAAAACATTCGATGAAGTTAAAATATTTGTTTGAGTGGTTTCAAAGTAAGATTCGTGATGACATCTTGAAAGCAAAGCGCAAGAATCTTCAAAATTTTCTTCGTGTGACAATCCAGCACATGTTAAATCAATAAATTTGGCAATTTTTTGTGTGGAGAAAAAATGCTTACTTTACCGGGATGCGTATTTAGCGTGACCTAATGTACTCTTTATACGTTGGGATCTCAACATGGGATGTAATCAGGTTGTTGCATCTCAATCAAGTACTCATGACATACCACTAGAGGTACACGTGGTTGATATATGTATATACAACTTATGTACTATGTTTTTGAACATTCTAACGTAATTTTCATTAAATTAGAAAAAATAGAAATTAATAAAGACTGTATTTTTCATAACTAATAAATTACTACAGTACTGTATGAGTTGAAGATTGATGACATCTTTTATTTCTGTTTATAACCCTATCAAACCCTTGTATTATTGTCTCAAGCTACAACGAATCCAATAGAGTAGATGATCACCAGCGAGTGGATTTATAATGGAAATCTAAAATTGTTGAGGAAACCGTTAACTCACACGCAGCTGTCGAAACGCGGACCGTGGCCCAAGTCTTCTTTTCAATGTTTGTGCGGATGCTCTGGAAAGGTCTGACTCCGAGATTTCAAGCATTTGTGGCTGTCGACCTCGTTACCCGGTCCACGACTTGGCAACGAGACCAGCCCCCGCCCGAAGAAACACCGAAGAAACACAAGGTCGGTCGGTGCTGCTGCAGAACATGCCCGAACACAGGCTGTTACCGCAGAGTCAAACTATTTTTTAGAATTGACTGCTGCAAGGCGTGGACATGGCAGCTTGCGGACAGATGTGGACATTTCATACGAAGGCGTGTATGCAGCTGCACTTTTCGGCGACATGGTTTGTCTGTGAAGGAGGTGAAAGGAGCTCGTCGCATTCCACAGCCTAAGCTTCGCGCACTTTGTGGCTGATCGAATCTGATGTCATCGACCGGCTGAGCTAGTGTACGATACGTAAGTTCTCGCCCAAGTCCCAGACAACCATCAAGTCCCCGAGTTTCTAAAGCTTCGAAGCTCGGAACATCATCCGCAGTGTATGAGTCGGCAACCTCACTTCTCTGGACAGTGCGAAGTTTGCAGCATTGGATTCTGTTGCCCCAGAACTGGACGTCCAAAAATCTGTCAAATTGGCTGTCTGTCTGTTTGCATTGAGCTCGAGCAAGATGAACGGAGTGTCGACTTAACAACACTCTCTTCGGCAGCAGATTCGGATGTTTCCTCGAGGGTCCGGTTACCAAAGCTCCCGAAATATCTTGGCCGACTTTAGTCAAGCTTGAGTCCGTCCACGGTGAGTACTGGCATCCACCCCCGATGGACAGGAAGCAAAGCACCGTTCGAGTCAATTCTAGGGCTGGCGAAGGGTGTGTGTCAATGGCAACCTGGCGTCGAGAAAACTCCAACTTAGTCTTATCCATGGCTGGCCTGAGCTCGTTGACCTCAGCTGCTGCATATGCATCATCTGCCCAGCAACGTGGCGCACGAGCCTACGTAGCTTCACGTCTGGAGTCAAAGCTGTAAGTTCACCGCGTCTCGCAGAGTTTTGACACCATTCGTGGACGAAGTTTCCACATCTCTTGCTGAGCTCAGCGGGCCCAGATTGAGCTGATTGGGTTGGAATACCGAGTGCAGATGGAGTGAGACAAATGCTCGAGGTGCAGATGGAGATGGAGCGAGAGACGAGCGAGGCAAGGATGAGCAGAAGGACAAAAGTGCAAAAAAGGGACCTCGGGCTACGACTTCTGAAGCCCTCCACATTTCGGATTCTCCAGGGAGCAGCCCTCGCAGATGCTTGTTCCAGCATGAGGTTGTTATTGCCTATCCCCAGGGCATATATATAACAGAAAAGTACGTGAAGAGCCCGTCAAGTCCTGCACCTGTACTGTGGATTGGGAGCTTGAACATGGAGTAGGCCCAATAGCATCGCAATGGGGAATACCACCTCAGATTTACCCATTTTCATAGAATATCTGGCAGTGCTCTGTGACAAACAGGGAAAACGTCTAAACCACCAAAGTATATTATTACATAAACTAAAGAATAGATAACATTAATATTTTTCATTAATTCTTTCATAAACATGTCAAACTCTGATTCCACTAAAGAGGAACGTAAAGAGATGACATCTTTGTATATCCACATATTGTTAAATCTCAACTGTCGGTATTTCTCTTAGTCCTATTTAAGAAGACGAATAATCACTTACTTTGAAAGTTTGTCAAAATAGCATATCTCTAACCCTAACTTGACAATCTGGAATGAAATATAATCTACACATAATAAGGCTTTATTATGAAGTACACAAAATTATTGTCATTTGAAACTAGTATGTCATTGTATATAATTTCTAGTTTATAACATCAACAACAAATTTACTCTATGATCGAAATAAATATCAAGACATGTAATACTAAACAGTACTATGACGTCAGAATAAATTAGAATGGAAGGACCTAGATGTCTAGATGTCCAGATTTTCGTCACTTTCTTAAAGAAAAAGTATGATAAATATATGGCAGCAAAGTCCAGATTCTCTTCAGTGACTTTATAAGCGTGCCCCAATGGTCCGACCAGGTATTCGCCCATAGATATCTATCTAGGAGCACATCGTTGCATTCTTCGTGCTAGATAGAGTCCAAATATGCTTGACAAGGTCGGCGTTCAGATCACGAGAAGGCCTTCTCTTAATGTGCCATCGAACAATTCTAGCAGAATCGAACTGATGAGTTTGACTATGGCAGAGATCTTAGGTGAGAGTCCGGACCGAGTTTGGAAAACTTGATTCCACCAAAAGAGTGAAGCAACCACAACTTCCACAACTTTCCCTTCCCCGAGCTCTCGACTTCCCAAGTCCAGGTGCTCGGCACAGACTGGTGCAATCCAGCCCATGAAGTTCTGTCATAGCACAGTCCCACATCGGATGCAAGGAGGCTCATAAGTGGCGGAGGAGGAACACGAAGATAGAAACGAGCCCTTTCAGGAACAGTCAGTTTGGGTCTGATTGCAAATCGAATCCTGATTTCGTGGGTTCCTTTTGCTTTCAATTGGGTGGAACAGAGGCAATTCAAACTCCCAGCAATATAGCAAGTCTTTATTTACCGAAGAGTCGGATAATTCGAGGGATTCGTTCATTCATTCATTCATAGGACAGGGAACGAGGGCCTACGACGAAGACCACGACCGAGTCTGAGCCCCAGATCTGATTCAGGATAGAAAGACCACCAGAATCGCAACTAACCACTATTTTGGCACAAAATTGGGTGGGAGTGATGTCGAGAGGACAAAATAGTTGGCATGGCCTCCTGCCCCTGGTCACCGAAGGCTGCATTTGACTCGTCTTTTGTCTGCCTGCACGACGTTTGACTCAGATACTGTAGTGAGAGTGCTCGATGTACGGAGCTCGACATGATGAATGCTGACTGCAGGTGAGAGCAACTGCAGTCACTGCCGTCTGCTTAGAGTTGGGACGAGAGGCTGACGCAATTGCCGAGGCAAGCGTGACGAAATTGTACGCAGCTCAGAAAGGTCACATGTTCGAGCGTTGCCGTGGTAGGACCTCCTCCGTCGTCGAGGACTTGTCGGTCGCATGGCATTGCTCTGTGTGTGGTCAGCTGCCATTGTCGATGAAGAAACTCTAACCCGTAGAAAAGCTTGAATTGATCGGTGGGTGGGTTTCGTTTACAAGACCCACCCGCATCTCCAGCACTCTTTTTGTCATGTTGCGATCGCTGCGGAAAATCCCGCTCACTCTGTGCTCTAATTCGCATTGGGGAGAAACCCTGCTACGGACGAGGATCGACGATCCAAGTGCGGGATATTCATAATTACACGACGTGATCAGGAGAAGTGTTCTTCACATTTTACTATTTAACGTCGGAGGTCTATCACTCTCTTCCTTCTCACACCATAATCTGGTTTCCTCCAAATTCCGATTATTTTTGGTAACGACAGAAAATCATTGACTGGCTTCATTGAATACAAGTCCTGAGTTAGAAGAGCGGTGCACGATTCTCCATGGGCATGGTAAGTTTTTTAATATAAGTCGCTTGGCTCTGCAGCTCGATTGTATGCAATGTATTGTACCCGGGCATTCCTCGACACCAAATCTGTAATATGATGGCAGTCTTCAGAACTCCCCCCCGCCCCGAGTATACGCAGACGATAATGTCTATGATGACAGAGAAGAGACCCGGATGAAATAAGAGTGCCCGTCGATAAATAGATGAAACATGACTGCCGGGTTTCCATGTTCACCACCAGATCCACTCTGACAGACGAAATTCCGAATGAGAATCTCGTCATCGCCAAGGAGTGAAGACCCAAGCTTTAACTCCATCATACGAAATGCTCTTAGCCTCTCTCGAAGCACAACCCCGACAGAAAAGGGCCGACTGAGAGTTGTGCGGGCAATTCCCTGGATTGTGGACGGACATTCTTATTCCTTCTGATTGTTGCCCGAGGTGAAGGAAGAAACGTGATGCCCACGGGGCAGAGCTGTGGATGCAGAATGATGTTTGGTACCGAGGAAATCGACGGAGCTCCATCGATGGGGAGAGGAGAGCGCGAGAGGGCGGAGCAGCAGGGCAGGGGGCATGCCCCAGGCCATGACGGGAGCGTGGCATAGGAGAGGCGACACCCGCCGAGGACGAGCGGCCGGTGGCGAGCACGAGGGGCGACAAAAGCGCACCTCCTGCTCTCATTCCCAGCATGAGCTTCCACCGGCAGCCGAGCCTCCAGGCCTGGACTCAGCACTAATGCTCCAAATTCCTCAAGCGATCTCGGAGACGAAGGTCACCATTTCCGATCCCGGACTGCCAATGGTTCGGACTCGGGAGAGAGAGTCCGATGGGAGGGGGAGGTGGAAAGGGGAGTCGGAATCTGGAGCGGAGCTTAGGGAGAGCTGTGCGAGCATGGCCTCGGGGCGGCAGAGAGGACGGGGACGCGAGTGGTCAAATCTGCCATGGCTCTCTCGCTCGTTTGTCCGTCTGCCTTCATGCAGGAGCTGCAGGAGCTGCTGGTGCCGGGCACTGTGAGGGCGCATTCGCAGGCCCGTAATCCGCAGCGATGCTTTCTGAAGTCGCAGCAGGAGGAGGAGGATGGAGACACGGAGCATCGGCTCGAGGCCGATCATCTCGCGAGCATGATTCTCCCCGCGCATTTGGATTCACGTGAGCGGGAGGGAGGGGGAGGTGGAGGGGGGGCCCCACGCAAAGCGGAACTTGCTCGGAAGCCCGTGCGGGCCAGCCGCATGTGTTGGAGCTATGCTTGCTCGTGCCTCGGACGGACTTCTCTGTGGCTCCCGTCGCTATTCTCGGATTCGGTGATGGCTCTCTCTCTCTCTGACTCCGCCATGTGATCTCCCCTTCCGCAGCTGCTGCCCATTTCCCTCCAAATGTGAACTCCTCTCTCGCCCTCCATTCATCCATTCCGCCCTCCGTGTGCATCGCTCGGGCAACAGACGGAGGTGAGCACTTGTGGAACATATCCATGGACTCGAGTGACGTGAAATCTGCTCACTGCAGCTCAAAACCAGAATCGGCATGAATGAACGAACGAATGATCTCACTCTTCACCGCCATACGTCCGTCGCCTCATGTGTAGGGTTGGAGGCACGATAAAATTTTTCCAGGCATGCCCGTGCCCCATTTCCAGATCAAAAGGCATGCCCCGTGCCCCCAGGCATGCCCGTATCACAATACGTATATATCCGGTATATACAAAGTATACCTAAAATTAAGTACAATACATGAGTATACGTATAATAAGTAACTATAATTAATATACAATTAGTTGTAATTAGTGTATACTGAACAATGCTTTATAATTTATAGAACACAGCACAATATACTGTGAGATGATCTACACATGCACTATACAACTACATCACATTCTAACTACTAAACCATTACACTAAAGAGTTTTCCACGTCCACTATATCCCTACACCAGAGTCTGAGTGTTGTTTCCAGACCAGATTTAATACCTGGGACGTAAATTCAAAAAAAGTTTGGCACCTGGATAGAAGAAAAAAAACGTTGCATATACGAATATTCCGAAGTTATAGTATGATTAATACGTATATACATACGGGCATGCCCCATACACAAAATGCAAATGAGGCATGCCCCTGGGCATGCCCCCATGCCCTCGCCCGGGGGCATGCCTTTTTGGCTGTGCCTCCAACCCTACTCATGTGACGATTCTGCCCCTCTCCCGGCAGTCGTCCTTCACCTTGACCATAACCATGGCCAGAGGGAGGGTGGAGAGAGAGAGAGTGAGAGAGAGAATTCAGTTGAAGGGATGGCATTTTCTGGAGTCTGAATCGGTGCTTGGAAGGACGCCCCGCCTCCTCAACCCTCCCCCTCTCTCTCTCGCTCGTCTTCCTCCAGGTCCTGACTCCTGGGGGCCGGGGCTATTGAATTGTATGTATCAATGTTGTATTATACAACACTGTATAATATTGATAATACATCCTCACGGAGTATAGATACAGAGGTATTTTAATCATTTATTAACTTGCGGCATGTCCCAATTTTATGAAAACTATTCACTTGCTCTTCAAATCTACCATGACTTCTTCGTCAATTGCAATTTCGGCCAGAAGTTTATGAATCGCTAATGAATCCCTCGGAGCGATTCATTAGCACAGATGGTAGATTTGCAGAGCAATTGAATAGTTTTTCGCTTCCTTGCCCATAAACTTCGCTCGTTTACGCCTAAAATTGCATTGATACATTCTTTGATACAATTAAAACTGTATTATACTATATTATACGTCCTGTATAGATGACTCTCTGTAGATTACAATTCAATAGCTGGGCCCTGCCTGGAGTGAGAGCAATCGTGCACGTCCTTGGCAGGCATCTTCTTCCCCAAGGCATCGTCCTGGTGCGACTGACTGGCGGGGTTGATGTGACCGAAGCCAATTGGGAAAGGTTCTCGCATGCAGCCGGAGAGGAAGAAGTACAAGTCGCAGCTCCATGCACACAACTCCGAGCCTCCTCCGACTGCGATCATGGCAGCGATCAGTGAGAGCAGTTTTTGGGGGGTTCGTTCTTTGCGTTTCTTGCCCTGTTCCCGACGCCAGGTCGTCCCTGCCTCCTATGAACTGTCACGGAACATGTGAGAGGCAAGTCCAGTCCTGGAGTGCAGTCATTGATTACGCTCGATCGAGCTCAATCGCTCGTGTTTTAAAATTTTCGGTTCGTCGATGCCACTTCTGGAGGCATTTCCAAAGTAATATCATCTCAGCAATCTCTCAGACTGGCTTTACTCTTGATTGAGGTTGAGCATATGAATGTGAATTGAAAAGGAAAGTAAATTGTGCACAAGAAATTGAAGAGAAAAGTATATATCAATTTAATTGATACGTACATATGGTTATTAGAAGATAAACCCAAATCAGATGAGGGATGCTTTAAAAAAATCGTGATGAATATATTTACCTTCAATACAGTTGATATCAAACAGAGCATCAACAAGGTGAACTTTTATGCAACATCTCGAGTGAATCATGATCATGTATTATATGTAGTAATCTTTTTTCTTGAATTATTGCAAAAAAACTTGTGAAGGGAAACCTTAAATGTAGAATATCTTCAGTGAACATATAAGAGTGATTCTTAAAATGTTGCTCGTTTCTCCCATTTTTTACCTTAATATTGAGACATGGAGAATCTTGAGCATGATAGTAAGAAGAAGGCAGAAGTACTGTAAGTGGATCAAGTGAATAGCCGTTTTCTAAAACAAAATCTTCCCAAGACCATAAATATCTATGAATTGCAAAGGCGCAAACCGTCGTTGATTGCGGTCGCAACATATGGATCCACTTGACAGACCGAGGGACAAGCAGGATGTGTGCAAGGGGAGAGGATTGTGGACCTTTGTGATACTTGACATGATTTATTTAGCAGCCCAGAGTGTATATCAGATTTTTGGGCGTTCTTTCACTCGCTCCTTGTCATGATCCTTCTTCCTAAATGGCACTTTCTTGCTCGTCTGCTTTTAATGATGCTCCCCTGCTTTAAGACAACAAGCAAGCAAGCTTGATTTTTGCTTTCTCGTCCCAACAAATCACGCTCATGACACCAACTGCACTAATAGATTCTCGATTCCCAACTACCAACCAAAAACTAAACACATTATGCGAATGCGTCTTTGAAGCAAGCCGTTAAAAAAACGGGGTAGAGTTCGGTCCAATATAATGATTCTCGTAGAAATCATAAGATCATGATGATTTCATGTTGCAAGAGAAGGGATTCTGAGAGAGTCGTGGTAAATTGATGAATTGTGGCCCCAACGAAAGCCATCGAAACTTCAGAAGTAGGGGACATGTTTGTCTAGTTTCTGGTTGAAACTTTGGTTGATATTTCTGGTTGATATCTTGAAGGAGCTGAGGGGAGGGAGATGAAAGGGCACTCGAGTCAATGTTGCTCGTTAGCAAGAGAGATCATGGCAGGCAGTGAGAGACATAAGGTAAGCAAAGTGAATAGAGCTGCTGAGTAAAAATGCTCTCAAAATTTGGTGTTGCTCTGATTTTCCTCCATGTCATACATGTTCTAGCGAGTTCCTTCGAAGGTGTGTTCTGGACTTCAGTTCACGTCAAAACTTTCATCAAAGGTTCCCAAGGTACGCATCGCTTCAGACATCCTTCCTCTAACCAGCAAAAGATGTGATGGCACGGACCACTTCCAGATGGAGCAACGCTACTTTGGTGAGGAAAAGTTCCGAAACCGTTTGCAGTTCATCGTACGCCAGCCATTGATTCGTTCATGTTGAGAGAATTTGAAGCGAATTCTCTGTACCCAAAGGGGTCACGAAGGTTTCATGGATACTTGGGAAGAAGAGGGAGAGAGGGAGAGAGGGAGTGGGGACTATGTTATCGTGCACAGATGATGCTGGGGTCCAGTTGGATGTAAGTCGCCCTCGACAGAGATTCGGTCAGGGGTTTCCCATCACAAGATCCCCCTTTCTATCCACTCGAGCTCGCCTCGCGTTCTCCCTCGAAAGAGAGGGAGGGAGGGAGGGAGGCGGGCCAGAGGTTTTTGTTCTACGTTCCGTAAAGGCCATTTACGCGCATCGGTAACGTGAAAGCGTTCTCGTGACCTCCATGGGGTTTCAGGTTCATGCGATTCAGGACAGAAATCAATGCCCCGTCGAGCTCCAATACTCCGGCGAGACGAACGATTCGCCAACATGCTCAACATTAGCCCCGTCCGAGCAGAAGCGGGAAGGAATGCGCCGGCGACTCGCCGCACAAGCACCGCCTTGCCCCCACACAGCCTCCCCTGCACGACTGACTCGCTAGCCCCGAGCTTGCCTCCCTCCGTCCCTCCGGCGGGCCTACCTTCGGAGGCTGAACCTCCCAACGTGAGCCGCCGCAGGCCCCGTCGCGCCGCTAGCCCCCGTCGTCGTCCCCTTCTGCCTCTCCTCCATGCCGCGACCGTCGTGACGGAGCTCCGTTCCACCTGCGCCTATGGCAAGCACCAGTTTGGCTTCTAGCGAGCCCCTTCGTAAGTCCGTTGTCGTTGAGCACAATCTGATTTCTGACTGTACCTGCATTTATTGATGGGGTTAATTTATTACCGGGAGGGGGGGTGGGGGTGGGGTAGAACCGGATCGAGTCGGAGCGAGACGTTCGGGAAGGGAGAGTTTCGGCTGCCCGGTCTGCCAGCGCACACGGCGGAGAAGCCCGCAATGCCCGCCCGGAACGAAACTGTTCCTTACCACCTGTTCCGGTTCCTCCCACTTTCGGCTCGCAGTAACTTTGACCTCCCACGTCGTGCCCGGCGCCTGGAACCGGCTGCGACTGTGGTGACCCGGTAAGAAGGCTGATCTCAACGGTATCATCTGATAGGGCAGTGACGGGCAAGGAGTGAAAAGTGAAATTGGGGCAGAGTCCCGATAAACCGCCGTTCAGTAAAATGCGGCACCCGGACGGAGTAGAAGGGCCAGACTGACGGGGTTAGTCGGGGGCTCGAGTAACCGCGTGACATGCGAGAGGGGGAGTGGGGAACAGTAAGTGGTTCACGGGGGGGGGGGGGGGGGGGGGGGGGCAGAAAAAGGAAGCACGGAGTGGGGCGTCAACGCTGACCGGGGAAACCGATAACTTTCACAGGCCAGTGAATGTCAACGACCCGGCGGATCTACGGGCTATAGCCCGCGGACGAGGGCGGGCGACCGGGTGGGGCCCGAGGGCGAGCCGGTCACAGCAGGCCGCGGAAACGGCGGGGCTAATCGGCGCCTGGTTGCCGACAGGCTGGCGAGGGTGCTTCTGAGGAAGAGTGGTGGGCTTTTTGACGCGGGGAGCCAGGCCTTTCCCAGGGGGGAGTGGAGTGGACAAGCCCTCCCGGACCCAGTGTTGTGTGTGTATGGTAGTGAGGGGGGCTCCGGGGGTTTCAGACTTGAGCAGCAGCTCGCAGCACGACTCGTCTTTGAGGCTCTGTGTGCGCGAGGCTCGCAAGAGCAAGAGAGAGAGAGAGAGAGAGAGAGAGCCGAGCGCTCCGAGGCTCACAAGGCCCACGAGTCCCGATGAGCCTCATCTCTGCGACCCATTTTTCCATTCTTTCTGACAGGAATTGAGCGAGTAAGTAGAGCTCGAGAGCGCAGTGCAGTGCCGAGGAGCGGAAGGGAGCGAGGAGCGAAGGCACCGACCGAGGCAGGAAGCGAGAGAGCCAGAGGACAGAGGATACGAGGATAAGTGGTGGTGGAAGCGCGACCCGCCGTGTAGGCAGAGGCAGTGAGTGAGTGAGAGAGAGAGAGAGAGTGGGCCGCTGGGTGGCGGCGGTGGTACACGATGGGAGTGGTGAATGCGAGAAACGGAGCTCGAGCGAGGATGATTGGGGCGGTCGACGGCTTGATGTGAAGCGCGGGCTGTGGGCTTCGAGGACCTCCTCGAAGGGCTCGGTGGGCTGGCGGGCAGGCATTTCTCGAAGGATGCAGTGAAACGGAAGGACGGAAGAGCGATTCGTGTGTTGGTTTGGTTCTCGAGATTGAAGATCTGTAAGTGACCGATTGATTGATTCTGCGGACGAGGAAGAACGCATCCGCGCGGCTTAGACTTGTTGTCGGGGCCTTGCCCGAACCTAGAGAGATAGATAGAGAGATAGATGGTCGGACCTCGGACACGCATTGTGTGACTTCGTCAGCTGATTCGGTGAGCGAGCAGAGGAGCGAGTAGGATTTGGCATTCACTTGATTTGTATGTTGCTCGAGTGAGTGTTTGATAATGGCGGCCACTCCACCCACGACTGGGGCTCCGACTGGGGCTCCCCCACCCGCCATATCGCCTCCGGCTCCCCCTCCCGCCACAGCCCCTCCCCCCGCGGACTCTCCCCCTCCTCCATCTCCCGTTGCGCCCCCTCCCGAGGCCACATCCCCTCCCCCTCCCGTCGCAGTCCCTCCCGTCTTCTCCCCTCCTCCCCCCGTGGAAGTGCCGCCCCCCGTCGTCTCTCCGCCTCCGCCCGCTGCCCTTCCTCCGGCTTCGTCTCCCCCTCCTCCAGTCGCCGTTCCGCCCACCGAATCCCCGCCTCCTCCCGCCGGAACACCCCCAGCCCCGGAGCCCGTAGGCTCCACACCTCCAGTCACCAACACTCCCCCTCCCACCTCGAATCCGTCTCCTCCCCCGCCCACTGCTTCTCCCCCACCCCCCGGAACACCCCCAGCCCCTCCCCCGTCTCCACCCCCGCCTGCCCCCCCTGTCACTCCAACCCCGCCGGGGGTTAGCGCCTCTCCCCCGCCCCCTCCCAGGCCGATCGCATCACCCCCACCCCCCAAGGCCCCGACCACCACCACACCGCCGTCCTCTGACACCAGCAGCAGCGGGGGCATATCGACCACGGCGGTGGTCGGCATTGCCGTGGGAGGCGTGATTGCGCTCATTCTGATCGGAGCTCTGTGGATCTGCCTGGCGCGAAGGAGGCCCAAGCAGAAGCTGAATTACGCGCACCGAGTCGGGCACAATGCGATGGGGGGAATGGGCTCGAACAAGAGCGAAGCGTCGTCGTACGGGATGACGGGGAGCCGAGTGGACTATCTGGACTCGGGGGAGATGACCCCCAAGCCCACGCCCCCGCCTCCCTACAAGGGGGATGGGGGAGGCATGAACGGCGGGGCGCCGGGGGCTGGGAAGATGGTCCCTCCCCCGCCCCAGGGCTCGCCTAGCGCCGGCAGCACGCGGCCGTGGTTCACGTACGATGAGCTCGAGGTGGCTACGAATGGATTCTCGCGCGACAATCTGCTCGGCGAGGGCGGGTTCGGGCGCGTGTACAAGGGCGTGGTGGCTGGGAACCAGCTGGTGGCTGTGAAGCAGCTGACAATCGGCGGGGGGCAGGGCGAGCGCGAGTTCCGAGCCGAGGTCGAGATCATCAGCCGCGTGCACCATCGGCACCTGGTGTCGCTGGTGGGCTACTGCATCGCGGACAGCCAGCGGCTGCTGGTGTACGACTTCGTGCCCAACGGCACGCTCGAGCACGCGCTCCACGGCAAGAACATGCCGGTGATCGACTGGCCGACGCGCATGAAGATCGCGCTGGGCTCCGCGCGGGGCTTGGGGTACTTGCACGAGGACTGCCACCCGAAGATCATCCACCGCGACATCAAAGCCTCCAACATCCTGCTCGACAACAGCTTCGAGGCGCAGGTGGCGGATTTCGGGCTGGCCAAGCTCGCGAACGAGGCGCACACTCATGTCACCACGCGCGTCATGGGCACCTTCGGCTACCTGGCCCCCGAGTACGCGCTGAGCGGCAAGCTCACCGACAAATCGGACGTGTATTCGTTCGGCGTGGTGCTGCTGGAGCTCATCACCGGGAAGAAGCCCGTGGATGTGACGCAGGCGCCCGGCGAGGAGAGCTTGGTCGAGTGGTCGAGGCCCATGTTGACGCAGGCGCTGGAGGACGGCAATCTGGACGTGATCGCCGACCCGGCGCTGCAGAACAACTTCAACGAGAAGGAGATGTTCCGCATGGTGGAGGTGGCGGCGGCCTGCGTGCGCCACTCCGCCAACCGCAGGCCCAAGATGGGGCAGGTGGTGCGCGCGCTCGAGACCGAGGGCGCCGATCTGAACCAGGGCGTCAAGCCCGGCTACAGCACCGTGTACTCGGTGTCGAGCGAGTCGGGCGAGTACGACTCGTCGCAGTACAAGGCGAACCTCAAGCAGTTCCGCAAGATGGCGCTGCAGGGCACCACCGGCGAGTATGGCAGCGAGTACGGCATGACGAACGAGTATGGCGTGGCGCAGTCGGCCTCGAGCAGCGAGTATCAATTCGACAGCCGCGATCACGGGCCTCCTCCTCGAGGCCAGCAGCAGCAGCAGTACCAGGGGCAGGGGCAGGGGCAGCAAGCCCACCGGGAGCAGCAGATTTACGCGCACGACTCCGATAGCAGCCGAAGCTCCGACGACACGCGAATCGAAGTGCTGGACGAGCCCAGCCCCCGACCGGGGATGCGAGCCCAGGGGCACGCGCAGGTCGGCGCGCTGCCGCTGCCCCCGAACAGGCGAACGGTGGCGGGCGGGGGGTTGCGCGGGGGCAGCAGCGAGGACCTGAGATCCAAGAGCCCGACGAACCAAAGGCCCGGGCACCGGAGACGGGGGTCGGGATCGGCGAGCGGGGCTGGGGGTGGAGCGCGCATGAGCTCCGTGGCCAGCAGTGTCTTCAGCCAGGACTACACTCCGCAACCGCCTCCGCCCCCGCCCGACTACGGGCGCCAGTACAGCGAAGAATACCCCGAGTCCAAGTATAGCACGGAGGATGAGGGGAAACCAAGCATTATCGCTGACCGACTAGAAGAAGGTAGATAAGCGTGTGCAATTCTGCTGCTGCTGCTGGCTTTGTTTCTGTTTCACCACATTTGAGACATCTTCAGAGTTTGTATAATGCTGTAATTCCTCGTCCCGATTTCTTCTTGTTTCTCCGATCCCCCGCCTCTAGCTCGATAGATTATATTGGTTTTGCACCTATGAAAGTTATCCCCCCTTCCCGTTCCCCTTCCCCCCCAGTTTGCCGACATCTCCGGTGCACCCCCAAGCGCTGGCTCCCCGGAGCGCAGCCCCCCGTGCCTCAAGCCCAACCCCCGTTGAGGTGCACGAGATACCGTTTGTAACTTCACTCCGGAGTGACAGGCCCCGACCGACCCACTCACTCCCTCCCACCAGCTCGCCGAGGCGAGGGCAGGGGAAGTCCCTAAACGTGCACTCTGCCCTGCGGCCCTCGGGACCCCGAGAGTCCATAGCCCGAAAGTAGAATAGCGATTGTGGAGGTTCAGAGTTCAAAAAAAAAAACCCGGGACGGTCTCCTCTGAGCTTTGCTCGCACTGCCCCCCTGCTCGAATGGGAGCAGCAGTATGGCTTCCGGTCACAGCGCAGCCGCCGTTGACGCCCGCCGCGAGGTGGGAGCATGAAACGGTGGCTGTCGATCAATTCATTCTTCACTCTACTTTGTACTCCGTACTGTCTGCTGGTCGTCCACGCGGCAGGTAAGTGGGGGTGCGAGTGACAAACAGCCGGGGAGTCAGCTCCGTCCATACGGGAGAAAGAAACAGTTTTAAACTTAGATTCATTTGTAAAGTTCATCGGGAGTTTCGCATCTAATGCCATTGGAAATAAATTCGGCTCTCGTACGTAATTTTATCATTCGTTTTTGTACTTCCTTTTTCGTTCGTTCGTTCGTTCGCTCGTTCGTTCCTTCGTTCAGTCGGTCGGTCAGTCTGTCGGTCGGTCGGTCAGTCTTTGAAAATGTCGTTGGCGCAGCAGCAGATCATTCAAGTGTTTGATGATGGATTGATCGGTTGGTTGGTTGATGGTCTTGCTCTTGTGATGTGCGATTGATTGGTGGAGAACGGAATTTTAAGATAGGGTCGCGTATCTCTGCAGGATCGAGACCCTTACTACGGTCCTCGCATTAAAGGATTTTTTTGGATGCTCAAAGAAGAAAGCGTTGTGTGGAAGGGCGAGATCTTTGATGAATGGGAGTTTGACTTTCCAATCACTGTGTCTGGTCGGTCTTCCTGCCTGCCTGCCTGCCAGCCTCGCTCGCTCGCGGTGAGAGCAGGCGTTTCTCTCGCCAGCAACGACCAACCCTTGTGTATTCTTCTTCTCCTCCTTCTTCGTGTCGAGGTATCCCTTCTCCCGTGTACATCGAAGGGCGAGAGATGTTGGAGGAGGAGATTCTTACCCTGGGGGCGTGACGAGTTACTAGACATCTAATCGCCCGGTTCCAGATCAGTGTATAAGAGATTTTGTATAGTATGGGCATAAGCACAGGGGTGTTTTTTGTGGCTATGGCTAGATCTGGATGCCCGCGTGCATCCGCAAGCAAGCAAGCATTCAATCATCAATCACTCATAGGTCCGGGTCGCTATGGAAGAACCGCGGGGCTCGAGCGTCCTCGGGTTCTAGGATGGCGATCCTCCCAATTGGACGATTAATTCTTTGTGGGCACGGTCCCACCGGGTTGGCAGCTTTAGACTAGTTAGTGGCTGTGCCAACTGTATTTTCTTCTGAACATTCCCCCAAGCTGTTCGTTCTCATCTGCAGCCATTTGCAGAGGCTTCGGGGGCTAATCCTCACCAGAGACTTCCAGCCCTAGATCGGATCGCAGGACTAGACGCACTCTCGGACAGACCAGCACACATTCTTGTCTCAGCAGACATTGTGAAAACTAGTACTTGATTTTAGTTGAGGTTAGGGTAGGAATTCAGTACACAACAACATTTGGTTCTGCAGAAGCATAATATTCTTCTCGCAGGTAGTAGATTATGTACAACTCTTTGTCCTGTTCACGGACGGACGATCCCATTGTGGACCAAGTCTTCCTGATTTAAGTGGAATACAACAACCTCGTTATTCAATTGCATTTCCTCTCTCTCTCTCTCCCTCCCTCCAACTTCTTGAAAACCGAGTCCCAAATCACACCGCTATGATCTGAGCCGAGCGGAGCTGAGGCATAGCCATAGTCATGTCACGGGTGCTGCTCTGAATTGGCTGAGGAAGGGGCTGCACAGTCTAGCCTTGAGATCACAGCGGTTTTATAGGTTGATGGTTGTTGATTGGCGTCGGGGTCATGGCAGTGGTGGGCAGAACACACTCGCCTACTGGACCATCTGATCGACTCTGGAAAACGTGAGCTGCCCTGGATTCTTGCCGTGTCTGGTGTGTACTGCTGAGCTTTTCTTGCTCGAAATCTTTGAGGTCCCGGCTCTGGCTCCGGGTGTTCTGCCCGCCCACCGCCCAATTGTCCTCAATTGTAATCTCAGGCAGGCACACACGCACATACAGCCCACGATCTCTCTCCAGGCCAGCGAGTTGCAGATACTGTTCGCCTCAACTGTCACCGGCCTATTGCCTGCTGGCTTGCAGCATGTCCGACTTGGTCCTTGTCGTGGCGGGCATGTCTGTCCACAGTGAGCTTGTCCTGTGGATTTGATATCATACGCTCAGTGGCCGCAGCCGCTGGGACGGGAAAGTGAAGTCAGCTGAACGAAGTGGCGCTCCATGTCCTGGAGTGCATGGGATTCTAGAGCGATGAGGAGGAAAGGACCCCGACTTGCGCCTTCGGAAGCTGAATTCATCGATCCATCGATCCATGATTGAGGAGTGAGGGCCATGGAAACCGCAACTGCGTCATCTCCGGTCCCACAACTCGGTCCTACGGGATGACATCACTGGGAAAGAGCGATTTGCGATCGGATCCAAGCTCCACGCGAGCAATGAGTGGATGAGGGATGAAATGCTTGGTCATGCGACCCAGGACTGCAAAGAAGTTCATGTTGTATTATCGTCCACGTTTGCCAGTTTCCATAGCCGAGAGAACTCTCTCTCTCTCTCTCTCTCTCTCTCTCTCTCTCTCTCTCTCTCTCTCTCTCTCTCTCTCTCTCTCTCTCTCTCTCTCTCTCTCTCTCTCTCTCTCTCTCTCAGGCACACACCAGCTCGAAAGGGCAGACAGTCAGTAAGTCAGTAAGATGGCCAACTAGTACGACCCAGGGGCCAGCTTTTGAATGAGCTCAACTCTTCGGAGGCCTCGATGGATATCAACTCGATGGAGTCTAAACAAGCTAAATCTCCATTTATGGAAGAAGACGAAGAGAAAATCAATCAATCTACACACCTCGAAACACACATTTCCCAAATATCGATCCATCCCGACCTGTCTAAACCAGACAGACAGAGCATCACTAGATTCGGGCGATCGGCTCGCACGAGAGGCATGCTAAGAGGAAACGGATATGTTCACACCGAACGACCCAACGACGGACAAACGTGAAGACCGACATGACCCACCGAGGAAGACGATAAGCCTGTGGACCCGCGCATGATCTCGTTCATCAATCGAAGTGGATTTCGACAGTCTTGAGTGTGACTGACCTCTCAGCACGCTCGCTCGCAGGGCAGGAGACGGGGGCAGGGGCAGGGGCAGAGACGGGGGCAATCTCTTGCACAGCAAAAGCACGTAGAATGACGCGGAAAAAGCTCGCCAACTTTCCTCTCCGGAGACGATCACCGGCAGCACCGGCAGCACCGGGTGAAGTCGGTCACTCGGTCGCCTAGGCCCCGGCGGCATCCACTAGGGGGCTGGGGTTAGCGCTTGGCGCTAGGGCCAGCACACGTGGAGTCTGACCACAAGCGTCCAGGCGAGGACCGGAGAGCGAAGAGATGAAGCGCAACCGCGACAGAGGCCCCTCTGGGGCACGCGCAGCCAATGGTCCCTCGCGCACTGCAGTCGCAGAAGCCGGATGCGCAAGAAAGCTGCTATATTTATATCTGGACACTTCGGAGTGATCTATCCAGCCGAACCCACACGAGCCCAATTCCGCTCTAGTTCGACAAATTGCAGCTATTATAAGGGCACGGATTCGAGCTCGAGACATTTTTAGCATCCTCCGCCCGTGGGGCTAGCTCTGCTCGTCCATCCTTCATCCGTGTCCGGCAATCAGCCGATGCACTTTCCCGCTCCAATGCACGCTCGAGCACCCAAAGAGTCCAGACTTGCAACTACAACCCTCTCATCTCATCCAGCCCAAACCTGCATTTCAACATCAGAGCCTTCTCGCCCTCCGCCTCCGAATCTGGAGCTACATTTTGTCCGAATGAGGGAACTTCTCCGTTGCTCCCTCCCACGCACCCTCTCAAATCGATCTTCAGGGCTGGGGCTACTGCCGAGCTCGCCATATCACATAGCATTCGGTCCCTTCGGGCCCGGCAATCTCGGGCAAGTTGTGTGCCAAAGTGCGGGACTTGCGGGATTCGGAGCTGGGTGGAATGCTTTGACGAAGGTCGAAAATGGGGGAGTCCATTGGGCTTGGACATGACCTGTTCTCAGTCATTGCCTGGAATCGAATTGTCACAATCATGCAGCTCGAAGGAGGACAGCAGAGACTTACTTATCTCTCGGGCTAGAGCCTTTCGTTGTGAGTCGTCTGTCCGCTCTGTGCACCATGCCACTCCACCAGACTCTTCTTCGAGTACAGGCCCCTCTCTAAAACCTTCACTCTAGATCTCTAGAGAGTGATCTTTGGACCTCTCTCCAGCAGTTCGAATCCCTGAGAACACGTTCTGGTGCGTTTTCTCCATAAAATAGTCCTTTGGTTTCATCTCTGTACGGAAACATTGTCATTCAGGATCTAATGAGACCTCGACCACCCTGCAGAGTGTCGAAATTACAGGCTATGAAGCAGAAGGAAACTGTCGTATATAATTCTTGACGTGTCTGTATATATATGTATATATCTATGTCACCCAAAATAATAATCACGATTTATTTGTCGTTGCAAAGTAGGACGTGATTGCAAGTTGTTCTCGAGACATTTTCAAATAATGTCAATCTATCACGATTCGTAATGCGGTGTTTCTAAATTTTAGATGGCCCAGCAAATCAGGACGTGGATGACCAAAGATCCATGATTACATTGGGAAACTAATGATCAAGAGAGATCACCTGCATGATAGGTGGAGAGCATTTTCTGGAAACTAAAAGATAGTAAGCAAAGTTGTAAGGTGGGCTGATTTGGTCACCTTCAAACCTCACTACACATCTTTTGTTTGCATGTTACTGAGTGACTAAGGGATGGAAATAAAACGTTTAATAGAATGTTCAGATGAGTCGTATTGTACGCGGATATATCAGGGGACTGGAAAAACTTTGAAATTATATACTCAAATTTACAATATCCACTAATATGGATATTGATGGATAATATTTAGCAAAATTATTTATCAGTATCTCCACCCTCTACTGATAAATAGATTAGCTGGAAAGGGATATGGATATCATCCTGCCTTGATATAGGTAGCATAATGAGTTTTTTTAAGACTGATCTTGTTGAGTCTCGTTTGCCATGGAAACTTGAAAAGAAGATCATAAGATTGCTCGACTCGTAACTCTATGTCTTTCTATCCTATGCATGTATATTTGAACTACAAAACTCCTCGAAAACTCAACAAAGCTACTCACAATTACTGGACGATATATGACATGCACACATTTTACATGTAGTTAAAACTACTGAGCTTACCCGTGTTCAGATCGAGGGAAACGTTTGTTTGTATAGGATCAACTGCGGGTCTTGGTAATTGCGAGTATATTTTAAGCAAGATGTAAGAGTAGCACGGACCCTTCCTTTTCTCCCGGTAATGGATGAAGAGTCTAGTTGGGCAAATAAATAGCTCCTACACTCGTAGTACTTTGAACTGGTGACAAGCTTTGATTCCTTATCTCAATTATTTTCATGGCGAACATTCAGAAAGGGCGAAGACGACTTCTCATGCCATTGAGAAGATTAAATTTATGAAAAAAATCTGTCAAGATAGTTGTATTGCCCACTAGAAGAAGCACATCAAGGTTCAATTTATCCATAGGCAGGTATCCTTGTGTCAAAGGTCAAAGGCTTTGCTCATCAGTATAAAGTCAGAACAGGTCCTCCAGTCGAATATCTAAAGAAACCCTTTGTAGAGACTATGATTCATTACGTTGTGCTTTTCTGGTGGTCCAGAATGTAAAGAAATGAATCAAATTATCAGCCCAGCAATGTCGCTTGTGAGACTTTTGGATTTTCGAGTGATTGCGTTGGGACTCGAGCCGGTGGACTTCAGCGCTCGTCCGGAATCATCCGTGAAACTGCACACTCGACAGATCCACGACCCCATACACGCTCCGAGCTCACATACTTCTCATCACTAAAATCTTAAAAGAGGTTTGATGTTTCAGAGAAGACCATGATCGGACCAATGACGATGATCATGATCATGAATCTCTCGATTATAGCCTGGCCCAGAATGCACTTAGATAGACTTATAGAGGTAGACTATATAATTAGACAACCGAACAAACCAGACTTCTTCAACCACTGGTACGAAACCCGTCTGAACCTTTTCCAGCCGACAATTTTTCTGCTCACAAAGTGGACTCATTTCCACATATCCAAAATGTTACTCCTCGTCGTCGACTCCAAAGTCAGGTTATACAGTGAACCGAGAATTGAGAACCATTGAGAAGATTAAATTTATGAAAAAAAAACTGTCAAGATATTTGTATTGCCCGCTATAAGAACCACATCAAGTTTCAATTTATCCATAGGCAGGTATTCTTGTGTCAAAGGTCAAAGGCTTCGCTCATCAGTATAAAGTCAGAACAGGTCCTCCGGCCGAATATCTAAGGAAAGCCATTGTTGGCGAACGACACCCTTTGTAGAGACTATGATTCATTGCGTTGTGCTTTTCTGGTGGTCCAGAATGTAAAGAAATGAATCAAATTTATAAGCCCAGCAGACTTCTTCAACCAATGGTACGAAACCCGTCTGAACCTTTTCCAGCCGACATATTTTCTGCTCACAAAGTGGACTCATTTCCACATATTCAAAATGTTACTCCTCGTCGTCGACCTGAAAGTCAGATAGATCTCCGAGGATCTACTTTTAGTGGCAGACTTGGTCATATTGAAGCCAGTGTGTCGGACTACATCATTCTGCAAGAGGTGATGGGATCCTTCAGCATTCATGTATTTTTTAATTCAGCCGAGTATCGTTGAACTGTAGTGTCCATAAGAGAGAGAGAGAGAGAGAGAGAGATCTGAAGGGTTCCATGGCAGAAAGGTGATGCTTACAGTATTCCATAACTCTGCAGAACTCACGTGCGAGAGAGATGGATGTCCATTGCGAGAGTGTGATGACTTTGATTCGCTCGTGATGGTTTTAGCCCTCGATTCGCTGGTGCCATGCGATGGGTACCCGGTTCAAGCTTGAGCTGACCATCGATCTACTGTAAAATGCTATCGAACATTCGTCATGGAGGCAGTGTGAAGTCCAAAAATCGGAATCAAGAGCGAAGTCATAATGAAGGAGGTGTTCAAATTTCAACCTCGAGCTCGTCATCTACGTCAGTTCACGGGGACGTCACTTTGCTGACAACCGAGCGCATCCAGTCTCGGGATCAGAGCTCTCCTCCGAGGACGACCGACCGAGCACAGAAGGAAGCCCATGGACCGGCCCACCTTTTGTCGGCCACGCTGCTTTCTTCGTGGCCTTCCTTCGTAGCACTGCACGGCATGGCACGGCATCATCGTCACCTTCACTCCCTGATTTGACTCCAATTTCTAAACCTCCTGCAGTCAGCTCACGTTCAGGGTCCGAGTGCTTCCTTCGGTTATGGGCCCAGGGGGTCAAGAATTGCTCCAGATTGTTGTATCCTCCCGCATCGATCGCATTGGCAGTCAAGTACTTGAAATATTACCGTCAGATTCTTGATGCTTGATCAGAGGAGGGAGACCATGTTCTTGCAATTATCCATGTCTTCATGAATTACAATCTTATTAGCAATGATAGTTTCATCACCTTACGATTTTACAGTCATGGAAGAGAAAATCATTTGATGGGACCCTGCGCAACTCAAAACACTTCGAGGATGCAACACAATTCATTTTACCCATGTTACCCCCACTGCAGTCCACCTTCACCCATGTTCGAATACGAGTTTTGGGTTATTTAGAACCCGCTTTATGGATTGGATACCAGTGGGAGACCTGCACCTAACATGCAAACAGAGATCACAGCCCGTGGAAACGACCGCGACTTCTCACTGGGGAGAGTTCGCAACTTCAAAAGGCACAAACGACCCACTCACAAACGCGACTTTTTGGAAATCAAGTAGCTCTGAAAATGAGCTCACAATTTCGGTAACTGTAACGAGTTCTCCCAAGGATCAGAACGACAAAAAAGGGAGACAGAGAACCCTATTGCACTTCCAATTTATCACTGTCAAGGTGTGAATTTCATTTCATCGCGACAATCATTTAAAGTAATACAGCCTCATGGCTTTGTACCAAGGTATTTTGGCCCTATAGTGGCAGTCAATCCCTTCACACTATACCGGTTAACAATCGCGTTACAAGAACTCGTATACGAACAAGTGTGATGATGGGTAGTGGGGTCTCATTTTACATAACAAATCGTGATGGATCCCCAGCAAGTGTTTTAAATTGGATCTCGGTAATTTTCTTGGTACGGAATGAATCAGACCATTATTGATATATAAGGTAAGAAATAGTGCATATTTGGACATCGAAGTGTATATTTTAACACTACCTGATATCCAATTTGGATGAAATAGTACAGTAGTATGTCCAGAGATAACCAATTCAATCTGACCATGTATAAGGCAAGAAATAGTGCATATTTGGACATAGAAGTGTATATTTTAAAACTACCTGATATCCAATTTGGATGAAAAAGTACAGTAGTATGTCTAGAGATAACCAATACAATAACACCCTCTTTCTTGCGGGCTCTTATTATGTAGCACTTAATTAGTTCAATTCATAAGTTAGTGGCTAGTTATCATTCCCTTTTGGCTAATTATACCTCACCCTACTATGCTCTCACATGTGACTGGTGAAAGATTTGTTTGATGTAACCCCCTGAAAACGTGAAGTGTTTGATGGGACCCATCAAATTTCAATTTACCTCATCAAGGGTGTGTCGTCGATGAGTTCTAATAAATATTCTAGTACGAATATGTTCTAATTCGTGTTTCTACGATGGCTTCGAGTCGTGCCATTGGAGTTTAACAAAACTGGATAAGCTCTCCCATGCAAGATTTCTCTACCCAATCGAAATTATCGAAGCTTCTGAACATTATGAGTTGCACTCGCGTTCCACAATCGATCCGCACAAGCACACTGAATCGGAGAAATCCCTTTTGGATCTGGAAATAGTGATCTGATAGAGAGTGCAATACCACTGGCAGTACAACTTCCAACTCCAATAATCATGAGTTCTTTCGTCAAACCATCAAATTTCAACTTCAACAGATCTATAGCATCAGACTGCCACAATGAAGATTTATGCGCACATGATTTGCTGCGGACAAATTCATCCTTGAAACATTAATGTGTTCTTAAGGAGACGATTTGACAGCGACGTGAACCGTTCGGTGGGGTCCCATCGGGTAAATTGAAACTTGATGTGTACCATCAAGCAATTTACTCTTTGATGGGGTACCATCAAGCAAATCTCTCGTGATTGATCGATGCAGGGTTATAGTTTTAGTGAGGTGGGTCGGTGCTACTTCTAGAACAGAGAGTTGTTTTCTTTCTTTGGTCAAAGTCGTCTCCGTGGCAAAAGCCACGCCTGCCACATCACGTCAAAGCTGCCCCCCTGTCTCAATTCTCGGAAAGATTTGAACCGGACACTCTGAATCACGTTTGCACTACGTCACGACTTGACTTCGCATCTCAAACAAAACAAATCAGCTAACACACAAACAAATGACGCACAATCCATGGGAACTCTGACTTCGCTCAATTCTTGTGCAAAGTCCCTAAATCTCAAACATGTAGTGGGTTCGATTTGGCCCAATTCGTTCTAATCATCTAAGTTCACTTTACAATGACGTTGAGCTTGCGGAACGTGTCAGATCCTATTATTTTCATGCACTAGGTTGAGCTTGATTCAGATCTAGAAAGAGCTTACGCTATTGCAAAAGTGGCTTTGGTCTTAAACTCCGTTCTATATTATCACTGGCAAACACTTCTTTGTTAGTGCTCGAATCTGCCGCAAGGCAATTTGATTTGCTCGGAGTCGGTTCAGCTTGGCGATTGTTGATTTTTTATGAATGTTGTGCATTCAAACGTTCTAATTGTAACCGTGTAAGTCGTAAGTACTCGATCAAATTTTCAATAATGTCATAACAATCATTTATAAATATACTTTAAGTGGATAGAGTTTTTTATTCATTGTTCCTGGTGTTACCGCTCTGCTAGTAGCATGCGTGGATGTGACCTACGGAACAGATGTGCAATGTACATTTGTGCTTGTCTCTTTTGATAGCATAAGATAGTCCAGGATATACCAACCATCTCAGCATATATTTCCGACTCCCCATTTTAGAAGTAGCAACTATCCACACCACGAAAGCCACTACCATGAATAAGTATGAGATGTCATGACACAATCACAAAGAGATATCATTTGATTTGATTGGATCATTTTTATTCCACTTGCAGAAAGTGGAATATCTTACATTAAACCAAAAAAAACTCGATGATTTTATCATATATAATAATTTTGTATCATGAGATAACCTAGAATTGGAGAGACAAAGAACTCTACGAAAATAATGGAACAGCATGCAAGACTAAGCTGCCATCAATTATGAACTATTACTAAAGAGAATTATTTAAGTATGTCACAGAAAATAGAAAAAATCTATCCAAATTGTTGAATGTTCATGCTTACATTAACGTTTGATAATTGTGAATCTTAAATTAAACTTGCAAATACGTTTATATGCTTAAAATTTATGTTATCTAAATATTTCAACATATTTGCATATGTTTAACATACAAACATTTGAATAGTTGAAAGAATAATAAATCATCTGCAATGACATCAACATATTTCATCACGACCTTGGCTTTTAGGTTATTATACCTTGATAAGCAGAGTCTGTAATGAATATTCATCTTGTTAACTATCATTTAGTCAAGATGGTGTGTATCAACAGCAAACAATTAGAAATTATCAAGCTCAAATTACTCAAAAGCTCATTTTGAGGATTCCGTTGCTCAAAAGAGAGCAGTAGCTAGTGACATCCAAATTAAAGCAATCTTTGGTCATATTGTGGGTAGACCTTTACATATCTCTGATATATCAGATACAGTACGAGATATTATTCACTCTTGGACCATGGGATTAGGCCCATGTCACCAGTTTGGCTTCATAGCATATTCCCGTATTCAAAGACCTCTTTATGTGCGACATCATGACCCACACTATCAAGATTACACTCTATCGGCCATCGTTAAGTTAAAGTGCTCGCCGATCAAAAAGGTACAGTAGTTGAAATTCCAATCACTCCAAATTGTTGCCATGACTGAGAAACATCACGATAGTCTCACTTTTGTTCTGTATCGACACATTCAATCGCATCTAATTTAATTCTGCAAGTGACATGCTCTCCATGCTTTCACCCGAATTCAGTTTATAAATCTCTAAAGATGAGATCAGATCAGATCAGAGACTATATCCGGAGCAAAGAGCTATGCATAGTCCTCTGTTTATTCGAGGGCTGGTTATGATTATCCTTCGAGTACCACCGGAGTGGACCCGAGTAGTAATCATGCCCGAGAAGACATCCGAGTATTCATGCTGGAATGTGGAATTCACCATCTTGGATTCACGAGCTTACGAGCGAGAGCCTCTTTGCGTTTGTGGACTCGGGAAGGGGCCATTCTCTGAATACGAATCGAAGGAGAATCGCTCTATCCAAGGGCTGTCGAAGTCACCGATTCTGGAACGGTTTTACCGAAATGGCGGACGAGGAGTTTCACCTTCTGAAACGGTCGGACGCAATCGGGTGCTGGAAGCATAGAAAGTGCGTGTCTCGGACACTGTCGAGATTACATGAACTCGAGATCAATTTAGGCCCCAATTGGACATTGTATCATCCTATCGAAGTTGTGTTTGTGAGGAGGGGCTTCACGTTAAGCATGTGCATGTAACAACCGTATCCATGCCCACGAACCAGTGTTTCGTGAGAATGCAGATTATATTCAGAAAATGTAAAAGAAGCAGCAGATCATTAATTTTTTATTTTCTATTACCGACTGACTGAAACTACATCCAAGGGAATCGAGGAATTGTAATGATCCAATGTAACGACCAAGAAAAAGTACTCCAGCTGCTTGGAATCCTTGGAAGGATAACTGCTCGCCGTCGTTTAAAGAAGCCATGATGGTCAGAAACTACCGAAAGCTCTGATTCACGAGATCTTGAATTTCTATCCGGGGGAGTCACGAGAATTCTACTCGGAGATCCGATCATCAAGGTGGTAAACATGATCAAGAGCACGTGACGACACTTGTCCAAGTAAAATCGATCGCTCTAAGTCGTTTACCTTTCGGGTGTAAACATGATCTCCCCGTATCGAAAGATCTGTGTTTCCTTGAGCCGGTAGTCAACATGAAACATGAGTAATTGACGTTTCAATTCGCAACTTAGCCAAGAAGCTACTAGAAATCGTTCGCACAGAATCGTTCAGGCCAAGAATCGTTCGCACACGCAGGCTCTCCATATTTATTACGTCGCATACCTTCTGCTAATCTAGCTAGCGATATGCTCTTCACATAGTTTCAAAAGTACCCCCAAAGAATCCTACATGACAACATACTACCATCCGAGTCCGAAGGTCGTCAATATCATGGGGATCAAAAGCTGAAGTATGACCAAAGACCAATGCTTCACTGCACGATGCAGTGAAGCATTGGTCTGAAGCAACGGAATACACCATGGGCTTCATCGCCTATACGTAGACAGCAAATGGGCAACCGGCTTTTGCGCCCATATCTTTTTCCTCTGTAATATTTGCAAGCGTCAGATAGTGTCACGTCCTGACAGCGTAAGTGAGACCCATCGCTGCCTTGTGGAATAAATCCACCGAACCACATACAATATACCACATGCCCAACGAAGTATGAGAGTACCCTTGAGACATGAAGAACCCAACACACTGCAGATCGGGCGCGTTTCTCAAACAACCAGTCACAGTTGCTTCACAGATGTAGAGAACGGGATCGGTGAGCGTAATTCTTGATCTTAAAGCCCTTCTTTAAATTCCAAAGGGGGTAGCTAGACAACCCCACATAAATATGAAATCGGAGGTCGCGTCCAAGTACTAATACTCTTCTAGCCGGTGCCTATACATGGCGTGCGCAACTACAGCATACTACGACTTGGCATTTGCAACTTACAACCCAGGCCGAAGTACTTAACAAACCTGGTGAAATCGACATTCTAATTTTAAAGGCATCTGAATCTGTATCTTGAAAAAGAACTAACAAATCTGTGGATGACTAGATAGAGCTACTTTTATACAAGTTCCTGTTGTGGAACTATAATTTGAAGAAGGCTCCAGCCTTATTATTTAGACTTTTGTGGTGCTTGCTCAGACTCCGTGTCTGGAATCTCCACGAGCTCGCCATCAGACGATCCTTCGCTTACTGCAACCCCAGTTTTGGTGGTTGAAGGGCGGGAAGATTGTTTTGACTTTTTGCTCTCCTCATCGGTGTGTGATGAATCATCGTCGCTGTCAGCCTGTGAGAAAAAACTTGCAACATTAGCTACAAAGCACCAACCAGCTCGCTGGACAAAGGGACTACCCGAGCACAAAGACAAAACATTCGACCTGTTCAACCGACGACATGTATCCAATGACTAACCACGAGAATAAAGCATAGTTAAGACACACAGAAACTGAACACACATGAAAACTGAACACTAAGCGTTTGCTTTTGAATACTCACAGTACTATTCACAAGCTTATCAAAATCAGCATCAAAACCATCGTCATCGTCTCCGTCTGCTCACAAAAGGTAAGTATCACAATTAAAAAACGGAGGCATCCTCGGTCATTACAAAGATGCAAATATCGCAAGCAACTATTCGTCGGAAATAACTATATCTACAGGACCATAAAGCCATACGTTCAAAGAATTTAAGGTCTTCTGTTAAGTTTCGGAAACTGAAGATTACTGCTGGTAGCTCAAAATTTCCTCTCAAGCGAATAAGGATAAAACAATGTCACTAATAAACTCCAAGACTACAGAAAACTTCTATTCCAGGACAACTGACACGCAAAAGCTGCCCATAGAAAATACACAGTAATAAGTTGTGCGAATCTTACCATCTTCACTATCTACTCCCATCAATAACGCATCCAGATCATGATCTGGGTTCTTGGATTTAAGTGCAGCAGTCGTCTCAACCTTTCCCTCTTGAGATGTAGTTGCTGTCGATGCCTTCAAATCTCTGGCAGCCTGCTCTCCAGATACATTCGTTTCTTCCGCTAGTCGTGCACTTTCTGCTTTCTCCTTCGCCAGAGCGGCAGCCTTCTCTTTGGCTCGAGCTTCGTACCTGAAGCCACCAATCAAACAACACAAGTTTGTAATTGATGGTTAACAAACTTGTTCCAACCACGAATATCCAGTTCCAAGCACCTTTGGAACTGGATAACTTATGAACGAGAGGAGGGAGACATCGAAGACAACCACGCTTTTCTTGAAAAAGTCACTTTTCGTCAAAGCCGATTTTGAAAGTCTTGACATCATCAAAGCTGAACGTACAAAAGGCTCAGAATCGGGGAGAAGCGAGAAACTTACGGAGCTACGTAGGTGTTGACCAACGTGAAATATATTTTCCAGAATCGAGACTCCTTCATCCGCCGAGGACACAAGACATAACGGAAGTCGGACATTTCCTGGAGGCAACATTCAAGGGCAGGTCAACTTACTAGCTACAGAGGACTGGGCTACGTAAACTTTTTGCGACTCTAAATTCAGAAGTCTGAACAAAGTCGACAACATTGTTTACAAACCCTGAGAGGGTAAGTGAACAAAGTTTAGTTATCTGATAGTACGTACAGTCGGATCCGTTTGATCTCTTTGATCACACACAATTCAGAGCTAGATCAACAATCCAGCACACTTTTAACCCTCTGCTAAGAACGATTGACTTCGACTAGAATCTACCGTAGATTCACCGAAAATTATCGAGAATCCAAGAATGGAATACGTTCCACAACCGCGGCATGAAGCATTGCTGAGGACTTCATTTTCAGCCACATGAATATGAGACTGACAGACGGCAAGGGACTTGGCATTGCACAACGTTGTACGGAATTTCGACTCTTCGATGTATGGTGTCCAATTTGTTTGTGGAATGTCCTACAATCAGTGAAATTCCGACTACCAGAACGAAGGCACTGATAGAACCTTCGCTCTCTGAATACTCAGGCATGGTGACTGGCAAATACACCAACGACTAGATGGCACCCTGCTCTACATTGTACCTCCACTGAGCACTATTACTGAACGACGGCAACGTTCTAACTAGGGTAGTCAAGCTTGTGGTTCACTGCAGGTAAAGCAATCACTCAGTAGTCATTTGCCGTCGGTAGTCTTAAGCTACACAACGAATCCGGGTTTTCACACCTCATCCTCGACTGAAATTGATCAAATCCTAGACGGTATGTGCCATGATTTGCCAGGTAAAACCGCAGCTGTCAAATATAAGAATGGACGAGTAGAAGCGGCACCCACACGTCCTAAAAACTGAGCTGAGGTTTGCGACTTGTAAACGAAACCACATGAATCTGTCTATCGTCATTGAGTCTCCTTCGTGATTCTTGAATAGCGGTCTGAACTTGAGTTAGTACCAGTAAGCTGAAAGCAGGATGATACTCGGAAGTCTTTACTCGACAATCTCGAACGCTACAATTTCACTACAATTTGCTCCTGAGGAGAACAAAACCAGTGCATCCATGACTTTAGGGAGGTTGTGTCTACGACGCCACAAGTGAGGCTTAACTTCGGTGACAAATCAGACGAATCGTTTCGGAAACATGAGGCAAATGGTGGTAGATTCATTATTCAACGGGTAGCAGAAGACGAACGTGGAGTAAAAAAAGGTAACTGGAAGCCAGCAGCTAGGAATTAAAAGCATGATCGACTGTTACCTGGACAGCTAGGAGCACCAAAAGGGCGTGTCGCTCTTGCCAGTCCGACAGGTCTTGTCTTGTGATCTGGTCCGATTTCTGCTCGGGTTCGGGTTCCTTGGCAGCTGCTGCATCAACGCCATTTTCTTTTACCATACGTGCATAGACTAGAGAATGCAGTAAAATGTCAAGAGAGACTAGCCACCAGTTTCTCCTTGGAGAAAACATAGAATTATGTGCATGACATCAGCAATCTAGCTACAAACAGCCTTTCCACGACAAAATTGGCTGCATCATGAGGAGAGATTCCTCCTCCACATGCTGACATCCTTGTAAATAGGAGAGTGGATAGCTGCTAAACAGAATTCACTCAAAAATGTACAAAGAAGCTAACCCAGCTCTCGATGCAAAACGGACATACAGTATAGTTTTACGCTGGAACATCGCAAAGGATTATTGAGGAGCCTTTAGCCCGGCGAACATTCTTCTAGACTACACCATGGCCAGAATCTCTGTCGAATAACCAATCTACCAGGAGGGCTGATCCATGTCCGTAAGTGCCAGTTTCGACGTGTGAAGGACAAGCTTTGAACACTTCCATAAATTGACTCATGACAATCATAGGCTGATAAATGGCAATTAAGAATGCTCATCAACCTTTCCAGGGAAAATGAATTACCTTCGGTACTTTCAAGGGGAAAGTCTCTGAAAGTTTTGATGGTCAACCCTTGGACGAATTCTCTAAGCTCTGGCGTTATACCGAACTCTAGAAGCTCATCCTCCGAGGGCTTAACAGGAGTGGGAGTTCCAGTACCAGCAGCCGCAGCAGCTTTAGAGGCAATGACGGGCGTAAGCTCTCCAGCATACGCCTTCAATTGATCGGCCTTTTTCGTGACATCAATTGCGATCTCCTTAGATCTCTTGGCTGTCTCCGTGGCCAGCTCCTGCGACATTTTGGCCGCTTGGTTGGCTAACTCTTGAGACTTCTTGGCTGCATCTAAAGCAAATACTTTCGCTTTCTGTAGAAACAAATCCATTGTGTCCTTCGTGGCCTCCTCTACCCCAAAACTGGAGCAATTAAACTAGAGTTCTGGGCTGACACCACAACAAAATCACAAATGTCCTTCCCGATCCTTCATAGATCCCTGCATTCAAATCCCAGTGCGAGCAGAGTCATCCACTCCCCACGATCTGCACGGATCAAGCCTCCTTCTCCACTTCCTCGTCTCCTCTCCTCTTCGACAAGACCTGTCCGCCTGGATTTCCCTTCCCTCGCACCTCACCACTTCGGCCTCGGGCTGGGGAATCGGAGGCTACGACCTGCAGCGGCAGCAGCAGAGCGAGCGGTTGAGCCCCGCGCGGCAGAATGGAGAAGAGGGAGAGCGAGAGGGAGAGGGTCCAGACTAGTAAACAAATCGCGGATTCAATCTGCAATCTGCGATCGCCGGGGCCGCTTCTTCTTCTGCTTCTGCTGCTGCCTCTGCTTCGTCGCTGGGCCTGCAAGAAGTCATCACAGAAAGGTACACCTCCACGACCGCACTCATTCCCTACGCATCCTAACCTACGCACGCAAGCAATGCGAGCAGCGCAACAGGCCAGACACTGACGACGACCACCACTACTCCGACTCCTCCCACTCTCCGGCCTCCAATGCCCTCCGTGACGCGAAGCGCGACTCTGTCGCCGAGCCTCGGGGCTGCCATGTCTCGCACGTCCCTACCGATCGTGCGCTCATGAATCTCCGCCCTCTCCTGCTGCTGCTCCTCCTCCTTCTCCTCCCCGACCCCCAGCCCCAGGCCTCTTCCCTTCCCTTCCCTTCCCCTCGCCTTGCCCCCACCCTGCCCCTCCCCTCCCCTCTCTCTCTTCCTTCTCCCTCTAGCGCTCCGCTCGGGCCTGCGCTTCTCTGCCCCTTGCACCTTGCCCAACCCCCTGCCCCTGCCCGCGCCCGCCACTGCCCCCGATCTTTCTCGTTGTCTGTCTGGTGGCTCCGACGGCCCCGAGACGCAAAGCAAGACGATCTCCGCCGGAGTCACCCGCGGCGCGGGCTCGGGGGGGCTGCAACAGACTTCTGGGAATCTCGCTCTCGTCGAACCGAACCGGAACGTAAGCCTTTCTCCTGCTCGCTCATCCGACGGGGCTTATCTTTCGCGTCGACGCGGGCCCGAATCCGATCTCCGAGTGTATGACTCCCCTTTCTGCGACGGCGCACAGTATAGGCGCGACGTCGTGGTCGGGCCGCTGCTGCAACGAGCATGGTGGGGAACTCGAGAGGCACCGTCGCCGTCGCAATGTGGCAAGCCCCGCGGGACCCGATTCTCAGCCCCACTCTGCGACGCTTGTCCGGTCCTCCGCTGCCCTTTTTTCCCTTACCCCGCAGGAAAAGTCCCCCGCTGCCCTCCCGCATCGCCCTCCTCCTTCGGATACTTCCGGTGCCGGTACGGTCCCAGCCACGGACCGGATGGGACCAGCGACTTTGTATCCTCTGCAATGACTTGTCCGCCGATGTGCGCCAGTCCCTCTTCGACGCTTGTCGTGCCCTGAAAGCCAAGTTCCGATGTGGAGTTTGGAGTTTTACAACTTCAGTCACACCTGTGGTTAGCTTCTGAACCAACCATGGTTCATAACCCAGACTGTATTATCTTGATAGTGTGCCTTCGATCCCACTTGGTGCTTGATACATTTATTTATTTTTCCGGATTCCGACTGGAGGAGGTACGGGAAATCCAGAGTACGTTAGACTTGGGCTTTAATTTTCACACATTTTTAGAATTGTGAGTTGAATCGGTAAAAGAATAAGCAATTATTGGTATAACAAATTTATATATTTGTATTAATTTGAGAATTAAAGTATGAAAGTATTATCATTATTTTACTTCCAATTATATTATCTGAAGAAAATTTTCAAATAATCAATTCTCAATTTCTTCTCTATATGGTTTTTACTGGAATAAGTTGAAAGTGTACATATATGTTTTAAACTTTGAGTGTATTTCCATGTCATTGAAATTTGTTTGAGTTGGCATTTCTACCTGGTGTTTGTCATCTTAAGGTGATTTTGCATTTCCGATCCAGAACTTGATTGACTTACATATGTCTTTATCGTTATCTTTATCTTATGATTAATTATAGTTTCATTTATCAGATCTTTTAGATAGTTTCGTATTATAGTTTATCACGTGTTTAATCTCAATTATTTATCTAGAAATTGGATCGAAATTTGTATTACAAATGTCTGTAAAAATTCTTAAGAGTAACACAATCATGTAGGTAATTTCTATTTTGCTTAATTAATTATATTTATTTTTAAAGCATGGAATTTTTTAATATCCCAATCAAATTTTGATCTTTTCATCTCTTGATACATTATACTCATCTTCATTGATATATTTTTGCATTTCATGAATGAATTACATATGTTTTGTGTTTATTTCTCAATTGTTTGGCACATGAGGCCATGAATAAGTTTGTATGAAATTTGCTCTCTCCTCTTCATTAGATTTTTTATCTTCTACTACTAGTCAAGTAGATTTCATAGATTGTAAGGATGAGATTGAATAAATTGCAGAGAGTTTATGTACATGCCATACAAAGTAGGAGTCAAATGGAATTTCATGATACATCTGATTTTATTTTTCTTGTCTTTGTTTGATAATTACACTATACAATTTTTTGTGCATAATATCAACTAATCATTCTTAGTCTTTGATTTACCACTTACATTGTACATTTTTTACATCCAACCATGTGGAAAAAAAATTAGAGATATTGGAGTATCAACCAAAGGTTTGTATGTCATGAAACATCATTCATTGTCACACTCAGTCTAGCTTTTATTTTCATATTTTTTATCAAATAAATATGAAAGCAACTTCTAGATTGTTTACCTGCAGATGATTCTTCAATGGTATGTAGCAAATTCTTCCCAGTAACTAGAATCAATGTCAAAAGTTCTTTTTACATATATTTCGAAATAAACATGTGTTAGATTTGAGTATGTTTCTTCCAATGTATAAAATATATGAGACAATACGCAATATGATACATATGACGTCTTATTGCAAAGTGCTAGTATCATGATCTTGCATCTTACTTTCACTAATAGCAGCATTTCACTATTAACAACCTACAAAAAATTGAATTTTGCGATCACAAAATTTTGAGCCAATACTATTAGACATTCAAACAACACTAGATTTTAATTAGATTTGAGTGTCTTCCGTGTAGAGGTTGAAATCTTTTTCTATAATATCTTTTATCTTTAGAGAGCTTACAAATGACAGTAAACCATAATCCAAACTCTTTCTTTTTATGTATTGTTAAATTTTGCAATCTCTAATGTTACTTGAGTAAAAGATCTTTGAAAGATGTAATTAGTATCTTATATTTATTAATCTTCAGCGAGAAATCTTTGATAGAATTTCTGCTTGGCTGGAGTTTGCTGCTTAGATCAATCAGATCGTGTAGAAAAGTTGTGACTAGCGAATGAATCACATATGGTAGATGTCAATTATATTACACAATTTTTACATTATCTGTTAAAAAGTTACAATCAGTTTATTGATAATCATGTTGTAGAGGATAATGTTAATTTTCTTTCATCTAAAGGTGTGCAATTGAGTTATTTACTCGATGGTGTCTTCTTGGAACTTAAATTGCTGGATTAGACCCATTAAGTTTTATTTTACCCGATGGTAACCTACAGTTGTGACGTCGTGAATTTCTAAAACATGTTACTTTACACATATGATGCGAAGTTTAGTGGACTTATGCTCTCTCAAATTCCAGCTTCCAAATTGTCATAGCCAACTTCGGCAACATACCAAATTTTCGTCCATTGAAAGTGTTAGGCCAATTTCAAAAGCAGCTTAACTTCTCCTGCATTTGCTCTAGAGAAACATCGCAAGTGGCACAGCCTGGTACCTACTAGGAGACAGGGCGATGGAGTTAGACAGGTTGCGGACTAGAGGTCTGGGGGGTCAAAATCTATGTTCCGGCTGTGGTAAATTCCAAGGGTTTGTTTCAATATAGGCAGGTAACTTCAATTTACTCGTAAGGGGGCTCCAAGGTCGAGAGTATAGCCTAGAGTAGAATGGAGGTTAGTATATAGTGGAGCTTTTCCACTATCTTCACCGTCTGTTGTTATTACGATCGATGTGTACTTGATTTTATAATTGGTATCGGTGTGTAATGTTTTCATTGTTTTGTGCAATTAAATATTTTCCCAAGGACATTTTTTCGTCATTGCTGTAATATTTCTGGATTGTGAGAGTTGAATGTTATGAGTAGTGCTAATGGGACTTATTCATTTTCGCATTTTTCCCTCATTACATCTAATAAATTTCATCTTCGGCATATAGTTGATTATTTTTCAGTTTTCTACGATCTACAGTTTCTCCCTCCCCTCCAATGTTCCTTTTCGTCCTTCCAATGCTATTTATGATAGTATTTAGATATTTGTCGTAAGTTAAATCATATTCGCTATTTTCAGTATTGATTTAGATACTAAGTTATTTATTCTCGTCAAATTCTCCTTCTGTACGTATAGTGTTAATCCTGCACATTTTTTGTTAACTGCATATTTTCGCATGTACACAAAAACGATGACTCACATTCAGGTTATAAGTATACAATTTCAGAGGTTCTTTCCACCTCTTTATTTTATGTCGAGCAAAAATTAATATGTTTAGCGCCCAATCCCAAACATGCTTAAGAGAGTTTCAGTAATAGGCACTCAACCCCATTACAGAACGAAGATTCGATACACATCCCAACGTCAGACACTTCAGGATTGCGGTTCTCTACAGTGTTCCTCTTGACCTACTGGACTAGGACGACATCCACCTACATATCTGTGTATAACAGGTCTCTCAATAACAGGTCTCTGCTTATGCCCTTCTGGAGTCTAGCATTCTCCAGTTTTCGGCCTCTTCGATGACTTTACATATTCCGTGTTGATAAATCAACATAGTATACAACCCTATACAGGGAGACTAACTCTCGCGAGAAGAATGTTGGGTAAGAGATGTTCCTCATGTATTTGCCGACTTTGCCCCATTTGCTGCCTCCTCTTCGTCGAGGATTTCAAACTCACCGTTACTCCAGTAGCATATTGGTGTTAATGTGAATGTGGCCATCTGGATGCCTAGTAGTCTCTGCAGACAAGCAAGGGCAAGACCAAAACATTAGAAGGGCGAGCGGACGTTTCAATGAACCTGTTCCAACCGTAGGGATCGTGACGATCCACACAAAAAGGCCTTCTAGTCAGCATATCGTCATCATGACGTTACCCCAAGAAGACTAGGGAAACGGATGTCAATTCCGCACAGAAGGCACGATCCTGAATCCTATGAACGTTCCCAGACAGGTGCGAGAGACTCACCAGTATCCGCGACGCTTCGGGAGATATTGGATCTCCTTCAGTACACACGGTGTAATTTGCAACTAACTCCACAACCCCTGTACACACGAACTTAATAAATTAGATAACTCATAGCAGATTGACCTTAACATTCGAAGCACCAGGTAACGAGGAGAGTGTGAGAAGGTTCATGAGCGAACACAAACTCATATCACAGCTGGATGACATCAGCAAGGTTTCGAAATTGGCTCCTATTTTGAACTTACCTCGGTTTAACCGAACAGGCATCCCTTGCTTTCGCAAAAATGGTTCCATGTCGTGAGTAAACTGCTCAAGTGGCCCCTCAGGTAGCTCAACCTGTCAGACCAGGGAATAAAATCAACAATATCGCGATTTGAACTCCGGAAAGGTTCGCACAAGACAAACACAACCTACATGGTTACTCTTTGCAAGATAAAGATTGGCACGGGCTGAATTTGTTTGAACTCCACTCACAGTTTCAGTTGCTGGAGATCCTGTCCGAGCAAAGTCATGTCCTTCGAATTCACCGAAAAACCTAGAACGTCAACAGTACCGTTAGACTTTGATCAAGAATAACGACTCACACACGGAATCATTACAAGATACATTTCACATTGACAACCGATAACTTACTTCAAAACCTCGTCCTTCGGCAAGTTGGTCAGATATAAACCGCGATCGCCTTCAATCAGCTCGCTCGCCTTGTGGAGGTTATCTTTCACTTCGTCTGCATTCGTCTTTCCCAGCGCAATTTGCAGCACTTTGTTGCCCCCCATGAAGAACCTAAGCGTCAAGTTACAGAGTTTAAGTCATAATGCACACAGACTTCTCAAGACGAAGCTCAATGGTGCTCACATTCGGTGCGACAAGAATCCTTGTTCAATTGAAGGTCTCACCTGCTACTTGTCTTCAACTTGTCTCTCAACTCCTTGAAGAGGGAGTTTCGCATGTTTTCATAGGAGAAGACGTAGAGTGACTGATATTCATCCAAAGCTTTCCTCAAAGTGGAGACCAGGGTCTCCTTGTGCTCCTTGGTCTTCTTTTGGGTCTTAGAGAGAGTAACTGGCCATTCAAGACACAACCAAAACATTCAGGATTCACATATAGTAAACCAGGACAACAGGACTGAGTGGTTTCCCAATTTGACCAGTCAAAATACCAAAACGTAAGAATACGACTAGTACCGTAATTTTAGAATCATCTGCTGGAATACAGGTGTTACCAGTTCGACGAATGCTCATAGAGGGATGGCAGTATCGGGATGTCCCATTCGCCATGGGCTACATTGCACTTCCAGAGAGAACGGAGACCAGGCTAAAAATATTCTAAACGAACCTGTACTAATATTTCTCTATACGACCAGTTGGAGGATCTCTCAATGATCTACTTTGTTGGTGTTTGAGTCAGAACCGTAGTAATACCAATTCCACACGAGTTTTCGGATAGGGATAACTGATTTGGGTAGTTCTCCTCATTCTCAAACACTTGCGTCCTCCAACTTACACTCAGAAATGCTACACGGGGTAACAAGCCACTCTTCATTCTAAGAAACTTAAACTGACTACTTCCTTTGGGCAAGAGAAAACGTGGGGAAGGGATCAACGCAATGCCCCAGAGATCACTCCACAGAACGTAGGTCCTATTTAAGATTCCTTTCCACTTCCGTAGGAGAGGGGAGTTTAGGGAGGAACGTACATCACAATAATAGGACCGTCTTTTGAGTATGAGTCAGAACCGTAGTAATACCAATTCCACATAGTTGTTCGGATAGGGATAACTGATTTGGAAGTGTCTCATCATTCCCATACTCGTGTTCCTCACGGTCAAACTGTGTACGACAAAGGCCTCAGACTGTCCTAGTCTCAGATTTGTATCAGCAAAGCAGAAGCTCAGGTACCATAATCTGTTTATGCATCAATGGCCGGACTATGACTTCAAACAAAAGGTTGTACTCAACCACATTGGGAGTAAAACAGAGGGAAAAATCCTTCAACGTCAAGACCAACTTTTGTCTGGTCTTGGACAGGGGCATACTGATGTTGCAATAGTCTTTAAGCGGACGGCAGTGTTGAAATGTCCACGATGTCTTCCTAGAAAAAGTTCAACTCCTCTATCAAAGGTTACCGACATTGGCCTCAGACTGTCCTAGTCTCTAGTGTTTTTCCGCACAGCCTAAGCTCGGAAAACCATATTTTAGTTTATGCATCACAGGCCATAATGTGCTACTTGCAAGTGAGTTCGAGTCAGAACCGTAGTAATACCAATTCCACACGGATATTCAGATAGGGATAACTGATTTGGAAAAGTCTCCTCATCCTCAAACTCAATTCGCAGCAGCATAGATAGATTCCAAACACCTTGGAAGACAAAATCGAACAACACAGGCTTTGTTGCACTGATACAGAAATTGAAGGGGGAAGCTGTAACGACAGAAGAAAAAAATCTAGATTGAACCCGTAGCCAGAAGAACAGGAAAGAAGAAGACAACGACCAAATCACCGAGAGACACGGCAGTCATTCAACAACGCTGTTCTGCAGCAGCTGTGCTTAATATCCAGCAAAAGAGCGAATTATAGCCTCGATAACAACACCGCTTCAGTCGCTCGCCTACCTACTGATTCTAAATCTAAAATCTACGAAAATCGTACGCTCAGACAAATTTCAGAATTCACTCACCAAGCCTATTCCGCTTCGACTTCGGCATTGCAATGTGCTCCCTGAGAGAACGCCAGCTGAGACTTCAAGGCCGACTCTGAGTGTATTTACACTAGGGCAGCCGGCCTCCTCCGCACTGCACGATGACAGATTCGAAACTCTTCGAACTGGATCGGGTATTCAGGCCTGAGACCCGAACGAGAGAGGGAGAGAGAGAGCAGGGGGGCTTGCAAAACCCTAACCTAATTCGAAAACCCCTCCCCTCAAGGGCTGTGAAGACGACGACGATACAGGTGCGACAGGTCACCACCTTGACCTACACCTGCTGCAGAAGGTCAAGACCTGAGAGTCAGTAGATGAGGTCTCTTGGCTCTTCTCAAATAAGACAAAATGTTTTTAAAAAAATGGATATACCCTCATCAAGTATTGCTATGATGAAACCAAATGATAAACCTGGGTCAAGGTTTTGTGTATATAAATTTCTCAACAGATATGTGGTAGCCCCAAATGTCATTTGCCAACATTCTATGTATAAATCTGAATAGAGGAATACCCATGTCATGCCCACTACTCAAAGAGTACATACATCATTCTTTAGTTAAATCTGTATCCATAAGTTTAAGAAACCATGAAGTTACACCACCTTATCAACTTCTTGTGAGATCTACATAACCTTAGCAATGTTATATTTTCTATAATTTGTGTATTTTAATCTAAAATATCTGTTTGAACAATACAGTCAAGAGATTAAAAATATTACTTTCAATATGAGTATAAAATCTTTATATTTGTCACATATTTTTCAAATCTCAAACTTGCATGATCGTTTCATTTATCGACATAATATGACATGTAAGAATAATATTCATACTCTAAAATATATAAATAGAAGTATTTAAGAAACTATCACCAAAAAAAGTGAAATATTTTTGGGTCAAATTTCACCATATCTATAATATATAAATGCTTCCAGGAATTCGGCCGAATAATGCATTAAGTATTGTAGCCAAAAACAGTAAAACTTGTGTACGACGGAGGCAAATGAAGAAATAGACATTAATTTTCTGTTGAGTTGTAGGTTTTGAAAAACTAATGATTAAATTTTGTAACGTGTAGAAAATTTCGTTTTCTATATATATAACAAATTATAATCAACATCTTCATGTTTTTTAATCGCGTGATTAACATATATTCTTGATAGCTAGTTTTACACTAATACAATATTGAAGCAAAATCAGCTTTGAGTGTCAAGACTTCCAGCAACTTCATTACTTTGTAGAAACATCTATCAAGAACTAACGATGCTCTAAAGCAAATGCACAAAAAAAGACTGTCATATTTCAGTCTCATTGACAATGATGCAAATCATAAACAATTTTCAAATGATTCAAATCCGAGAATAAGATATTGTAAAATTTTTGTCAAATGTAAAGACGTAAAGCTCCTGGTAACTAATATGTCATATTTATACATAAAAAAAATAGAATAATATTATTTTATATTTTTTCACTATTTAAAATGTCAATTCTTGTTGAAAAATGAGACTTTGCTCATTCGACCGACAAATTATATCCTTGCAATTCGTTCTGAATAAACTCATGTAGATTTAAAAAAATTAAAAAATAACCATTCAATGTATTATATTTCTTAATATTCATGGTTGAGCCCCAACTTAAATTTTAAAACTTCCCAAATACCGTAAACTCAATCCTCGAGATTTTAATTCCGATTGTAAGCTAAAAGTTTAGACAAGTAAAAATTTTCCAACATTTATTTACAGGAATTTTTATTTCTCTATATATATATAATTTACATATACGTTTATTGAAATAAGCATGTAGTTTTTCTGGAATATTCTGAAGTTCTCGTCATAATGTTCTTTAAAAATAGTTTTAATTTGAAACTTTGATAGCTAAGTTTACTGTATATGAATTTATATTTGAACATGTGTTTCAATAGAAATAAAATTACATTTGAGAAGATTCTTTGGCTTCATTATGATCATCGGTCAATTTGGTGATTATTCTTTTGGTTTTCCATATGATTCGTTTAAAATTAAGTTTAGGAATTACTTGTTATTATTCATGGTCAAATTTGTTAGTATTGCAAATGGATTGTCTGAACCGTAGTACATACATGAAACATATTCAATAATCATCACAATGTCCAACTGTCTTTACTTATCAATTTTAATCGGCTGTTGATGCGGTTTTGATGACATCTCGTTACATCCATAAAAGGGAAAACTAGGTCTAATCCAAGCGTCTAATCAAAACTCTTAAGGAGGTTCATCCAAAGGAAAAGAGTAATATTTGCGTGTTCTCATGGTATGCATACAGTATACATTCTGCTCACAAATTTACACAAACTACGCGGTTGGTGGAACAACTTTTTAAGTGTCCTGGATCCCATACTCAGTCCCATGACTGCATCACCAAGCATGCAGTTTCCAATCTTTAGTAATAAGTTGTTCATACTTACGTCTGTGCATATATAATTTGTATGAAATCTTAATCCTAATCATTGTAAATAATATTCTTTGACACATTCAAAATTAAAACTCTACTTCAATTTTGGAAGGCTTTTAGCATCTGACTGGTGTATAGGGGCAGCTATATTCTGTTATGATCTCGGTTAACCAAACAGTTTTTCTTGACAAATTAGGAGTAAAAATAGATTGCTTGGTTGCCAGGACGATGTTACTCGTCATTAACAGAATCGGGACAACGAACAAAAGTGAAAGATAGTGCCACGTAGTGCTTGATTCAAGTTGCAATTCGAGTGATGCATAATAAAAGGGGTGGCATCAAGTTTGTCAAGACAACTGCATCGGATACACTGAACACTCTTGAACCTCAGCAAAAAAGAAAAGTATGCGCTAGAGTGTTCACAAGGATATGATGACTCTTTGTAGTGATCTGACCGTGTGAGATATATGAGCTAATGCACATGTATTGTGGCCGAGTTTGGCATTCATGTTCCGCTGGAAGCACAATGTAAAAAGTTCAATTCGTGGGGCAAGGTTTCCTTTTAGCTTTATTTAAGAAAGTCCGCATGGTACAATCCTATGACTTACATGACTTTGCAGAAGTGGTGCCTTTTCTACGGGATGATCTTCGTCGTCTGTTGTGAAGAGTTGGAATCCGCTGAACATCGTCCTGCTCCATAGTAGAGGCGAATCAGGGAAACCGGCAAGTCTTCACAGAGGTTTTTGCGTGGTCCAGATAATTATCTAGTGGCTTCAAGAGCAAGAAATCGACACCTGATTGCAAGTTCAATATCGAACAGAACATAACACACATGATATTGACCTCAAGTTTTGTTTCAGGCTGTACCTACCGTCTGTACGTCAACAAGTGAACCAAGGCAGAATCCCAAACTGAACCTGTCAACACCCCCATATACAACCAGTCTCGTGTTGGTAGACTCAGTAGTGTACGAAGGTGACGGGGAGAGGTAGACAGAAGCAGGTACTAACCCCTTCCTTGAATACCCATAATATTCCAAAATATCATAAACTGATCAACTGCTACAGGCTAACAATCATCTCTAGGTTCTCATAACACCTACAAAAGTGATGTAGCCTACTCACTTTGCCTCCTTAGTTCGTTCAAATTACCGTTTTCGACAGAATGTCATACATGATCTTTAGAATGTCGTACATGTCACCATATTTACGATAGTAATGATTGTGAAATTATTCACTGTGAGATCCCTCGACTAGGACTGGTGAGATCGAAATTGTCCAATCTTTAGTCTTAAGATTGTACTAAATGGTCAATATACTAATTACAGACCACTGATAAATGGCCTGCAGTGGAGGTACTTAAGTCCCCAAAGGTATCATGACAAACAACAGAGGAAATCCTCACTTTGTGAAAGCTTTCACTGGTGTACAAGAGTCGGCAATTTTGAAATTGGCTTTTGGGTCGACCAACATTGATGTCATAATCCAAATGAAAACATTATTGGACGTTGCTAAAAGATCTTCTAGTAACGTCCTAAAAAAGCACCAAGTCCGGGTGCAGAATCGGATACACCGGCCTTGTGTACAAGCGGTGTAACTGGCCGACTACTTTGGTTATTTTCCGCAACCATCTTCTTCTAGTGTCCCAAAAAATTTGCCTGTAATCTACACTTAGCTTTGGTATAAAATAGGCACTACCGTATTGTAGCAATAGGAGTATATTGTACAGAGTCCTGGAATAGAGCTCGAAAATGTTTTCATAAAAACACACGAAATCGTTGGAGCTTTGACTTATTCTCCGACCATAAAACCTTTGAGCGGTTTCATTGAATCAGAAAATCTTGGACAAGCAGTCCACGCAGAAAATTCCGATTATTCCACAACAACCGACATTAGTAGGTATCGACCAGCACCGCGGCCTCCTGGGCAGGCACAAAAAAAGACAGGAATCCTAATCTGTGAATTGGCGAGCCCTTCTGAACTATCAACATTTTGTGCTAATGAAAAGGTTTGCTCCAAATTTCCAAAGATAGTTTCAAGCCCAATTCTTAACTTCCATGTCCAAAATATTGGATTGTTTATCCCAAAATGTCTTACACAGAAAGAATAAGCTGTCCGGGAAAGAAAGAAACTCTATACACTTTAACCACTCAGTCTGCGCAACTTGAATGGCAAACACGGGAACATCATGCAGGGCAACGAGCATCTGCATGGCAAAATTCACACAGAAGAATCTAAGAGATTCTATACCGGATATGTACAGAGTCAATAACTCAAGAAATATCTTATTTCTACATACTCCCAACCGCAACAGACTTGTCTGGATATTATAAATGACTCTAGACTAAACCACGAGGAGTAAAAGTCCTGAGGAGACGAGGGCATACTAGGGCCTAAACTCGCTTGAATCAATTACGATGCACAAAATCTGGCATAGGTATATTGATTCTAACTAGAATGAATGACTGGCGTTTAGGTAAAGTACAAGGCGTTGATTGAAGGGATCTTCGATCTTTTTCAGAGCTATCTGAATCATCTGATCTTTCGAGACTGACTGATCACAGTACCAACATGAATTCCCTGGAAGCGGTAGAAAATTGCTTCCGACACATCACCTAGATGGCTTTCAATAACCACTTTCATTGCGATATCCACATATCCTACAGAAAATTTACCAGCCCAGCCAGAGCTCCCCGCAATTCAACAATGATGTGATAGCACTTCTGCAATTATTGACTGCAGGTAAACAGACTGCAAACTAAGGGGGAAGTGGCTAATACCAGACTGCTGGTTACTTTCTCCAATTCGAAGACACGCTCAAGCTACCTCTTCGGTTCTCCCATCCTTAGTAGTGTGGACAGGGACGCTTCCCTTAAAAGCGCAAATGGGGCCTTCCTATCTTGTTCTTCCTTCGACGCATTTTCCTTAACACCCCTTTCTTCTACAGGACTGTCAATTGGAGTTCTCCCTAGAATCCGGGAAGGGGTTCTTGAAAATGTGAACCTGCGAGACGAGTTAGATCCATTTTGTCTCGAGTCAGACAGCCCCGGATCTGGGCTGACAGTGGATGATGTAGGGCCTCCAAACAAAAAGCGATAAGCGACCTTCCCTGCTGTCACAACCTCCGCCTTTGCTTGCTTCAACTGCATCAATTCATAACAGTCAAGAGATCAACGTTAGCTGACCTGTGAGTTTATATCATATAACCTCAACTAAATGGGGGGAACTCCTAAGAAGGAAAGAGCAACTGATTTCCAGTTCAAGGATAAAAAGAGAGTCAGAACAAACGTACACTTCATGGAACATGAATATGTATGAGTCAAACGAAAGGTCCACAAATCCCACATGAAAACACCCACTACGAACACTGTACCCATGTTGACATGCCAAGATGGAATAGAGCCAGAATATTCACAAATGCGCACAATATCCTCAGAAAAAGTGTACTGCGGGATGAGGAAATGCTCAGTTGAAGAGTAACATATGCAACAAGAAAGAGTAACAAATCCATAAACCACCAACGTGGACAGTAACGTAAGAACAGATGCATCGGGAAGTTTGGAGGAATGGACCCTGAATCAATAAACAGGTGATCTTCACAGAAAATTCCTTTCTTACTGCACAATGAGCCTCTGAAAAAAACGAGAGCAATATCTGGCTGATCTCTTCATGGGCAGGAAACATGTTTTGAATCATTCATTTTGATTCATGACTTCTGCTCGGAGAAACATTTGATCTTTGTTATTTTCAGCGGTAGCAAGTAATGTTACGATTTGAGAAATCGTCATATTAAGAAAATATTATCCAAAGAGAAAGCTACATGAAGAAAAATCACCGCAGCCCATATCAGAAGTTGAGAGTTCCCAAGGCAGACTTAAGAAACCAGAGACAGACCTAAGCGATGCTAATGCTAGATGTGAGTAAGGCAAGGAATCAACTAGTGTTATATTGAATATCTCGTATGGTTACCTCGTGCATCGCAATATAATCAATGACTTAAAATAGGAACCAAATGTTGATAGAGTATACAATAGCTACGTGGAAATAAACGTCGAACGTGACTACTACCCCACTAAAGTAGCGGTTCCTTTGACTCCGGATATGGACCTAAGACAACAAGGGTAGCAGTCATGGGATCAAAAGCAGAATTAATATTACGACATAATTTTTTCTTCAGACCCAAGAGGTGATATACAACGATCAACTCTACCAGCAACGTGCTTAGGGCCAAAAAGTTCATAAATTGTGTAGAGAACAAAATAGTAAGAAGCGTAGGAAAGAAGGGCAACAAAAGAAAGAGGGTATGAACAGTACAAACCCTAAACCCGAACTGCACGAACAAAACAGTCAAGTCTTATTGTCGAACGGACGATCTGGTGTATTATTACATGTTCATGCGAAAGACGTCCACGATGACAACAGTCAAATGGTCGAGATATGCTGGAAATATATTCAGATTGATGCAAATCTGAAACCTCTTTGACGAAATATCTCCTCCAAAATATGAAGCACTTCAAGTTTTAACCAGAACTGGAACATTGAACAGCCCAGAGACGTTTCTAAGGAGTATTAAAGATAAGGCAAAGCTCCCCACACATATCCAGAATGCCAGAAGAAAACAAACATCAGCAAACTCTCAGACTCTCGTAATTTCCACAATTCTTGCTTCACAACGGGCAGTTCTAAACTCAACACAAATGCTACTCACAAACTAAAGGTCTAGGACAAAAGGCTGAAAGAAGGTGAGAATTAGTGCAAAACAAAAAATGTACTTTCTGAAGTTTATGAGAGTGGACCGGCATGTGTGATAGAAACAATAGACACCCGGGGGACAAAGTTCTTTCCTTTTAAAATATATGATTGGAACACAAGGCCTGCAGCCATGACATGCTGGTGTTATTCAGACGTGGTGTAAATATCAATCCTACACAACTATTTACCGTTGCGTTCTAGTAGATCTCGCTAAGAAATTTCTTCTTCTGGACGATAGGACGAGCCTTATTACAAAACTAATATCCCCTTCTAGTGATATCTCAAGCACAGTACGCTTTAAGTACTGAAGCTATTCGTGGGGAACTGGCTGCCTTGTGATACCAAGGCACGCCATGAGATAATCACAGGAGTTTTACAACAGTTGCGAGAATGAAATTTGGAAAACAGCATACCCTCTCCATTGTGTTCCCTGCAACTTCCACCGCAGCATCACCTGTTTTTGCAAATCGGTTCACCCACACTGTCCAAAAAAAACCAGGCTTTGGTTAGTCATAAGCAATACAACTAACAGATTTTTTTTTAAACGATGACTCGAGACCTCGCAAACAAGGATGGAGGTAAAATCAACCTTTACACCGCAACAATCAGATGAAGAACCAGTTTCTACAGCTCCTGATGCCCGCTATGTCCAGTGTACATAGTAATTGTTGACAATTCGATTTTTAAAAACAACTGAATATTCTCATAATTATATATGTCCCGTTCATTTATGTTGTGTTGGTTTCAATTCGAGAGTGTCCCGTCGTTTTCTAAACCTCTTGCAATCAAATTGTCTACAAGGTTGACGAAATACCAGACACTACTTCCAAAACTTTACATTAGCGGGTCTTAGGAACCATAGAAACTGGTGTATACTGACGCATTCAAAGCTGGAAAAATGCAGGTATCAGGTACATTATTTAATTTGGCTTCAAATATACTGTAACAGTGGCAGCAGAATTCAGACGACTAGTTTTCACTAATTGCTTCTATTCGTTCCTCAACCTGATAATACATATCTTTTGAGTGGCAAATTCGACAGTCATGTGTGACAAGATTTCTTGAACGAGAAAATCTGTCAAAAACATCCAAATACGAGCATGAACATGTATCTAACCGAAAAGACAAGTTGACACTTGATCAGCTGTTACTTACAGGGTAGCTTGTCCACATGCAATTCGGCACAGAAAGCTTCACAAAAGTGATTGCAATTTTTTGATAACAAATCATAATCGCATCCTGGCCACTCGGCTATCATCGTTCTTATGATTACATTGACTTCTGAATGAGAAAGATTTGTAGTTCCAAGATGCACTGATTCTCGGTATGTGTACATCGGATTTTCTTTGGGAGGACAACTGAAAACTCCACTTCCAGTTTCACAGAAGCCGAAAGACCACTCTTCATCGTACACCTATCAATAACATTCAAGGCTCTCGTTAGAACAAGTCTTAATTCAGTGGTCCTAGCAGTTTCAATCTCATTTTGGAAGATCTCACGGCTTACATATATCCTATAAATTGCATGATCGACTCAATGGACTAACATTGTGCACTTTTCCGGAAACAATAAGCATTTACAAGGCATGAGACAGGAGACAGGAACAGACTCATAACCCTCACGGTGCATCCGTGTACTCGCTAAAAACTCTAAAGAAACCAAAAAACCGCATGACGATGCACCGAAACTACTGAGGACGTCTCATCATTCTTGTATCAATGATAAAGTTTTTAAGTATTTCACGGAACATCCGTCCTTCGCAATTACAAATGACCACATGAGGGGACGGCACACCATCTGCAGTAATCAAAGTTCATCTCAGGCACCAGCATGGGATGTTACAATGACTGAAAAAGTAGGCACTCAAGAAGTAGGATTAAAAGAAAGACCAGATATCCAGATCTGTCCACTGTTTGGCACCCCTGATGTGCATGTGTGCCTCGTATGATTCTCTAAAATTGTAGAAGAAAGAAAGGTTCCCAAATGACTCGACGCTGCTGCCTATGCGAAGAGAAGCACAAAATCAATGGATGTAGCATCTTGTTCGTAGTTTAAAAATGATATGCATAAAAAATGGCAAGACAGTTTAGATCCAGAAACTACGAATCTGCAGCGAACATCATACTTGATCCAAATCAGAGAATTTGGGTCATCCTACACCTGCATCTAAATTTACTTGCTTCATGTCCTGAAGCTTCCTTGGGAAATTACCCTGAAAGAAGGACGAGAAACTTGGCCTCTACTTCAGAATTACAAAGCGTTCTGATTTCAATTGCATATAAACAAGGAATGTTTAAACGTCTGATATCGCTGTGTGAAGATGTCAAATTAGGCCTCTTGCAGAACTCTTGAGACATCGTTCATTGTCTCTGACGTAAATATATGAATGGGCGTGCCACTATCTGGTTGCTAGGATTGTAAAGAGGGCAAAAGCCTAGAACACACTCGTTCAACATGACATAAACCAAGAAGTAAAGAAGGGTCAAACGACGTGCCCACGAGAACCCGTTTCCATTTTTGAAGATTTCTGTCGACAAGTACGAGGAAAGATACGATACAAGTGGGGCCTCGCAGTGATACCTGTATGGCGCCGTGAAAAATGCCTCCGACACCGATCCCATCACGCATTAATTTATTCAGCTGTATTATGGCATTGTTCGCCTTCACGGACATGCTGTTGGTGACATCATAAACGTGAAGCCACACTTCTGTCATCTTCTTCTTCGCCGCAGAAACACTTTCAAACTCTAAGACCCGCAATCGGCGACAAAGGAGAATTCCAAACTTCTCCAATTACAATTTACATGCAACCGACTGGGGCAGCATCGTCGTCTCTGGGCCTAAAGTACGGTCTACTTTTGGCGCATTGGACGTCGGTGGCTTCGGTCTACGAGGAAATCTCACCGCACCATGATCGAGACAATAAACTGCGCCTGGGCGAGAAATGCGAGAGAATTCGCTCCAAACCCCTCTTCGTCCTACCCCGACCAGAGACCAAAAAGAATTTTCCTTCCTCGGGTTGACAACGCGCATTGACAGGATAGCCAGCGAATCACAAAATAACGCAGCGGGCCGGTACTCCAGAATAATGCGCGCTCTCTCTCTCTCGCAAGACAGGCGATAATCTCTCCGAAAACGAAGGGCAGAATCTCCTCGATTCAGGCACCAGAGAAAATGAAGGCGAAGGAGCGATCGCGAGGCGGACGGGCGAAGAAGACGAGCAAGGAGTTGATGCGGAAGGGCAGTCCACGACAGACTGACCGTCTAAATCGAGGCGAGTAGAAACTCAGCGAGCACGCGTGCTAAGCGTCCTGCGCATATCCTCCTCCCTTCCCTTCCCCTCCCCTCCCCTCCCCTCCCTTCGAAGCACTCGGTCACTCTCTCCCTCTCTCTGCGATGCTGGGGCTTTCTTCGGTGCCCTCCCGAGTCCCGGAGCTCTGCCTCTGCCTCCGGCTGTCGGCCCGCGCAGCTCGCCTCCCGCTCCCCGTCGCCCCCTCAGCCTTCCCGTGCGCCGAAGAAGCAGAAGAATGCGAAGTCCGACGCGCGCAGGCCTCACAGGCCGTCCATCTTCATCACCGGAAAGACGTGAACGCTGCCCGAGCAAAAGGTTTTCTTCGCGGTCAAACAGCTGGCAGAGAATCCCTCGTCGAAACGGCTGCCTGAGTACACCTCAGAACACGATTGTGGTTCGATCAGTTTTGAACTCGAACTCGAGCCCACAGTCGTCTGTCTGCCCCGCTGCCCTGCCCTGCCCTGCCCTGCCCTGCCTCCGCCGAGTTCCCTCCCTCGGAGCCCTCCCTGCCTTCCTGGCCTCGCTCTGAGCCCCCACGTGCTCCGAGTGCTCCGAGTGCTTGCGCTTGTGACTTTGAAACCTGTCATCCACAAGTGCTTGTGTGCGAGGCCCTGTAAAAGACAACGGTCTTTCCACTTCCTCGGCGCCTTCCCGCTTTATGTTCTTCAATCGAGAGGCGACAGTTCTCGGTGCGATTCAGAAGATTCCCCTTGGGCAGCGACGCGACATCCAGGTCGCGAACCGTATATGCGAACCCGGTGGGCCCACCTTAGTCAAGTCCTCGTCACCGCCCCCCTCACAGTAACTTTTTTAACTCGTGTGCTCGTGTTCATTGGTTCGGCCTTGCCGTTCAGAGTGAAATAGAAAACTTGGCGTCAACGGGATCTCCACCCTTTCGGCGACCCGAGCCACTGCATCGTCGGGTGCCAAAGCCGTGTCGGGAGAATGGCAATCCGCGAAGTAATTGTTGTGTTGAACTCCTGTTCGTTGAACTAGATCCGCTTGCCGCCGTGGAGGGAAGACTTGCATCTTTGAATTCTGTCGCGCACTAGTTGTCGAGTCCCAGGCTTTGTCTTCGCGCTACGAGTCATTCTTCCTTTCTTACGTGCCTGCATCTGGTGCTTTGGCGAGCGGGCCCACATCCATCTGCGCAAAGAATCTGACTCGATTCGAGCTTTTCACTCTTTTTCTACCCGCCTTATTTTCAAAGTCTCTATTCGATTCCAAAAGCAACTTCGCATCATGTGAACTTAGTGCAAAGTAACATAACAAGAGGATGTGCACACCCCGTCGTGTCCTACGTGGATGAAACCAGTGGGGGAGGATTGGGCTAGGCCCCGATCGCATCATGTGACCTCTACGACCTTAAAAAGTACTTATTTCGTACACCAAACATATTTGATTTTATTGTGAAGGTTTGTCATTGTAATTAAATAAAGAAACGTAAAGGATGGAAATACTTGTAATATAAACCTGGTCTAAATAGAAAAGGAAAATGTAGTAACTATATGATAGCTACTAAGTTGACGTGTTTGCCGCCTTCAAGACCTTCAAGACCTGCAACGCAAAATGTTGATGGAGGGTTCAAAAACAGATGCTTTTCAACTTCCATTGTCGAAGAAAATGCATCTTGCTAACAGGAAGACTGGTTGCAGAGTTTGAACCTTTGAACCTGGAGAGGGAGATCCCCTGGCCAGAATTACTCTTTAGTGATCGCTCTGGGGAAGGAGGAAGGTCCCCTCCATCCCGAGAGCTAGAACAGTAGGAGGTATGATATTTGACATCGTTCCCCTTCTACACTATGCGTTCGAGGTTATTGTCAAGAGTAGATCTAACCTGTAGGTCATCTGACATGGCCAAGACCTTCATGAATTCTATTGTACGTCATTGTAAGGTAGTTAACAAGACAGGAAGGGCAACCCGAACCACCGGAGCTTTGGTTGAGTTTTCTGTCCATAGTTTCACTTCCATCAAGAAAATGTGCATAATTATGTATGATTTTTCTTAATCTTTTTTTTTCTTGCTATTGCAACAACACAACAATAAGTAAGCAAAACTAGTTGTCTTGCCAGGTTTTGTCATAAATTTGTGAATAAATCATCTTGTACATATGTCATCAACTTAAAAAAAATAAAAATCTCTCATATGTCTGTGAAATAGATCTTGATTATGAATTAAATTTTAATTATACTCAACTAATATCAGATTTTTAAAACACATTGCAAACTCATATTATATATTTTTTTGAGAGTATCAATATTTTGATTCAAAAATTTGAAAAACGCAGATATCATTGTATCATTTTTAATCATTTTTATCATTTCCTCGTTATTTTTAGTATTTATTCAAGATTCATATTAAACTTATATTAACCTAATTCAAAACATAATTAAATGTTTGATTTTGTCCTAGTGAAGATTAGACATATGATTTCCGCTACTTTGTGTGTATAGAAAGTAACTTTTTTCAGTAAATTTCTCATTTTTTCCATGAATTTATTCTGAAATGGCAAACCATTCATAATTTTTATCTACGTAAATTCTCTATTTATGAACTCTAATACATTTCTTTAATCAATCCTAACAATATCATTTAAAACATGAAATGCTGTTAAATACTTCTGAGAAAATACGAATGAGATAAAGTTTGACTCGTCTTAAATTCATATGCAATTAGCAAGATTTTGGTTCATAATAAATCAGATTAACTTGTAAATTGAACTCTGTTGTATTCAGATCTTACATTCGTTTGGAGTGAAAAAACTTGTGTGAAATTCAAACCAAAAGCATAATTCAAAATTTCATATGTATTTATGATTTGTGTTCTATTTGAATCTAAAAACTAAAATTTTTAAAATTATCATATGATCAAAGATATCAAATCAAAGTATACATCATGTCTTTTAACACATCAAATCTCATACGAGGAGATAAAACCCAATGTTAATGCGTTAGAAAACTTATTCATGACGATGCTCAAAATGATTGCAGAGTTCTTTGGGGATGAATTCACAATTTCAAATGTACAGTATATTAAAAATTTAAAAATGATAAATTGGCGATATTTTCCAATCACTTTATTTGTCTAACTGTATATGATATTTTCCGAGTATAAATAATCATTAAATTAAAACATCAAAGAGGAAATAACCATAGAGTTAACGGCTTGATCTTATATCATACACAATACCCAAACAATGAGATAATAATGATTCATAAGAAAATTATTTAAAAAACACGAAGTTCAAATGAAACATCAAATAAAATGACTTTTTATTGAATATAAGTTACAGATTAATTGAAAAAAATACGTGGAATTTATACCATTTTTGGTATATATAAAATAACTCACATTGTGTTGAAGCTAAGTTTGATAGTAAAATTTAATAAAAAATATGAAACTATGCAAAATATGTTGACAAAAGTATAATCTATCAAAACATAATTAATGATTCATACGATAATAATTTTCAATTAAAGTAAATCTTCATGAAAGCCAAAAAAGACATAAAAGCAATGATGTGATTATACTTTTGATGATAGTAAAAAAATACATGATTTATGTGGCATTTCTATATATTTTATAACTCAGCTTAACATTTAAAATTTTCATAATCAAGAAAAAAATCATGATTGGTTTAGATGTGCTAAAATAAAATATTATAATAAGTACTGAAATATAGCTCAATCTTTAACTCAAAACTCATCTACAATCTGTATCAAACAAGACCTTGGTCTTACTCGAATACTATCATAAGAGGAAAACCATGATGAAAACAAATAAATTTATAACTATGTGATTTATTTTGGATTGATATTTTTGTTATATCTTCATATACTTGTTCTCTGGGTGAATCACATCACGTTTCAATCATTGTATTCTCACTTCTAAGTTGTATTCAACTTGGGAGTGAAGAACACAAACCATCCCGAAGGAATATATTTTATTGCTGTAGTTTAGGTTCCAAAGGGAACTGACATACTCTTGAGTGGAGATTGTATTAGTCGCTGACTTTTTATATATAAATATATATATATATTCATAATTATTTTCTTCAAATTTTTTTTAATATACTTGGCCATTCCACCCTAACAGAGGTTTTGGGTACGTCAAGAGAGACGTCTGAAAAATTAAAGATATGCGGAATGACGCAGAATGCACTCCCCCTCCACAACTCTTTAACGGTTGAAATGTGTACATATGAAAAACATCACTGTTTTTTTAAATGACATATCAAAGTTTCAAAATATGAAGAATGTATAAATTTTATTTTTTTTTAAACACGAATTGTTGTTACAAAACATGTAATAGTGTGGAATGGAAGCCTTTCGTATACTGCAAAGAATACCACCTAGATACTAAAACTCTCTAACCCTATTTAAATATTATGGAAAATAATTTAATAGGGAAAATGTATTTCTTGTAGACATAGGAGTACTAATTATCCTCAGACGCACAGAAATTTCTCCACACAATCCATTTATTATATTTGTGGTAGAACCAGACTCCAATATACTCAAAACCTGTTTAAGTGCAAGTATATCTTTACATTGCACGGGTGGAGTGTAACCCTCGAATCATACTCTCTCGGAAAATTTAATCTCTTTGCATGTGGAAAGTTGTATCGAATGACCTCACGAGTAAAGCGTAAGTTGCAATTGTGAGAAGCATAATTTGTTCACGTTGACATTGTCTTTTCTTCTGGGAGTAACAACCCTGCTTGCACTTATCGCGTAAAGATACTTTGCGCTAGTCCAAGTTCTATATCGAGACTCACTTTCTGTTCAATTTGTCATCAGAATATTTAATGACATCACAATAACAAGAGTAAGTTTTGATCTCAATACAAAAACCGAAGTGATATATATACGTAAGGTTTCTTATTAACGGAAATTAAACTTGCATCACAGTTTTGAAATGTATATTTTAAACTTTTGTAAGAAGTTAGCGTCATGGCATCAGAATACGTAATTATTTATTTAGGTGAAAATAAATCATTACATATTCTGATGCCATAACGCTGAGGTTATCCAACACATGATATCCATCCATTACTGGATGATGTGTAGTCTTCAGTTAGCAGGGCTTTACTATTTGAAAATGTCTGTCTAGAATATGACAAGTGCTTCGTGCGAGCCTCGTTTTCGGTTAGAAATGATATTCAGATTATTGCACGTATGTTTGACCTCCATACAGAAAGAAGTGTAGCAGGTGAATGCGGCAGCTCGAAAACATGTTTGCCAGCAGCTAATCAGAGGAGGTGCCCAAGGGAACTGCCCTTCTTGGTCTCTTAGTTTGGTTAGTCAAGGCCAGGTTAACGAACTAGATACGCACTGATTGCTGATGAGGGGCCCAATGAAAAGGAGGCGCTAAGAAAGCATGAGGATGGTCAGGGCGATGAAACTGATATATATAGCTACTATCATAACTGAATCAACGTTATAAAATCTACACTTATTCTTCGCATATAAGACTCTTCTTATGATAAAACAATTTTCAATAATCCGATTAGTTTCAAACAAATATATTACTAGTCACTTGTAATTTGCATGCAATCTACATGCATATTACGATCAGTGGCTTACAACATTATCACTATGTTCTATTCCTAAACTTTTTCCAAACAAAAACGTGGTGCTGTTCTTAACATACTTTAGCTTATGCTATTGATATGGATAAATGTATTTTGATCACACATTTTGTTAGATGCATCAAAGTATTCTTTTTCTTTATATACATACATATATTACACACATATCACAACTTTTAAAAGACAAATTAGTATGCAACAAATTATTCTTCTATATCAACAGATGTAAATGAATAATCTTATAATTTTTTCATCATTAATTCAAATTATGGAAAATATATTTATAGAATTATCATAATTGCGTTCATCATGTATGTTATACAAATTTCATAATAAAACTTACTACTTCTACTTATAATTAAATTTAAACAAAAAATTACGTATTTATTTGAAAATAAACATAGTGTTTATAATGAAGCTTGATATGATGAATTTATAAGCCAACCAACACAACCAAAAGATTCCTTTGAAAAATATTAAATCATTACATTTTTCTTTCAAAACAGAACAAATCATAGAAAAATGAAAGAAAAAATCTACAATACAATATTATAATTGACACAATTTATATTCATTTTGTTGAAAAAATATTCATTGTTTGAAAAAATATTTAGCATAATTTTAAATATATAAAACTTATCAAAGAAAACATATTCGTAATTAATATTATACTATAATCTTGAAATATGTAATCAACATCACTAAATATATATGTTCATATAAAACGGAATGAATCATTAATATATGTATATGCATTTTTTCTTTCAGCTTCTTTGAGATCAATAATACTGAATAGAAATGAATTCAAAGTATATTTTGACTAAAAATTATAACATGAGTAATATATTTAAGTAAAATATTCATGTTATTGATAACAAAATTTCATATTTTTTGAATATTCTAATTGATATAAATAATTATGAATAAATTCAAATTTAACTGATGAGTTATGAATATTTGATCAAACTTGAAAAGCTTATTATAAGCTTAAATGATGAAGTATGATTTTTTCACGAATTATACCAGTTTTATTGTATTTTTAAAATTATCAATATTGTGCTCTTTCTTTCTATATTTTTAATCTACACACATGTTAACAATACAATTTTAAAATTTGAATAGATAAACAGATTATTTTTTTATTTGTTGTAAAATAAATCAAAATATTACTTATTTGCATGTTATATTTGTGATTTTGACTATAATAGTTTGTTAGAATTCATAGTGAAAACTTGTGGAGCAAAAATAGAATGAAAATTTCAAGTTTGAGTTTAAAATTTCAAGTATTTGTTATAGTTTTACTATATTTTATATAAAGAACACATCTAAAACATCTAAAGCAAAATGAAAAAACTTATTTGATATTTTCAAACTTAAGCATGGTGATGAATCATGTTATCAATACTCTTGACTCATGTAGTATCAAATTTTATTGAATTTTATGATAAATATTTATATAACTTTCAATACTTTACTTTAGTATTGAAATTTGTGTAAATATTTATAAAATGTATTAAAATATATTTTTTGGGTAAAAATATAATTATATAAATATGACTTAAATACTTCAAAATTTTGATTTATAATTTTTTTTAATTATCATATCATTCTTTCAAATTTTTCAATATATGTTAGATGTGTCTAATTACTCCAAATAGCAACAAAACATATGAAATATACATATGATAGCAAATTTCATATAAGACTTTTGAAATTATAATCAATTATATGTTTGGTTTCTATGTTTCATAATAATCAAAAGTTGTATATTAAAATTTTAAATTAAACTAAAATCTTAATATGTTTTGAACATAGTTGAATTGGTTGTATCTTATCTTGTGTGCCATAAGTTGAATAGTTCTTGCTTTGCTTAAATGTGTATATGAAAATGAAAAAAATCAGAGAGAGGAAACTAAATGATTGATTTTGTGCTTGATTACCACGTGATATTTAAATTTTTATCTACTTGAATTATTGTCTTAGCATAAATGAACGTGTGCAAATTAAAAATCCCAATCCGAAGGGATCAACATCATGAATTTGGGATCAATTTTTGCATCATTTTTTTTGGGTTCTATCTTTTGAAGTTGGATACATATTTTTTGAATGAATTAGAGTCAATAAATTTTGTATGGCTGATCATGATGAGAATAGTAGCATGTTTGAGCTCGTTAGATCCAGTCATGATACACTGTTTAACATATTTAAAAATCTTTGAACAATTCAATTATGAAAATTGGTTGTTCAAAGTAATAATTGTAGAAACATGGATCGAAATTATTTGATTAATTATAAATCATTATTTATAACATTAAAAATACTCAAATCAAATTCGTTTTTAGCAGAATTAATTTGAGCAGTAATTAGTTTTTTTTGGCAATATTCCAATAATTATACTGTGAATCATGATGTTATATCCTGTTTGCTAACATAGATGAAACTATGTAATTTTGGAAATTTTGTGTTTAATATTTCTATAAAGAATTGGGTTCAACATGTTTACAATGAAATATAGTTGAATATGATCAAGTCCAAAAAATAATTCATATGTTTTATATTTAGGTTTTTTTGGTAATATTCCAATAATTATCCTGTGAATATATGATGTTATATCCTGTTTGCTAACATAGATGAAACTCTGTAATTTTGGAAATTTTTTGTTTCATATTTCTATAAAGAATTGGGTTCAGCATGTTTACAATGAAATATAGTTAAATATGATCCAGTCCAAAAAACAATTGATATGTTTTATATTTAGTTTTTTTCGAGGCTAATACAACTACTTATGAACTTCTGTTTTTATTATTCACAACAATCTGCAGTTTATTGATTCACATAATAGCAGAGAAACTATACTGAAAATTTTAATTCAGATGAAATTGGTGCAACATACATCAAGTTTGAAATGATGTTAGAAAAAAGCTATCCATATTTGATTTTTTTAATGTGATATGTAATACTTATTATGATATGTGGATTTTTCGCAATGAATATTTATGAAAATGTACAAAGGAGCCAAGACTTTTGTAGTCAACGAAGGTAATTTAGAACTACAAAATCTGAAATTCAGCATAGATATTGATTGAGTGTTTGATCAGAAATTTTGCTCACTTTCCAGTTTGTATCATTATTATTTGATGTAAATATAAATATTTTGAATATAGAGAAATGGAAATTTTTAAATAATTGAAAAAAGAACTAAGTATTATATTTTTGTATTCATTTTACACTGTATTAGCCAAATTCATTGTTGCATTTAAACCAATGAAAAATAATTTGACATCCTTCGTATGTATCAAAATGATAAAATAAAACGATTCAGAATTCTTTCAGATACTGACCTTTTATTTTTAAATAATCGGAATTAGGTGAATAATTTCCAAGCATACAATAATAAAATTTATTTCTTTTATTATAATGTAATCATTCAGGTCTGAGAATGCATTAAGTTATGAAGTAAGTTTTCTGTTCTCACTAGAATGTATAAGGTAAACTCAAAAGTGAAACGTGTAATTATTTCAAAAAAGGGTTGTAAGACCTCATAAAGTCATAGATGGATGAAACCAAAACCAAAAGGTAAGATGCGGCTGGCTCCAATGGTGTCACATCAGGAGATATGTGACATATCTCCTGATGTGATACCGTATCTTATTGGACATATCATATGTCCAATAAGATACGGTCTACCTACTACGAAGGTGCTTCATCTAAAGTTGATTTTTACTTATCCCATCTTACAAATCATACATACATTTTCACTCAATCCTAAAGGTACATGAGATCTTAAGGCTCGATCTCCTCAAAAGAAATCTTTTCCCCCGGCTCGTAGTTTCTTCACTCATGTAACCAGAAGCTGTTTTGGTGAAGGTGTGCCGTCTCGACAAGTTCACCTTCCACGCATCTCTAGTGAGGCATCAAACATGGCCACAGAGTCGTTGCAAGAGAAGATGTTTAACAAAATTGAAAATAGTTCAAATGGAATTATATAATTCATATAAAGTTAGAAATTAAAATTTTGTATATTTTTAAAAACTATGTTGAGATATTTTGTTCAAATGAAAAAAATAATATATTTCAAATAATGTTTAGAAAAATTACTTTCTTAGGGATATTTTGTTGAGGATATAAATTTATCCAAATTGTAATAATAATATATACTTGCAATATTATGATCACGATTATGCATTACTCCATGCGAATTTTGTTTGATTGTTTGGGATTTTTTTCTTTATTGTCGTTTTTTTGTTCGTTTAAGTCTTATTACTTTTTTAGTTTCCAAGTAAAAAATATAGATATAGATATCTCAATATGTGATGTTATTTATTGTTTCAGGGGTCATGATTTAAAGAGTAACTCTCAATTCACATACGTTTATATCTGAGATCAATGTCAACCTATATTATATAAACATCTTCGACTTTTCAGTTTCAATATATATATCAATGTACTTTTATAGTTTGAGTGATTAGTATTATAGAAATGTACCATTTTGTCTTCTTTACACTGTTACAAAAATTTATTTCCATATAAATTATTGCATATATATATTTGTCAAAATGAACAAAATTAATGAGTAATGAACATTAGCTTCGTAAACACGTTCTATTATTTGAAGATTTTTAACTTGATGACACTTTACAGAAATGAAGTATACAAAATCAATTACAATGGAGTAAGCAAATCCTAAGTTGCTTTTGCATCATAATATCACAAGTTGTGTGAAAAACAAGCGTGATAAAAAATCCAAATTTGAGGAAAGATAAGCATGATAATCCTAGTGCATTCAAACTTTGCCAAGTTCAAACAATTCTCGATTAAATAAAGTTCTTTCCTATAAGAAGAATTTATTAAAGCAAGAATAGCTCAAGACACAGTATTTAATCTCGAACAATTCTATAGCAAGTTGTTTCCATATGAAAAATTTGTTGTCAGAGAATGGGAAATAAAAGGACGGAGCCAGATTGAAACGCGAGGCGAACGCATTCGAATCGAAGGGAACGGATGAAGGAACGAAATGTCGTGCGAAAGAAAAATACTAGTTCCGGTCGGGGTCTGTGTCTGTGTCCACGACCGGATTGGACACCATAGGCCGAGGGGATTAGCGACGAGGAGGATAGAGGAAGAGCAAGGAAGGGGGCGCGGTTCTTTTAGAGGCGGTGCCGATGGGGGCTGCTGCTAAAGCGAAGCGGCTCACTTGCCTTCTTCTTGCTGCAGGAGGAGCGTGGCTGGCTCTATCGGCAAGCTTTATCGGCCCACTGTAGCGCGGATGAAGAATGCCATGGACGAAGAGGCCGAAGAACCGACCGGCAGCTTGTGGTTGGGGGGCCTGCTGCGCTCTGCTCACCAGATTTGATCGACACAACGAGAGGACGGGCCGGAAAAGGCCCACTCCGCAGCCTCGGCGACGACGGCAGCAGAAATTTGGGAGGCGGGGCGGGGCCACAATTTGGCGAGCGAGCGAGGCAGGCGATGAGGAGGCGAGGCGAGTCCGGCCAATTCGAGCCATGCCAGAGGAGCTTCGGGAGAGTGGCGAGAGGGCAGCGGCGGTGGCAATCTGTCTGAACCCCATTTATTTGCGGCTTCATGAGTTTTCGGTTGGTCACGACTCCGGGGGCCTAAATTTGGCGTTCCCGGACGGGCGTGAACTGCTTTTGGGCAGAGTGGCAGGAGCAAAAGCAGGCCCTCGCACGCGACACCATTATGACTTCCCTTTCTTGATGACGCCAGGCGATCGAGGCTCCAGCACCAGCGCCTTCTTCTTCGCCCCGGTGAGTGTCCGCACTCTCCCTTCGGGCGCTCGGAAATTCGCGTCGTCTTCCACTTGTGCTCGCTCCTGGGCTTGGTCCGACGCGAGCCCCTCTTCTGCCAGTATCGAGCGGGGTCCTGAATGCGATGCAAAATATCTGCACTTTCGAAGGTGTTTTCACGTGTTCCTTACTGGTCAATGTTTGGTGGAAAGTGTTCAGTTTGCAGAATTGGTTGAGAACTTTCGGAATTCTATCCAGCGCGGATTGTTTTTAATTTTTTTCTCTGGTTCTTTTTGTTGTTGTTGATTCTAAGCGTGTAAAATTAAAGGTGGTAGTGTAGCCTTCTTGTGCTAGTCCTCACATTGCTTTCTTATTTTCTTCGAATTTGGTTCTGCTCAGGATCATCACTCGCATTCTCTCTCCATTCATCACTCCTCAGTATTGTTCTCCGCTCAACATCGGAACACCTACTCTCTGCGAGCTTGTTGTGTACAATTCCCTGACCACTGCACCTCCCACTCCGGGTGTTGACTTTTTTTCCAACGCTACGAGCAGCTTCAGTTCACAGTTTGGAACAGGTGAAAGATCTCAAAGCTTTGTAAGATTAATGTCATTGAAGCTGATCCAACTTAGTGCCTCGGTTGAATCCACATGTGCCTTGATTTTTTTTGTTTGGTTCAGCTTGTGGCCCTAGATCTGGGCTGCGTGAGAGAAATATCTAGAGAATTGCCATCATGCGGTGAAAATCAATGCGCAGATTTTTGGATTTGTTTCATGTCATACGCCTCCAAATTGCTCTCTGTCACGGTCCGTGATGAGAATTCTTTCGTCGCGGAAAGATTCCACTCGCATGTCGTGCATTTCATCTGCTCATGTTTGTTGTTGAGGGAAGAATTCAGTTATTCTAGTACAGTGAAATGCTGAGCCAACAAAAAAACCTGCCACCAACTTCACAATACTGATCCTCGTATGTGGTCCATTTTTATCTCGCAGGCTGGTGAAACTAGAGGAGCCGAACAAATGAGGCCTATGTGTAAATGTGTAAATGTTAGCAGGGTGCTCAATGGGCGATCATTGGACTGAGCCGACATCTCTACTCCGTGCGAGTCGGGTTGTTCCATCCGTCGTTGATGTGGTTGGGCTGCCTCATAGTCAGAAGTCGAGTGAATCTAAAGAAAGCTTTAGAAGCTTTTTTCTGGGACGAAGATGGCTGGATGGTGGAAGATTCATTTTGCGGAAGGGTGGGCACGTTGATCGGTACAATGGGCTACAAGTGCTTCTTCCAGTGTCTGAAAATTCTGCCTCTGCTACATCGTCCGTAGTTTCAAGAGTAAGGCCCTCGTTTCGTACTTTCAAATTAAAACGAGCTGCGTGTAGAAACTAGGATGACTCTTGCCTGCACAATTACGAAATTGTTCTCTCGTATCATGTCTACTTCGGAGGGCTAAGAAACCTTGAGCTGTGTCCATGTAAGCACTATGAGCCGCGAAACCAAATGAACAATGCTCCCGTTCTTGGACCGCTGACGGGGTGGGATAGGCAGCAGAGCATGTTCAACCACATTCACTAAGTCAATGAACTTGTCAGTCCTTGCTTCGGTCTCTTTTGACACATTATACGAGCTTCTAAGAGAATGCTCTATATTGGTGTTTCTTATGCAGAGAACTGGGAGTGTAAAATTCTCACCCGCCTTCGTTCCGACAGGTTCCGTAGTGAACTTGTGTCAAGATTTTCCTTGTCAGCCCACAATATTAGAAGAGGAGTTCGATGTTGCTGTGAGGGATGTGAACGGATTGGTTCTGCATACCAGTCCTGTTCTTGGATTCTTTGATTCACATCCAGAATTTTCTCTTCAATTCTATCACAATTTACCGGCATGGGGTTGCGGGATTGTTGATAAGGGAAGAGCCTTAGATATGGGTGGGTCGCAGAAGCCCACGAGAGGTAAGCTCCACTGTATAGCCGCGGAAGGCGTAGCTGGAGAAACCGAAAGAACGAATCTCAGGACAAAGAGGACAAACAGTCCTATTGAGGAAGACATTGAAAAATATGTGTGTTATACCTTTGCAACTGATGCACCTGATGGGTGGATCGAGCCAAATTCGAATGGCCTGTCCTTTAAAGAAGCTTTGGCGTATTTCTCAGGTGCTTAGTCCTCATCCCATCATGTTTTCCGTTTACAGCCAACACATGTAAAGCTGCGACAACATCCACATAGTAATCCTACGAGCACTTTGTTTGATCTCTCATTCATGACTTCGAGGGAAGAAGCGAGTGGGGATTATTCAATTTCAGCATTAAATCAGGGAAGTTTAGTTGAGATGTTTGTTGGCTCGACGTTTAGCTAGTTGAAGGGTTTATGATCGAGGCGTGTTGAAATGTAACTTTGATGATGGATAAGAAGAACTTCATGTATAGTCACGGTGGTGACCTCTCTCGTCATTTCAATTCTCATTTCTCCTTATTATCCTTCAAAATGAAACTGGAAAATCAAGATTTTATGCTTAGTTACTCTGTTCTCCCTTCAGATGTTCGCTTTCTTAGCCCTGCAGGCTCTGGTAGACCACCTAAGTTGAAATTCACTATTTGCGACAATTAGTTTCACGGACAGAACTCAAGTTTTCCTGAGCTTACGAGATAGTAACATGGTTGACTTAGTCCCTGCTTTGGCACGGTCTCTTAGAGCACTTGCTTAAGTCACAGTCATGTGATCCAAGGAAATGAGGTCAAGGGAGATCACACATGGTTCGGAGTCCATCTATTTTTTAGTTGAATTTATTAATGGCGAACTTGGATATCTTAAGGATCTCGTTTTGATTAACTCCTTTGAACTGCACGAGTACGAATTTGTAGCAAGCAGATGGAAGCTCTTACTTTCTTTTGGTTATGTTGTCTTTTGAGTATGTGGACTGCAGCCAAGGGGAAATTTTATATGTAGGGTGTACGGAGTGATGAAGGGAGAAATATTGCTATACTGCACGAAGTATTCTTAAAGCTTGTCAATGAAATATAGAAGCTTCCCGTTTGTGTATAGGTCATTCATAACACAGTACAGTCCCTCTCATTTCTCCAGGTGGTGGCTCTAAGCGAATCGATGCTTTGATTCCAACTGAAGCGAGTGTTGCAATGGAATCAAGCAGTAGTTTTTCGGTGAGGAACTTAGGATTGGAGGAGCATCATCTGAAAGCAAGTGAGTTCTCGGACAGAGAAGAATTCGCGAATGGGAAAGTAGCCACGGACCTGCTTTCAGGATATGGAAGCTGGGACCAGACTTGTGCAACGATGCAGAGTGAAAGCGAGGGCAGCTACGAAGTGGGATCCTCACCTGTATTTGATGAAAGCTTTTACATGGACCCTACGAAAATGAAAGCCGAGCTGCATGCAACATCGGATGCAATGGACGAGATGGTAGGTAAAGTGGCAATCAAGCTCATGGTAGCCGAAGCTGTCTTGAGGGGCATAGCGAGTGCAGTGGAGGTAGATGCCTCTGAAGCTGTAGACGTCATAGAGACAGAATTGCTGAAGGTTAAGCGCGAGTTGCAGGACAAAGATTTAACAGTCATCAAGCTCATGAACACTTTGAAACAGAAGGAAGAGGAACTTGTCAAATTTGTAGAGGACAGCAGATCTAAAGAGCGTCGTCTAGTCATGGACATGTTGACAGAAAGGGAGCGCATTCTTGGAAAGGTCAAAGAAAGTGACAAGTATGTGGCGCAGAAGGAGAGGGAGCTGCTTAAGATGGCAGAACACATGGTTGAGCTCTCATTAAACTTGGCGGCTGAGAGCAAAAGGGTCAATATCCTGGAGAAACAAGTGAGAGAAGCCAAAGACGCAGAGGCGGTAAAAGGAAGGGAGTTGTTAGCAATGATGGAGAAAACCGAGCAATTCAGATCAGAAAAGGAAACAATTGTAGAGATGGTGAAACGAGAAGCCAGGCTTAAGGAGTTACGTCTGACAGAGAGTTTGGATGAGAAGGAGAAAGTTCTCAATAAGCACCTGGAGACAATTAGGACTCTAGAAACTCAAGAACAAAGTCTTAGGAAAGAGTTGGATGCCCACATCCAGAAGGAGCTACAATTGTCCGAGACTTTGGCTGAGAAAGGGAGAGTCATCAGTCAGCAAGTACAGGTAATGAGTACTTTGGAAACTAGGGGTAAACAACTTAGTGAAGAGCTGGTTGTCCGAAGTCAGAAGGAGCAAGAATTGACTGAGATCATAGCTGAAAAGAAAGAGATCATCAGTCAGCATCTTCAGGCAATAAGTACTCTGAAAGCTGCAGAACAACAACTTAGAGAAGAGTTGGATGGTTGGACCCAGAAAGAGCTACTAACAACCGAGAGTCTGGTGGAGAAGGTAACTTTGGTGAGCGAGCATGTAAGGAGTCTCGAGTCTGCAGAGGAGGACCTCAAAGAGCAGCTCTACAGCCAGAGCATGGAGGTGCAGAGTCTGACCGAGAGCTTATCTGGAAAGGAAGAGCAGCTCAAGAAGTACGTCGAGACCATCAAGTCCTTAGAGCTTGCTGAGATGGAGCTCAGGGAGTTAGTGGAGACTCAGAGCCAAAAGGAGCGTTTTTTGATGGGAGACTTGCTGGAGAAGGATGAACTGATCCGTAAGCAGCTTACCACCATCACAACATTAGAATCTTCTGAGCATGGACTGAGGAAGGAGGCTCAAGAACTTCGCGAGGAGGTTAACAAGTTGTTGCAGTCCGGCAAAGATACTTTAGAGGTCCTTAATAAAGTAAGGGATGCAATCAAGTTCCATGCTGAAACTATAGAGGAGAAAGACAGAAGTCTGAGATTCTTACAGGGCGAGATTGAACTTCTTAATTCCAAAATCGAAGACCTGAGTTCATCAAATTCAATCCTTACCGAGAAACTCAATGGCCACAAACTGGAGGCAGAAAGTCAGCGGCACCAAATCGTGGAACAAGAAGCAGTAATTCGGGAGTCAGATTTTCGCTGTCAAGAGTTGTCTCTTGCCGAGAAACGCTTGCAGGATGAACTTGCTGCCTTGAATTCGAAAGTCCTTCAGTATGTGGTTGCCGGCCAGCGGGCACAAGAAGAGCTGCGGGAGCAGAGCTGGAAGCAGGAAGCCGAAATATCTCTGATTATGACCATAATGGAAGGCAGAGTTGTGGATATAGAGAGGGAAATAAATCTACTTGGTGAAGAGTCGGCAAGGAACCAGGCGGAGACAGTTACGTTCAAATCGCAAACTTTGCAAAAGAGATACTTGGAATTCAGTAACTTGCGCTCTTCGAAAGCGGCTTTGGAAGCAAAATTGGTGGATGCTCAAGCTGCTATAAAACTGCTGGAAGAGATTACGAGGAAGGATGTTGAGGAGTTGGCCAACAAGGACCTTTTGTTACAACAAGCAGCGAGTAGGATCTCTCAGCTTGAAGAAAAGCTGATCGTGAACGAGAAACTTTCTCAGGGATTACAGAAGGAAATGGAAGAGATGAAATTCCGTGATGAGAATTTGACGAAGCAGCTGAGGGTTTCTGAAAGTACAGTTCAGCAGGTGCGACATGATTTAGAGACCATCACTTTCCAGGAGCAGGAGGTAAGAGCCCGGGAGCTTCAGCTACAAAACTTGGTGGAGGATCTTGAAGGAAAAGTGTGGAGGCTCGAGTTTGAAAACACTTTCATAAGTTCCTACATGGGAAACGCCTCCCAAGATGTCCTGAATCTTGTCGCGAATGTCAACAAACGCTTATCCACCAGTTCGAAGACACTGGTTCTTTTGCAGCATGACTTGGAGGCAGCTGGTATTGAGCTTAGCAAGAGTAGAAACGAGATGGATAGTCTAAGGTCCACCAATTTGGATCTTTCTGCTTCTGTGGAGAGGATGCAAAACAAGGTTGAGAGCTATGCAGTGGACATGGCTGAAGCTAAAGCGGGATTACACGACCAAAGTGCGAAGTCAGAGAGAATGAAAGCTCACGTTTGTGAGTTGCAGTGTCAGATAGAGGGGTTACAGGACGAGCTAGAGTTTAAGTTGTCAAGAAAGGAGGAAGAAGCCATGCAGCTGGTGTCGAGCATAGAAGAGTGTAATTGGCGAAGCGAAGTAGAGACCTTCATTGTCTTAGGTCTGGCAGAGGGATCTATCCAGAAGTTAATGGAGAGTTTGTGTCATGCACGAGAAGAGATCAGGAACAAAAGTGAAGATTTAGTCAGTCTTCGTCGCGAATTTGAAGAGCTGAGTCAGAAAGTGAGAGCTCAGTCGTCTGGTATATCCGAGTTGAAGATGGCTCTTTCAAATAAAACGCAAGAGCTTTGTACTTTCAAAACAGATTTTGTGCTCCAAAATGCCATGCAAAGGGACGCTCTTGTACAAGAGCAATCACAGGCTAAAGAAGCCCTGAAAAAGATAGAGGAGCTGAAGAGGATGAAATTGACGCTACTTGACAGAATACAAGAAGAGAAGTTGAGATGGGCTCAGCTCGAGGAGGCATTGGCAGAACAGAAGTTGAAGTACCAGGTTGAGATGGATATAGTTAGCACGGTCATGTATGAGGCTGGGGTATCTGTGACAGCAAAGAACTTGGAGAGGGATGCTGAAGTAGCGCGTCTGTTGCACAACCATGCACCTAGTGAGGATTTCAAGATAGCAGATACATCAAGGAATTTTGGGTCTGGAACTGATTCAACGACTTGTTCTATAAAGGGAAAACCTAGCAGATTAAAGATGGAAACCAAAGTTAGTGGTTCGCCTCTCTCGAAAGTAGAGCTGTTGGTACGGAAGAATGAAGAGCTTCGTAGAGAGAAGGAGCAGCTTTTGACGCAGAAAACTGACGAGATATACAAGCTGAAGCGGGAATTCTACAAAGAGTTGGAAAGAGTCAAGGGAGAGAGGAGAAAAGATTACGAATCAGATGGCTCGCAAAAGGAGTCACCAAAGTCCAAATCCACAAAGCCTAGGCAGCAAGCGTTTATCGGACCAGACGTCAAGCCAAATGACGCCGTTGCAAAATTGGAGAAGGTCGTTCTAGATCATGAAGGGAAGGTTTCCGAAATGAGAGGATTTTGGGATGCGGAGAAGTCTGCCTTGCTGGATTCTCTATCTCAAAAAGAGAATGAAATCAAGGAACTGGTATCCAAATTGTCCTCTCAAAGCCAAGCTCAGAGATCTGATGATTTTGCGCAGTTTGAGAAGGTCATAGCAGATAATGAGAGAATGGTTTCTGAGACTAGAGCTCTGTGGGATACTGAGAAGTCGACTTTGCTGGAGTCTCTTGCTCACAAAGATGACGAAATCAAGGCACTGGTATCCAAATTGTCTTCCCAAAGCCAAGCTCAGAACTCTGACGACTTTGCGAAGTTTGAGAAGGTCGTAGCAGATAATGAGAGAATGGTTTCTGAGATGAGAGCTCTGTGGGATGCTGAGAAGTCGACGTTGCTGGAGTCTCTCGCTCAAAGAGATGACGAAATTAAGGAACTGGTCAACAAGCTGTCTCTGAAAGACGAAGTTCGGTCAAGTGACGACTGTGCAAAGCTTGAGAAAGTTGTTGCGTATATCGAAAGGAAGGTTGCTGAAACGAGCGCTCGGTGGGACGCTGAGAAGTCGATGTTGCTGGAGTCTCTTTCTAAAAGAGATGAAGAAATCAAGGAACTAGTGAGCAAGTTGTCACTGGAAACCGAAGCTCGGTCAAGTGATGATTACGGAAGGCTTGAGAAGGCTGTATCGGATCTTGAAAAGAAGGATTCTGAGATGAGAGCCCTTTGGAACACTGAGAAGTCTGTTTTTGAGAAACAAATCCAGGAACTGGGAAGCAACTTAATTCAGGCTCTTGAGAGAGAAAGAGAGTGCTTGGAGGGACAAGCAAGGTTGGAGGAACGTCTTGCTGCTGTTGAGATCGAGCGGAGTCGATTGAAAGCCATGCATGAGCAAGAGATGGAGAACGCAGCATCATGCTTCATCAAAGATCTGGAAGTCAAGACTCGTCAGCTTAGTGAAGCTATGAAGGATGCCCAAGAAAAGAACATGCAGGTAGTGGAGCTGGGTGACGTGGTCAGACGTGTGAACAACGAAGTTTCAGTCTTGAAAGCTGAAATATCGTCAGTACGTCAGAAGATGGAAATTGGATTCGCCGAGGAGGTCCAGTCCTATATTGCATCAGTCCAGCAACTGGAGAGGGGTGTAACTCATAGAACGAAGCAATACAATCTGAGGTACGATACAGTGTATTCCTCCATGGTTTGCAGACCTGACGTCTTTCCTATTTCAGTGTAGAACGGCATTTCAAGTTTCCAAACGGACAATAAATGTTGCTTGAACAAGTTTCTGACGTCGTGCCGAACGCTACCTGCGGAGGATCTCTTTATCTAAGTTGTACTTCGGGGAATACGCTCCAAACGATGTATCAGAAGCCCTCTCTCCTTACTTCACTGGTTCACGTTTCCAATTTTCATCAGCTCGTCAAGCTTTTTGCTGTTCTCTTAGCCTCTTGAATGTGTATCTTTACTTGGTGGAGAGGTCGCTATATTTCTTCCTTTCAGATGACAAGCTCAGTAGATCTGCTTTGTCAACGCTTGATCAGTAGCCTCACAGTCCTTTGAGGGTTGACTGACAGCTAAATCTTGATCCACTGAATGTTTTCGTTGATCAGGCTGCAACGAGCACACAGCCTGCTCAACCATCTAGTAAGGCAATTCAGCTTGCTTGCTTCGAGTGAAACAGTCCACATGCAAAACCTTCAGAACCTCACAAAGGCCGAAGCAGAGGTGAGTACCAAATGTGTCTTGGTCCTTGGTAGGTAATGCTCTCTAGTAGACGTACATCTAAATTCTTTGCTAAAGCTCTTGCAAGTATGCTTTGAAACCAAGATGATTCAGCACTTGATGTTTGATATTGACTATCCAGTGAATTGGTGGTTGTCTTTTGCCCGCAAAAGGTTGACTTGCTTGGGGACGAAGTTGATGCATTGATGGAAGTACTGGAGAAAGTGTATACAGTTTTGAGCCATTATCACCCTGTTATTCAGCTTTATCCAGGGGTAAGATATATGTCAAATTTTTGTCTAGTTTGTTTAACATGGATTAAACAACTGCCAACCTTTTACAAGTGATGTCAGGTGGTTCGTTTTTTCACCTTTAGATACCACAATTGCTATCGAACACACCACCTTTTGCTCATATTCCTCTGTACTACCTAGATTCACTACAAAAGTCACAGTTTTTAACTTCAGAGCAGCTGGAGTAGGAGCGCTGCGTGTTCTTCATTTTCCAAGAATCTGCTTCTGAACCGGTGAATCTGGTCTGACAAATAGCTTACATCTGGTGCATTTTGCAGTTGGCAGATCTTGCGAAGGTGGTCAGAAATGAGGTTCTCCAGCGCCTTCGTGATTCGAATGATGTATCATTGTAACCTGCCAGCGCGGGTCATTTTTGCTTTGTCAAATTCATCTGTACATTAGGACTTGAGTCAGTGTAACATCATTTGCTCCTTGGGCTGTGGGAATTGAAAATGCCCCCGTCTCACATCCCTGTGTGGGAAATTTTTCATGTGATATACAAAAGGCCAGAAGTTGTAGAATATGGAGAAGTAGGCTGCTGCTCGATGAGGAGACCTGAAGTGGGAAATCTAGCTAAGCTACCCACCCTGCCTTCCTACCTGATCAAAAGAAGGGTTTGGAAATATATGTTCAATAAATTTTTGACTTTTCTTTGAACCTAAGTGTACAAGTCTGGCATTATTCTGTAAAGCAATAAGGAAACTTGAATTTGCAAGTCTTTTGACTCAGTGGAGATGAAGCTGATTAGATACCAACTCTGGTGAGCTACTTACTACTTGTCGCTTTAACTGTCTTGATGGATTGTTACCTCATTTGTTTAGAGATACTGTCTCGAATATCACATCAATCCATCGACCCCATTACATTCACTGATCACGCTCCTAAAATTTCGACGACGAACAATTTAGATCAATCACGTGACCCTCAAGATCAACATTCCGTGGGTAATTGTGATTCTTACCGGAGGATATGCATCTCTCTCGTCAAGAAGATTAGATATGTAAAGCAAGCTGATCGAACAGGGACATTCATTTCAGACGTGGTTTTGTGTATCGTGATCCGAATAGCCGAATTGTAAGGATGTTCTACAATGCAGCAGCTGTAGTCACAGATTCCATGTAATCCGCAGAATTTCCCTACGATGCGGCTACACGAATCACATTTAATCTCATAGTTGCTCTAGTTCTTTCACAAGATCATCGGATAAACTTGAATAACTTTGAAAGTTCGCCATATAGTTTCAACGGAATCGAGCTCTATTATCACAGAGAAATTGTCAAAAGTTTGCATGATATTTGGGAGATATTTTCCGGAAACTTAGTGTACCATCAACATATGTAGAACTTGACAGTAGATACGGTAGATGACCGTGCCAAAAAGGTTGGTTTACAAGATTCAGATGAAATTGGAGAGATACAGTGTAAAGAATTATGTGTTGAGAATCGTCTATTTATCCTTCTCCAATTGAAATGGCTCCTTTTGGATAAACAGGTTTACAAATTTTGTATGTAAAGTTTTGGGATTCAAAAAAGTATGAAAAGACAAGTATTCAAATGAATAAAATTTAATATGTTTTTGCACAAATGATATAAATATTTTGAAAAGTTACCTACTTACTTTCTAAAAGAAATTTTTTTTTACTTAAGACATAAAATTCTATAAAAAAGATATTTAAATTTGTTTTCAGAGATTTAATCACAATGTTGCAACATTTTAGAAGCAGAAAATAGCAGCTTGAAAAAATAAATAAGATACTGTAATTTATACTGTAATTTATTGATCATATTTATATTCGTAAGATTATTACTTCAAATTTTTTAATGAAATTTGATGAATAATTATTGTTTATTTGGATTTTGGAATGTTCTATAATCTTTGATGATAAAATCAACGAAAAAGAAAGAATGATGGGTTGATTTTCATAAAAAAATTTAAATTTACTGCAATGAATTGCAATACTTGATCATGTTTTAATTATATCGTGGCTTGAAAAAACGGAAAACACTTCATGACATAATTTTATTTTTATACCTAGTTGAGAATTATCCTAATTGAATAAACTAAAGTAAAAGGACAATTTGGATGAAGACTTCCCTTTGCCTCTGAGTGCTACCACCGTTTTAATCAAGTAGGAACGAAACTTGGTAATTTGATATTTCTTGTTTCTTTCTTCACTTTGTCAAATGTTCTTCCCACTACCATAATACAAAACCATTCACGACGGGAGTCACGTCACTGGAACTTCGTTTTTCATCTGCCTCATATTTGTAAGTGCTGGACATTGAGTATATTTGAAGATTCCTCTTTGACTTCCAGAATTTTTACTCTGGTTTAAAATTGAGGCTCCTCAACTCGGTCGACTGATGTTCTACCATCTTGGGAGTTGGCGTTCTCAGCAAGTGCATGGTTGTTACTGTACGTAGATAGATTGTTGAGCTGCAATGAAGTGTACCAGTCATGATGCCTTTTTTCTTCTCTCCTAATTTGTAAGCGCATGTCATTCCATTCGCACAATCATCGGTCGAGCATCCAGCACTCCTTTCAAAGCTCTCATCGTTTCATAGCTTTTGGTATCCGCCCGCGGCCACTTTCAGTAATATTGAAGCAAACCATTTTGTGCATGCATCCATTGCTTTCTGTCAGCACATGACAATAGGCTAAATTTTATTGATTTGTGTTCAATTATATTTCAGACTAACTTCCCTCGCATTTGCGGATATGAAAACCGTTAGACCGCAGATCCTGAACAATCTCAACCTCAAGACAGTGAGCCCAAAGAGGTTCTTTTATATTTGTCCAATGTATTCTAAAGGATGAGTTTGCGGTCTCTCAAAGGAATGAATGGTTTTGTTTCCCGGTTTTGCGAAGTCGCCGGCATAATATCATGCAGGGAGAACGTACTCCCGTATAACATCGGAGCGATATGGAAGGCCCAAATTATCTAGAAACGAGTGACTGAATTGAACGGACAATTGTGAAATATCATTAGAACATACTTGATCGCCGAGTAGTACTTACTTTATCCATGCTCCTCCCATCTAACCTAAATTCGAAGAGAAGTTCCGTTTCTGAGGGTTGTATGGGGTTGACTTTTCTACACCATAAGCTTCTAAATTGATTCTACTACAGTTCGTACGTACTATTTCTTCAGCAGGTAAATTTGCCTGGTCGGTGAGTGCACTTGCTCTAGTGGTGGGTGGGTGAGTTGCTCGAGGTGAAAAAGAGCTGCCGTTCTTTGCCATAAAGTGGTTTATGTGCCAGGGATGGAGTGATTTTCAAGGTGAGATATTCTTCCAATGCAGAATGTGCTTCGTCAAGTCTTGGACTGAAAGGGGTGGATCGGAAGTAGTTCATGCTTCTTTGATTTCTATGGACAACCCTACATTTACTACAGTAGGTAAGTGATGACATACTGACAGATTCCGCCTCTTGCTCTGCTTCCACTTGCTCAGGGGTAGGTAGGGTGCCGTGGGCTCCAAGTGGCCCTGGCCCAACTGTTCCTGTGAGCTGTGAAGCTGCCATGCGTCAGTCAGGCAGTCTACGAGAGCAAATGGGTACGGAGTTCATGCACTTGACGCTCTCCGTACGCCTCCCCTCCCGTTCATTACCTCATCCAGAGCTTCGGGAGCTTTTTAACGCTGGATCAGTTCAGCAACCCAGGCGTGGCCTTCCATCCCATGTGTCACAGGGAGATAGGCTTAGATCTGGAAAGGGAGGATTATTCAAACTTCGAGAGTCATGGCGCAGTTCGTGTCATCCATACTTTCGCGGCACTAAATGGTTATACGAAACGCGGCAAAAGTTAACGATTCATGACCTGCTACATTGGAAGTACCGGCTAGATGACCACGAGGTTGACCGTTTGACCGACAAGATCTTGGGTGATGAAAATGATTCGAGTCCATGCACTTTTGGAACGGTGTGCTTTCTCACTGCATGTCAAAGTTGGTCGTTCTTTTGTGGCTTCATAGTTTTCGCGTTTGGATATTCGAGATCTGTTGGCGGCAACATGGATTCATGAACTGTTGTAGGCATAAAAAAGGGGAGGTGGTGGGCCGAGAGAGTACTCTCATAGTCAGCTCAACTTCATATGAATAAAAGTACAAGTCGAATGATTGTTGTGAGATCTATGGTGGTGAATTGCCACTGTTCCTGCTGCAGATGTATAAACTGAAAATTCGCCGAATTGATGGAGCTAGAATATTCTCATCTGACGCTATCATCGAAGAAATTCAACCCAGCATCCGCTGAAAAGGATTGGAGACTCCCTAGCGTAGACTTGTGCTCTGAAATGCATGTATCCAAGAAAAACCACGGACCCTACTTCTAACATAGCGGAAAGTAGTCCCAAGGGATTCTGTCTACAGTGGTCCGGTTGTACCATGGCAAATACCCATGGCTTATTTAACCTGTCTACAGCTGTTCACCGTCAATAATCACAGATTCCCGAAACAACCAGATTTGTCTACAATTTGAGGCATTCAAAAGATTTGAGGCCTGTAAAGTCTATTATGGATCTGGGCAGTTTTATCTGTCCTAGTCCTAAACCGCTCTATCTAATTGGTCCCTGTAGGCGGCCAAACTCTGCAAAAGAAACATGAAACAATCAACTTTAAAAGCAATACGAACCTACACCTAATCACAGGACAAGGAACACAGAATCATTCCTAACGGTGATTTCTGCCTTCCAACCAATCATCTTGATTCACACATGACATACGCTGTTAAGCAGTGCAAGTATTTAGTTGGGAAATTGCTTACCCGAGTAAGTGCATATACGCCTTGCACACTTGGTCCTGTTGGGCTTCCTCGTCGAAGGAATTTTCCTTTCTTAACAACGTAAAGCATGGGGATGCCAGTTGACAGCTCAAGTTCGATAACCTGTTTGCAAACATCACCTATACATCAATGGTTTTTTCTTTCCTTTTGGCGAACTAAACATCTCTTAGATGTTGCGAAACCCTTCTTTACTGAACAGTTTCGAATTTGAAAACTGAACGACAGTACGTGCTCGTGCCTTTGCAAAAAAATACGTCCACTTACCTCCTGAGAGGTGAGCTTGTCCAGATACATGATAATCGAGCGCAAAGAATTCCCGTGTGCAGATATCAACACATTTTTGCCTGCTGCGAGTTGGGGTTCCACCTGGCGAAGGGGAAAAGTAATTAGTATGCCAGCTTTGTTTGAGCATTCGCCGGGATATTTGGCACAACATTTTCAATGTCATCATTTTACCTGCTCGGAGAAGTACTTTACAGCTCGTTCCGCACACATAGCTAAACTTTCGCCATTGGGAGGAGGAATATCATAGCTTCGTCGCCACACTTTCACCTGATCATCTCCATACTTGTCTGCAGTTTCTTTCTTGTTCAAACCCTGCAATTCGCCGTACCTGATTTTGCACAATGATGAGACATTGCTTGCTTTGTAACCTCCATGTTCTTCTTCTATGGAAATCTAATGTGATTCGAGTGCATCGCAGGTATATAGCGTCGAAAACATGACAAAGATGGAATCCACACATGAAAAAGATGAGAATGTATACATACATCCTCTCGTTCAACTCCCAAGCCGTAATAACTGGTATAGTTTCTTCCTTTGTTTCCTCGCTGAAAATAGTACTCCATTCAGTTGCCCTGTCGCTCTCATTGTGAAGGACGGTTGGAACCTGGAAATTCAAGTAGCAATTGTCAATGCTGCCCACACAATCCTCAAAGAGAAGTTATCCAGATCAAAATGGTTGTTTCACAATAGTTCTTCTGTACGGTTGAAGTAAGAGGGAAGCAGAAACTTCAAAATGGAAAATCTTCAAATTAAGCGTCAGTAAGCGGAAGCTGAAGGCACTAGAATACCTCCCTTTATTTGAACCAAACTCTAACTAAGAAATTTTAGTCAATCCAAAAGGAATAACTAAAACGCAGTTACTCTTGAAGACAAAATAAATCTCTCGACTATGAAAGGTCACAAGAGATGCAAATAAATCACCTTTTTCTTGCGATGTTGGGTCATCGCCAACATAGCTGTCATCTGAGCACGGATCAACGCAGACGTATAGATTATGTCCACGGGAATGTCACAGATACGTCTTCCAGCTTCAAGAGCCTCATCTACTCCTCGCTGAGAGAGTGGCACATCCACACATCCAGTGAACAAATTCTTTTGATTCCAAAGAGACTCTCCATGTCGAATCAAAATTAACGCTGCCTCAGCTGCGCATCCACAGAAAAAAAACTGGTAAGACCACATATACTGACGACATGTATCTGCTCGCAATTACTGGAAAACTTCTAATGTCTCACAGAACTTTTTCAAGGACTTCGTAACAGTATTTTCTTCAGAACGCGAAGATAATAGAATGAGTCAGGGAATGCGTGATCATAGATGAGGAGCCTCCATGATCAAGAAACATCTTTCTCCTAGTCCATTCCTCAATCGACAAATAACTAGTGTACTTGTCTAGCCTTGTGATGATTGAGGATAATCTTGATCCATTCTATTGTTAGAACGATTGTGCTTGGGTGTGGGTAAAATTACATTTAGAGTATATCACACTCTTAGAGTTACCATGCTAGCTTTTAAAAGCAATTCAGCTCATTGAATCAAGGAGGGCCGCTGTTTCTCTACGTAAACTGAAAGCTGAAAGATCCACTGAGGATCACTTAATGACCTCCCTGAATCTTGTTTGAATTCAATAAGTCATCAACGTGACCCGACATACTCCATAACAGAAGAATTGGCCTGAGATAGTATCAATTCTAGAAGGCAGAAGACGACACAGAGAGACAAGGTAAATTTGATTATGAAAAATACAGCGACTTTGTAAAGTTTTCAAATAGTGTTTAAATCCAGTTTAATCCAATTTATGTGGTAGTTTCTTTCTCAACCATATGAGTACAAGTTCGATTCTCTATAACACAACCTTAAGTTTGCAAGAAGAGTTGATCTCTGCCAAATCCACAGAAAATAGATCTTCCAGATGAAGAAAATAAGTAGACATTTATATCTTGACGTGAGTAGTACACAACCATGGGGACGAAAAAAGTTTTCGGAGGTCCAGAAATAAACAAAAAAATCAAATTACAACATCTGGATGCCATGTGGAGTCGGTCGGGAATGAAACCTTAGCTCGAGAATACTGAAACCAAACACAATTTTCCACTTTCTGTAATACCTCACCAGTAATACTCATATTCGAAATTCAATGTGACGTATACTCACTTGACGGCGGCGAGGCGGTAGCACCATTAGCTTCAGAGGAGGCACCATTCGAATGACCATTAGTAGATGCACGGACAAATAACTGCTTCCGGGTATATCCTTTTGTGTTGGACACAGCACCAAGCGAATGAGAGATATTCACGCTCCCTCTGTTGAATGGGACCGACAGGTTCGAGACTTTCGCGTACTCTGAAAGCCCTTGTTCTTGAACAATTCTGGAGGTCACTGTCAACGTTCGGATACCTGACGTGAGGCATGAGGTTGCAGCCATTCTGCTCCGCTATCACACAAAAACGACCAGGAGCTGAGTTTCAGGACATCATCGTCTCCTTCGTTCCAGTTGGACTTGATGGTCAGCGACACGTTAGACATCCATAGTCTTATGAGACTTGACCAAACACATTGCACCGAGTGGTCAAATGACCGAAGCAATCCGCAGGGAGAGTACGATCTGACAGCCAAGCTGAGAAATTCCTGTCACTTGGAGTAACCAATCAACCGAACATGTTTACATCCAAAATCAGTATGTCTTGCAGAAATGCATCTCGATGACCGTCGGGAAAAGGAGAGGAACTCGACGGGTTCCCACCACGTGTGGCGGACGCAACATTGACAACGTCGACGCAGGAGATAGGGAAAAAGTGACGACGAATGCAGCAGGGCAAAGGAGAACCAAACACTCCACGGAAGAATGCACGCGTCGCGAGCAGCAGGAGCAGAACGAATACGAATCAATGCCCGAACGCACGACACAGACCGCGGCCGAGGCCAAAATGCATACCGAATTCACCAGGAGATCCGAATCAACGACGAGAACGACGACGACCACGCCCTCGACCGACCGCGGGCGGCAAAATCACAGGACCGCCAACCGCAGCAACAGCAGCAGCGACGACGCCTACACCGACACCAAAATCACGAGCGTGCAAGTTCTTCAAGGAAAAGTGAATGGTTCCACGTTCCTCCCACGCACGCACGCACGCACGCACCCTTCACCCCTCCAAAACGACTGAAGGAAGCGAGCCGAGAGCCAAGCGAGGGCGAGGGCGATTCGGGGCGCAAGACTGGAGAATGAGGCGCAGCGCAGAACCAGCACAGAGTATGGTGCGGGCCGCGCGAGCCGAGAACTACCGTACAAACGCCCGCGGACATGAACGGTGGTGGGCGCTGGCAGGGACAGATGACCGGGAGCGGAGAGCCGGGGACCGGTGACCGGGAGCAGGGCAGGGCGACAGAAGAGAGAGTGGTTGCTCATACACGGAACGTGGAAACCCTCACCCATTCGGGCGATCTAAGGACCTCCGCCGACGCGGGCGGTTCTACCACGGCGCCGCGTGGCCAGCCCACGCGCCCTCAACCGAGTCGGGCGTCCGAGTTTGCCCTATGCCCCTTCGCCACCCCTGCTCGATACCTAGTTCGCTCCCACAAGTTCCACGGACCCAGTAGGACGACGATGCCTTGAGTGGTAGGGCTGCTGTAGTCGGGAGTGGACTCTCCTCCGCCTCCGAGCTGACCTCGGCGCACGCGACGACCCTCAGGCGACGGTCTTGGGGTCACTGCGCTCGGCGACCGTCCATCGGGGCTAGAGTCGTAGTCGTTGTCGCCGGAAGGGAGGAATAAATCTGAGTGGAATAAACCTCTCTCTCTACGCCGTCCAGAAAAGTGGCCCTACGCGCGACAGCCCAGTGTGGTACGGACGACACAGTACAGGGCAACCCGGGCGCCATGATGGCACAAGCAACAAGAACCGGGGAGCGAGCGAAGGCGACGAAGGGCAGTGGGAGGAACGAGGGGACAGCCCTGGACGCTTCTTGTCCCGCGAGTGGACGGTCCTCGTGCGTGCGTGCCGAAGCTGAGGAAGTAAAGGCCGGTAGAAAGATCCGGGGACGGGACGGCCTGAGGTGTTGAATGCGGTTGTAGCCAACCACGCAGTCAGCTTTTAGCCCATCATCATTCTTCCCCCTTGGCTCATCATCGGCGTCTGTATGTGTACTGTACGGTAGCTGTTCGGGGACGACTACGCCATGTGAACTGACCAACCGGCCAGTCGGCCACCCAGCCAGCCAGCCTCTGGAAGCTACAATCTCCCACTTACGCATCGGGTGATCGACAGTCAAGAAGTGTTTTAAACGGGGACGATCCGGTGACATGGAGGGACAGAGTAATGTAGCAAAAAGCATGGGAACGATCCGGGGACCTGGGAGGGACAAAGATTTCTCGGTCAAAAGCCTCGTCATCATATTTTCTCATTCGAAAAGAAAACCTAGGAGGTGAGAAGCGCTGTTGCTCAATCATACCATCACCCATGTGTAGGTGGAAAAGTTCAACTCTACTTTTAGAATCTCGTATGATTCCAGGAATGATGCGATGGTGTTTGTTGTTCCTTCGGAAGAATACTCCACACGAGATGAATATCGGTATGTTTTGCAGTTCACTTAGGATAACTCAGTTCTATACTTGGTATGCTTAGTTTGTATTCAACATATTAGATGATTGAAAATAATGGCTAACTTTTTCTTTGATATTAATTGCCATTTCTTGTAATCACCAAGCAAAAAATGTGTAATGAAGAAAAATAAAATGAGAGCACACTAGAAATGGTCAAAGATTGAAACTAAAGGATAGGATGTAACTAGATTTCAATAACATCACAATCAATAACATTTTATACTGTTCCCATGAAATCAGAGTTTTTAAAATCAGACAATGTTCAGAATATAGTGCATATTCTGATTACTCACTTAACCTTGATTGTTTTCCAATGGGCTTTATAAGCAAATGTACTTGTAGAATAACGAATTCATGTCATTGAAATATATTATATAACATATATAACGCTCTATCTTAAACTTGCTTAAGTCAAAGTTCATATTTTCATATAGCACAAATAACAAAGAGATAATCCTTTTGCATACCATATCCTTACAAACAATCGATACTTTCGCTCTACTCATTGCACATCTAACAGTTTGTTTTATGATCCCCTTCAAATTTCGTGGTGTGTAAGACATATAAATAGAGCTTCCATAAATAATTTGACACTCCTACACCAAAATAGACTTGAATAACTTGTTTCGAATGCAAGGCATAATTGTTTTTTTTACCAAATCCCTCATTCTCGTGGCATTATATATTACAAATCTTATAATATTATGAATATCTATGCATTAGTCTTAGCAAAGTCTTCTACCCTTTAGATATTGGAGATAAAAAGAAATGTCCAAAAGATCCATGCTACATTTTGTTTTAAAAGCATGCCTAATGAAGCTTTGAAGATAAAAAGAAATGTCCAAAAGATCCATGCTATATTTTGATCTAAAAGCATGCTTAATGAAGCTTTGAAGACATGGACGAGATTATCAGCAAATTGAAAGTACAAGTATATAATTGATGGACTACTTAGTGATGTTCAAGTCCACCGGATTGACCCAAATGAACATCGAGTCACCTCAGAATGCAATGCTTTCACATTACTGTTACATATCATGATGAGCAAAATTCAATTTGATGACTTTCCACGTAAACTTTTCACTGTTTGTATTCTCTATTACCAAGCATGATATACAAAGTCTTGCTTGACTCTTTCAACGTGATCTTTGGGTGTCATATAACAGTCTTTACTTCGAAGGTAAAGACTGAATGCATCACATCATGACACCCAAAGATGTCATGCTTTAATTTTTACCTTCTACCTAAAGACGTTAAAGGATGTTATAATTGTAAATGCAACAATATTTTAGAAGAATGATTAACATGGAACACCAACGGTCTGGAACAAATATGTCTCGGAGCTCTCTGCATTAGAATACTGCACGTCGCTAAACAACTATATTACTTTGTGACACTACACATGAGCTCCAATCTGAATAGGAGTTAAACCACGGAACTCCAAGGTGCTTGAATGTGGCAAGTCATGTCGACAGGACACATCTCGTGTCCACTTCCATGTAATCTGCTTTGTTTGCTAAATGTAGGACTAATCATGGTAGTCTATGGTATGGAATGCATGCAACATAAATCGGTTCCATACCTAAAACAGCTTAACAAGATGTTAACCACCGTTATATTATCCTTTGGCGCTGTGGACCATGTCTAACACTGTGATGTAATCGAAACTCACGCATTGCCGGTGTATCCCAAGTCAAATAACTGAAAGATTCTTTTAATTCCAACTCGATTTAAAAAATCCTTATAAAAAGAGTATGGATGGTATTATACTACTAGATGTTCCAAACGAAACATGAGTTTCCACATTTGGACTTTCCGGGTTGTATACAACTTAGTAAGCAAATGATTGTCCTTCGGTGAAGTTATATTCCTGACATAGACCTCATATGGATTGGCTCTAAGCAAGTTTTTCAAATAATTTGTATGAGGTGCGGATCGACTAGATGGCCTAATATTGTAAATGCCATCTACCAGTCTTGACTCCGTATGAGTCACATAATGAGGTTACATGCCCAGGTAAATATCCCTTAGCAATGCACGCAATCTAAGAACATTGAAAATCTTAATGAGTGTAACTAAAGGCTTGGGACGGGAAAAACCAACTGCTTTTTTCCAAACATTTTGAAATAAATAATTTGAACATCCACCGTTTTACAACAACAGTGAGTGTCAATAACTTAATCTTGAGGGAACAGGTATTCTCGACACAAATTCCTACTTTTTGAAAGTTGTCTGTAACTGTCCAGCTTTTACACTTCTGTTTTGGAGATATATGACAATCCAACTTGACGATTCCTTGAAAGACTAGATTCTCAATTTTCCCTAAGTAACGACTTCGCATGTATACAACTTGCTCAAGTGAAACTGCACTTCTTACAAAGTCCGTAAGATTCTAAAAACTACACCGTCAAATATTAATCGCCGTGAATGGTGTAGCGCTCCCATTTTTTGGTTGGGTCATAAATCTGTGACGTAATGGACGAAAGTGAGAATTACTTTGATATAATCTGAAAACATTACAGCACTATGTCGAACATCACAGAGAAAGCAGTGTTCACTCATAAACTGAGACTAAAGAAAGCTCTGAAACATAAATAAACTTCAAAGACATTGGCAAGAGCAGCTTCAAATGTTGATTCTGAAGAAAGTCATACCTCCCATCTGGAAGCAGGGAATATGTGTTTATTCTTCTCATACCAGTGCCGCTCCACTACCTTTCCCGCATGTGACTGTAAACGAAAAATCAAATTGATGTCCAACGCATTCAGAAGAAAGGAGCTCAATATATGAGTATGCGAACATCCCAAGCAGTAAGATAAAAGACTATTACCTCATCTTTCTCGATTGTGGCATCTGCTATCGTTCTGATGTCTTCATGAACATCAAAATGGAATAGCTGCACAGATAGTTGGAATGAAATTAGTCAAAAAAATTCTTTATAGATGGTAACAACGACCATTTCGAAAATGAAGCAACTTTACATACAATCAAATGGGTACAAAAACAGAGAGTAGATTAACCCCCTTACCGGACCGCTCTTCCCACGCGCCTTGTTCGTAATCAACTCGTAAAAACTATGTTGCTGTATTGATAAACAAAAACATGAACATGAGTTTTACATGCATCTTGCATAAACATCCAATGTCAATATTCAAGCATGGTCCGGCTTGACACATCGTCATTGCTTTCACAAACAATTGTATCTTCGATAGGAGCTACAAGGACATCCAACAAAAGATTGACAGAACCACAAAACTCAAAGGCTTACATGAGGTATTATCAAGTCCTCTTTTACGTAGAGGAGATTCTCGACTGAGGCAGTTCGTATTTCCCTAAACTCGGAGGCCAATTGTTGCTGAACTGCCCTTAAAAACTCTGCAATTGAATCTCCCTTTCGAACCTGCAGGCATGTCAGTTAGTTGCTAAACTCCAAACACGAAATTGGAATCAATCCAGCTACATGCTTTAGTTACACTAAAAGGACATTGACACAGAAAACTTTGACACGGGGCAATCAAAGCCAAAGTTGAGAAATAATTTTTGTCACTTGTACCTGGATGACTCGACGATGACCAGCTCCATCCCAGTAACTGTAAGTGATTTCCAAAGGTTCATCTACAAAAACAGATGTGTCAGAGGGGAGCCACAAAACAGGAAGTGAAATTCAAGGAGGAAAATGAGGATTGAATTGTACACGAGCAGAATTCTTACTTCGTATCCGTTCTTGTTCTTTCAACCACTTTTTACGCAAGCGTTCTCGCTCAGCCTGCTCCTCCGCCTCACGCTCTCTGGAAGTAAACCCTCCACTCCCTTGACATCATAAGTTAATTACAGAACAAAACTTCTGAGCTACACTATGGTCGAAGTTTATTATCTGGCCCTAAAGAGAACTTAAGTCTTTCATATACAAATTAGACCAACAACAACGAGAGGTAGTTTGTACCTGTCTGGCAAGAAACCAGTCTCCACCGTGGGGTCCTTCCCAAACTTGCCAAGCTTTGCTTTTCTGACCTCCTCTTTCTCTAAAATGATTGCAATAGAAAAGTTTATTATGTTCAGAAATATTACACGAAATACACACAGCAGTAAAAAGGTTGAATATTCTCAGAAGCTCCTATTTGATGAAATAATATTTCGTGAGATGGAGAACTCACAGACAGCACCTTATTGACTGAGGGTCAAGAGATTCATGCAGTTACCTATACTTTCATCCTCATCGGTATCGCCCTCAAACTCCTCAGCAAAAGATAACCGTGAAGGTCCTTTGGCTCTCCTCTTTTTCCGTTTCTGTACATGGCGTTCTTCTTCTCTATAGCAAAAATTGGTAATGTGTAAACAAACAGACGATGGAATCTGTGGCACAAAGCTTTCCTGCGATATCTCTCTAGCTGGAATCATTCCTTTGTCTGACACATCAATTTCGCATCACATATGCTTAACTCTTCAACCCAATCCAGTGACACACCTTGAATAATTTCACCACGCCAGCAATCATTTACATCTCAATTACTGACTTTCCACAATTAGAACACAGGTTTTAAGCGAAACGAACTGAGAGGGTTCACGACTAACTCTTGCGCAAGCTTTTGAAGTTTCTCCTTCTCCTCCTCTTCAATCTTACTTCGAAGATTCACTCTCTGAACCAGGGAAAAATAAACACATCAAATCTTACTAAGTTAGTCGCGTATAAAAAATTCTATCTTCAACTATCTCTGCCAACAGATTGCGTTGAATACACGATCTTACAAGATAAACTTTTCCCAGAGCTCTAAGACTTACTATGAATAACAGTGATACTAAGAGCAGCAACAGAACTGGTTACTCTTATGCTAAGCAAATAAAAAACTGGATAGCTAGGAAAAAAATACCTTTTCCACAAACTGCTCCCTTGTCACTAATCCGACAGTTTCTTTCTTGAAGGCACTCTCCAGGAGCTGAACATCAACAAACACAAAGTAGTGTAAATTTCTGAGTACTGGAATAAGATATTGTCGCTTGTACTGCCGAACTGGATTCACGAATTTCAACATTGTCTCTCCAGATTTATCCTAATCCCCGAGGACGCGAAGTGAAATAAGCATCTCCCATAACACAATCAAATTGTAAAAGTTCATCCATGTAATCTTCCAATTTGAGACTTCAACAATCAGTACTCGAGTTCTTTTAAAGATAATTAGGTTAAAACGAGAAAACACAAAGCTTCTATCATGACATCACACAGAACATCCAGCATTCAGGGGCATGAAGGGGAGAACTAAAATTTCCAAAAGACAGAATGCACCAACCTCTGAAGTGCCTTGTCCAAATTGGAGTAAGCCTGGTTGGCCTTCACTAAATTTCTTCTTCAAATCGAGAATTTTCTGGCGTTCCTCATCACGCTGTTTCTGCAGACGCCGGATTCTCGCAGCATCTTGTGCTGTCCCAACGTACCCATCACCCATTCCCGCCATTGTCCTCTCTCTTCGCAAAAATACTAAAATATCGTCCACGTAACTGAACTCTCTTTCACATGTCCTTCAGCGTATATACAAGTTGGCTTCAAAAAAGCAGCTTCAGATGACAGCCAGACTGAACCCCGGGCCTAGTAAAATAAACGCCAAATTTCATGGATTATTCTCCATCATGATTGTGCTACAGAAATCTCCCCGTACGAAGCATTAGCCAGCTAACGACACGCGACCAGTGAGGACAATTTGACGCTAGAATCAACCAGATGAATATCGAAAAAGTGACACGAGACTGGCAGAGTTCACAAATCGCAATCAGAACTTCAATCTCTGCAATGGAAGAGGTGTGACAGGCCTCAACTCACCGCAAAGCACCCACCAATTTTCGCCACCAGTCTCCACTGGTTTGAATTCCTGTCGACGTTCTCGTCCTCGCCACTGCTCTACGGTGTTACATTCGTAAATGTTGCTTCCTCGACTCCGAGAGTACCAGCAGTACTGTCCGCACCCTATTATTGCAAGATACCTTCTGTCAACTGATGCAGCTAAAACATATAGGAGAAATTATGTATATATCATGTGAGTATTGTACCGCTATTAGTAGAGTTCCGAAGCTACAAATTGTTTGGGTTAAGCGAGAACAATTTCGCTTGATATGAAAGGAAGGAAAAGAAATGCATGATGTAGAAAGCATGAGAAATGAAATTAATAATTATATAAAATTAAATTATTTATTAAACCTAAAACATTTAAACCTGAGATACAATAAAACTTTACTAGTGAAATTGCCAAGTCTATGGTTCTTTTCAAGGAAGCAAATTTTAATAGTATATATTGATTATTTCTTTGGCAATTTTGCAAACTAGTACATATCTATTAGATAAAAACCATCTTGATGATTGAAACCATCATGTTTTGGAACCTTATGGTTGAGATACATGGATCTAGGTTTTAACTGTTAACTCATGTTGGATTTTACAATATTTTTTGTCAAGATATTTTTTGGTAAGATAAATGTGGTTAGATTAGCTAAGATGTGCATCTTATCTCTTTTTCTATAGAAGAGAAAAGTACTCATTCATTACGAAGTAGAGTTCAAAGTTGCATTTTGAGAGTGAGGAGGAAGTAGGAGAGTTTGGCTATGAATAACATGTATACATTTGTGCTTTAGTAATTAGTTTAGTCTTGATCGTGGACTTAGCTTGTGGATATCTAACCACGTTATCTCGATGTTGTAAATGTTGCACATGTTGATCAATCTTGATTGTTAAGCGTTACAATCTTTTTTGGTGATAACCATGGTTAGGAAAGTTAACTACAGTTAGGTTAGCTAAGATGTGCAGCGTATCTCTTCCCGTATAGAAGAGAGAAGTACCGATTCATTATGTAGAGTTCAGAGTTGCACTTTGAGAGTGAGTAGGAAAGAGTAGAGTTTGGCTATGGAGACCGTGTATACATTTGTGCTTTAGTGAAAAATTTACTCTTGTACGTAGACGTAGCCTATGAAAGATGAACAATGTTATTTTGATATTGTGCGTGTTAATAAATCTTGATTGTTAGGTCTTACAATCTTTTTTGGTGATAACCATGGTTAGGAAAGTTAACTACGGTTGGGTTAGTTAAGATGTGCACCTTATTTCTTCTTGTATAGAAGAGTGAAGTACCCATTCATTATGTAGAGTTCAGAGTTGCAATTTGAGAGTGAGGAGGAAGTATGTGTAACCATATTTAGTTAATTAGAACTAAAGTAGAGGTTATTCTAAATATTGATATAGATACTTTAGTGTGCAATAGTCATAACTGCCACATCAACAATCCGCGCATTTGGTAGATAAAAAGTGGATGTGTTAGTTGACAGTGCCACGTCAACAATCCGTGTGCTTGTAGGTAAGGATTGAGTGTGTTAGTTGAGAGCGCCACGTCAGCGATCAGTGTGCTTGTTAGGATTATCTGCCACGTCATCAATCCACTAGGAATGGTATGGATGGTGGAATAAGATCTTATTTGCTTGTACTTGTTGGTGAGAGCTATATAAGGGAGAGGAGAACCATTGTTGGTATCTCTCATCTTCAGAGCTTACATTTCTATCTTCAAGTGAGCTTCTCTCTAAACCTAGTGTTACAGTATGAGAGTTTTGCTATGGAGGCCGTGTATACATTTGTGCTTAAGTGAAGCTTTTACTCTTGCCCTTGAATATAGCCTATGAAAGTTGAACGACGTTATCTTGATGATGTGAATGACGTGAGTGTTGATAGATCTTTATTGTTGGGCTTTACAAATGGTATCACAGCTAGTTTATTGTAAACAGATTTCTGATTTTCATAGTTTTTTTAGAAACGAAGGAGCGCAAAAGCATTGCCAAAATCTCTTCTCGCAATTTTAAATAATAGTTGGCTGATTGTCTGAAGGAGCTAGAGACACTTATTACATATTGATGAAAGAAAAACATTGTTTCATCAAATAATCAAAGAGATTTTTAAATATGGAGCGGGAGAGATCTATTACACTCTACTACCTAAAGTTTTTCAAATTTTGTAGAGAGATAGTAAATTTAAGGCCATTTGAATTTTGGAATCAAATTTGGCTATAGTGATTGCATATTGAACAATAACAAGAATTTGGAGCGACAAATTGCAGATTTAAGTTTGAAAATATTTTGGACATGATTCCGGATTACTTGGATTGGAAGGTCAAAGAAGGTTTCCATGTAAGCTTCACAAGGTATACGTAGGCATGGTTGTATTAAGCGACCATATATACGGTCGCCTAAATTACCTAAACTTGATGGTGATTAGGCGACTAAATTAAGGGAGTTACGATTTGGCCGTACATGTTATAAGCAATGGAGAGTGGACACGTATGTAGAATTGATGGATTTTTAACCTAAAAATTTTATACATTAATGTAATTTTTTTAGAAAAAAAATTTGAAAATTTTTTACTCTGAAAAAAAGTTTAGTAAACTAAATTAGACTAACTTAAATGTTTAGAAATTAAATTGATCTAAATTACCTTTTTAGTGTACTAAATTAGCCTAAATGAACTTTGTAAGGAGACTAAATTGGCATAAATTAATGTTTTTGAATAGACTAAAGTAAGTTTTTTGAGGAGACTAAATTATACGTATTTAGGTAATTAAGGCGGGAGACTATTATATCCATGCCTGGGTATACGCCATCTTTGTAGAATCTTGGCAAAAAAACAATCAAACAGAGAGTGTGTTTTTTTTTGGCAATTTTGGCAAATTAGACCAAGCAAAATAAGTGTGTTTGAGCTTAAATTTTTCAAGGTGGTTCTCAAGCAGCTTGAGCACACAATACAAGGGACGGTTTTGAAAATAGACATTGTGTAAATTTTGGTAGTAAAAATTCCCTTAGGGATTCAAATTCAAGTTTTTAACCTCCTTAACTCTAGGATTTGATTTTTGGCACGAATCATCATAGCGCGTGACACTAAAGCAAGGATCACAAAAAAATAAAAATAATCATGGCAAAATTTTCCCTTTTAATTTTATTAGCTATGAACAAAAAAAATATATTTTTGCTAAGAGCTGGGTTGGCAGAAATTATTCCTCAAAATTTTCTAACGACGTACATATATAATAACTTTTTACTCGGAGTTGATTTTGACAAATGATTTTAACATTATACTGGATTAGTTTGTAGATGATTTCAAATTTCAATTTTGAAAAATTTCATTTTTTGATGATTTTTGAGGCTAAGTGTTGATAACTGTTAACACTGCGAGCGCTTTCTATGCATGCATCGCTTGAAGCGAGGAGTGAAACTTGTTCCAATTTTTGCAGAAGATGCTGAACTCCTACATTCAGACAACAATAATGAGAAGTTAAGTTTTCTTTACTAATATCTTTGTGGTAACCCACTTTTTGCTTTTGTGCGGAATTTAAAACAATTTTGGAAAACAGTACCGCAGCAACCGTGTAAATGATGATCGGTACATTTAAATAGAGTGAAAATGGATTACCGCGGATCTCGTAGAATCCAGAAGTTGGGCGCAATGTCCAGAACAGGCGCCGACCTGAACCATCGATTCTGAAGGAGTTCTCCTTCGGCGCAAGACGCATAATCCGCCTTCGGCGCTAGAGGGATCCCTCAGAGTTTATGCAATTCACAACGCCTCAACTTGCTCAGGGTTTTGTTGGAAGTAGCTCGACGCGCTCGTTCTAACAAGCCCAAGACCGCCTGGAACGGATGAGGACTCAGGGAGTTGTGACTGTCGGAAGATGCAAAGACGAGCGCCTACACATAGGCAGAAGGAGTTCGTCGTCGGCGGGAAGTCCGTCGGGAATTCCGCCTACGCATAGGCGGAATGAATTCGCCTGCGCGTAGGCACTTCGCCATCGGCGGAATATCCGCCTTCGGCCCTAGAAGTTCGCCTTCGGGGGTGAAGCTCGTACGGCGCCTACGACGCCAGCGTATCAAGATTAGGTAAGTACCAACGGAGTAGCAAATCCGTACGGTCCGCCTTCGGCTCAACGCCTACGGCGGAACGGACGGGTGCGCCCTCGGCAGGACGGGACTCCGGAGGCGAGAGCGGAGAGACGAGAGAGATTGACAGACGGGACAAAATCCGTTGACCGTGGTCAACGCCTTCGGCACAGTCGCCTTCGGCGCTGCGCCTACGGCGCTGCACCTACGCCGACGGACAACGTGAGCCACCTATGACGACGGACATCTTTGACGCTTGCGGTTAGCGCCTACGCACAGGCGGATGGAGTTCGGAGCCGGCGGGAAGTCCGCCGAGAAATCCGTCTTCGGCGGGAGGAGTTCGCCCTCGGCGGAGCGTGCGGAGGAATGCCTTCGGCGGTGCGGGATCGATGCGAGTCGGAGTACGAATGCGAGTAGCGCGTCGGCGAGAAAGACGCCTTCGGCGCTGCGCAACCATGGCCGCGGCGAAGTACGCTGGCGGAGTTCAAATTGACATTTTGAGCGTGCGAGTGCGCGCGACGGCGGAGCGTGAAGCCGCGCGTGCGAGAGGAGGGCCGTTACACCTTCGAGCCGGCGCAGCCATCAAGTGAGTCGACATTCACGACAGAGTGCCGATCATGACATCCTGCGAGCGGAGAACGGACATTCCATTCTTGAATTTGCGATTTCAATTCCTTGTGCGAGCTGCGCGCGTCCACCTTCTAGCTGAGAGACCTTCTAGACACCACCGCGCAGAGACTTACCCGGTGGCAGAGAGAGAATTGAGTGCGCGACATTTGGAATTGAGAGAGATTAGAGTTTGCAGAGGAGTCAAAGCCGCGGGCAAGAGGCTTGGGCATAGCGGAGAGAAGTTTGCGAAATCCGATTTCAAGAACGCGATGTCGAAGTCGATTAAGCTGCGGATGGTTCGACTCAAGCTTCCGCAGATTGGGTTGCGTGCTTTTCAGGACCGGCTGATTGCGAGGAAACTCGATTTCTTGCTGTGGGGATGGAATTACGTGTGCGGAGACATGGTGCGCGAATGGCTGAGTGAGAGACAGCAACCTACGCGCGGATTC